GGGGGGGGGGAGAGATATGTTATATGAATATGAAAGTCATATCATATGAAAAGAGCTATTCAACCAACTTACTTCGGCAATTCCATCCCGCATCCCTCTCCCCCCCCGCAATCAAAATCAATCCCCACCCCTTCCCTCGCGGGGTAAAGAAAAGGGAGGGGCCGAGGCATCACAGCCGAAAAGACCAATTAGGAACTTTCACGTTCACTCCCTCCCTCAGTCCCTCAGTCCCTCCCTCCCTGCTTTTTTGTTCTTTACCCTTGCTGCTTAACTGGGAATTTGTTGTAAGGTAAGGTATATGAGTAGATATATATATCCCATCCCATCAACAACCGCATCATGGCTCTGCCCTCCAAACCCTCCTCTCCTTTCCTTTCTTCTCCCTTTTCTACTCTCACATCACATCACATCACATCACACCATAAATAACTCAACATCCCCCTTTTAAAAATTCCCAAGCAGCATGTCCTCCTCTCCCATATCCACCACCCCCCTCCCCCTCCGTATTCTCACCTCTCTGCTCTCACACACCCTCACCAATGCCTATCTCCAAATCCCCCTTCTTCTCACACTCCTCTCCTCCCGCTCCCCCTCCCTCAAAAACCGCTTGCCCTCGCGTCTCACAAAACTGCTCTCCTCCCCGCTCTTTCAACGGCTTTTAAAAATCCTGATTTTTATCAATTTGAATAGGACGTTATCGCGGGTTGTTGTGAATAATTGGAGGGGGGGTGAGAGGTGGAAAGATGGGGAGGGGGATAGGGAGGGGGATAATGGGGAGGGAGATAATGGGGAGGGAGAAGAGGAAGAGATTGTGGTGATTACGGGGGCTTCGAGTGGGATTGGGAGGGTCATGGCGAGAGAGTTTGTGAGGAGGGGGGGGTGTAGGGTGGTTAATCTGGATGTTAAGAAGCCTGAGATGGAGAGTGAGAGTGAGCATCGTATCTCCCCCCTTTTCTCCCCCCCCAAAAACACAAAACACACAAGCTAACAAACACCAGCAAAAATAACATACTACCAAACCGACATAACATCCACCACCGAACTCGCACTCCGAGGGTCACAAATCCGGTCTCAATTCGGACCCCCCACAGTCCTAATAAACAACGCTGGAATCGGGCACTCAGGATCCATCCTCTCGGTCCCGGAGACGCAACTCCATCAAATATTCAACGTTAACACGATAGCGCATTTCTTGACGGTGCGCGAATTCCTCCCCGGTATGATCGAGAGAGGGAGAGGACATGTGGTCACGATCGCGAGTATGGCGAGCTATGTCACGGTACCGGGGATGGTGGATTATTGCTGTACGAAGGCGAGCGCGGTCGCGTTTCATGAGGGGTTGGCGCAGGAATTGAAGGTCTTGGATGGGGGCAGGGGGAGGGGAATCAGGACGACGTTGGTGAATCCCACGTGGATCGAGACGCCCCTGATCGAGGGCTTGACGAAGGAGAAGAGATTCCGCGAGAGAGCGTTCGTCTTGAGGCCGGAAGATGTGGCAGAGGCTGTGGTTAACCAGGTGCGTATGGGCAGGAGTGGGCATTTGGTGTTGCCGAGATGGTATGGCTTGGTGAGTGGTATTAGGGCGTGGCCGGCGTGGTTGCAGGAGGCTCTGAGGAATCGCGTGGGGAGGGAGGCGGCCATGCTGATGGGTGAGGGGGTGGGATTGGGTGCTTGAGGGGTGTATGTGTATTGTATGTATGGATATAGGTATATAAGTATCGGAGTATTTCCCACATTCTTCAACCTGCATATCAGAATGCATATCAGAATGCATATCAAACCGAGACATCCATTAACATCCTGCACATGACATCTGACATCTCTCTCACATGATGCACCTCGGAGCTTTCCTCATGCGGGGTAATCTCTAATCTCTGCTCTAAACCCCTTCCGTCTTATCGCTTATCCGATAGCCGAGACCAGGGGTTAAGCGACCATGCTGAGCTAATCTGTCAGCTGGGCTAAGGTCGGTAGATAAGCTCGACAAGGCGGGGTGGATATGGATATCTCTTCGAGGTACCACAAACGCATGCGAAGGCGTCCGGGCGAGTGAACCGATGCAAACGAATATGATGGTGATGAAGAGCGTGTCGTGAGATGGAGTTATCGTCGTCGACCTGCTTGCGGCTTCAAATCAAAGGTCGGTTCAAGGGATGAAGTTGGGTGCACCGTGCGCCCTTCTCCATGACTACCTCGACAACTTACAAGAGTAGAGATGGTTTCTGAGCGGGAACGTCGCATCCATTCGCTGTCAGTATGCAGCTCGTCGAGCTCACCGCTTCTCAGAAACCAGCGTCGTCGCATCATCCGTTCCCGCCAGACTCTCCTCGTACGGATCGCTATCGAGATCCGCCTTCACGAGACTAATCACCAACCCTTGCACTCCCATCGCAATCTGATAGCCAGCGAGACCGAGCAACGCAATGATGACCAGCAGGAGATTGATAATCGCCAGCAGGCACAAGGGGATGACGTGCCAGAGTTGGACGCGGCGGAGCGGACAGCCGCCCTTCTTGCCGGCCTTGCTTTCGGCTTCCATCATGCCGATCAGCATGAACCGGAGGGGACATTTCGGCTCGGGGGCCGGCGCCGTGTCGGTTGATGAGGGGGTGGAGGAGGAGACGGATTCCGTGTCGCCGTCCTTGTCTTTCCGGCTCTTCTTGCCTTGCGAGATCACGACGTCGTGACGCCGCGCGCGACTGTTGGGGTAGTGCTTCTCTCTCTTTGAGGACGTCATGCCGAAGTTCAGGAGACTTGACATTGAAGGAGCTGTAACGTTGTCGATAGGGTGGAATTCCTCGAGTCCTTATCAATGTAGGGGCAAGCATGCGGATGCTATGCTATACGAGCTATGCTATATAGATATGAAACATAAAGATACTTTCATCTGATCGCGGCCTGAAGTGAGGAGAATCATAGCCCGACGATTTCAAGCTGACACCCCCAAGGCTAAATAAAGGATGTCATGCTGTGAAGCCATGTGCCCGAGACTCTGAGACACGGGCCGGAACGATGTGCAAGAGAGAGCCGGCCAAGAGCCGGGCAACGTGGCAGCAATGGATGATTTGTTCGCACACCACCAAGACACGAGAATCTCGACAATGTTTCAAAGGACGGGTCGAGAGGTTCAACATTTCCTGACGTGCTGAGAAACATTTAGCCCATGTTCCACAGAGGTTCGTATAAGGCCAATCATGAGGGGTCGGAGCTGGGAGTGGAGGGTTGCAAGTCCAGTAATTGGGCCCGCCCAGCTGCGAGCGATAGATGCCCAATGCATTCCTAGACCGTGGAACTTGGTAGAACCCGACTAATTCAAGGTACCTCGACAAGATCATTCGACAACTGCTGCAGCCCAGTAGAAGGTCCACTCGGATTCCTCGGTGCCTCATGACTCCCTGCCTTGGCGGGGAGAGCGAAGAGAAACACTGTTGAGGACAGTGGATGCATCGGAGCAATCGGTAGGGAGGGGCAGATCTCAGCTTGTTGCGCATGACTTCAATGCGAGCTGCTCTCGAGGTTCGGGTAGCTTATGTGAGTCAACAATCAAGACCCCAGCCCAAATGACGGAGCTGTAGCTGGAGCTGAAGCTGGAGCTGGAACTGGAGCTGGAGATCCTTGAGCTCTGCAGCCCTCTGCAGCCTTGTGCTAGTTGCTGATATCCACAAACAACAGGATCAGCGAGCCGTATAGAGACAATCAAACTGAGCTCTCTGATACACTTGTGTCAAGAGACCTGTTCAATGTCGATAGCTACCCATGTTGCCAAGTCGTTCAATAACGAAGCCGGTGCAAGTCGACTAAATATATCCCCGATCGACGCACCCCGGAAAACACTTTATGCACCCCCAGCTCACCAAACGCTCCGCGCTGGCCCGAGCTCCTTCGCCTAAACCACCACGGCAAATAATCCCACGTCATGGTATGGCAAGACTTCGATTCGGTACCTCCACCTCCAACACTGCCCTGGAGTCAACAGCATAATATCCGCACAGATTGATGGGCGCACGCTCAATTGCTGCGAGATTGAATCACAATGGTTCTTGAGAATTCCTCCATTGAGGAGGGCACTGTCTCCGACGTCGACCCCTACGACACCCAAGCAGCGCCCGGCCGACCTGGCCGAAACTATCATATCGATGTAGCAGCTCTTCCTAAGCCCATGCCCATATTCGGCCCTCTGTTTGGCTATAACCAGAAGCTTTTCGAGAAGGTGTTGCATGAAAAGCTCGTAAACGGGGCGCATGCTCTCGGGAGACCACCGACTCAGGAAGAGGCCGAGGCTACTGCGTTCTGGACTGCCAAACAGATATCGATCATCTCCTATGGCTCACCTATAGGGGTTGCGGGGGGTTGGTGGAGGGCATGGAATACAGCCTCAACATATCGATTTCCCTTCTGGCAACCGAATCCCGAAACGTTCAATCCATTATCATTCCCTCCGGCAATGGGCACCTTAAGGAACCTCCACGCGATGATCGCGTGGCATGCTCTGAGAGCGCTGGCATACGGGGTTGTGGGAAATTATGTCGGTCAGATTATTATTGGGAGTTATTCCATAAGTACTGCGGCGGTCGGCGAGCTCTCGGACAAGAGATTGACGGCGATGGTCAATGCAGTGAGACAGCAAGCCCAACAAAGACGTGGGGGCTTACCAAGTCCAACGCAACAACGTGCTGCTGGGATGGCTCGAAATCAACCGGATGATGCCAGCCCGACTGCTGGCATGTATGGAGACGAGAGCTCGGAAACGGGAAGTGATATCGGAAGGCTAGGCATGAGTGATGATAAACTGCAAGAGGACCGCACCAGGACATGGCCCCGGCCATCGAAGGCACCTCAGATGGAGCCATACGAGGCCCAGGACGAAGGATTTGTGTTTGATGATGCCTCTCCAACCGGTGGTCAAGGTGTCAGTGCCGATACTGCACCACACCAAATGTCCGCCTGGGAACGATTGAGACGTGGTGAAAAGCCCGTACCAAGTGGGCAGGCAGGGCCTAGAGGTCTAGCAGCACCTGCTCAACCACGGCAGAATGCATGGGCGAAGCTCCAGAATAATACCCAGCCAGAACAAGGAGGGTTATCTGCTAGTGAAAGCTACACGTTCTCCGAGACAGACGAAGACCGAAATGTGGCGAGGGCACAAGCTCAGAAGGAGTTTGATGCTCAGGTTGATCGGGAACGGCGGGGAGGAGATTTTAACAGTGGTGCCGAACGACGACGATGGTAAATGTACTATAAGGAATTGCATAAAATGATAGATATGGCATTGTGAAGGGAGTGTTGTGTGGGATCAACAGATACTCTTTCTCATTTGTTTGGCATAGATTAGTGACACCGACTACGACAATATACAATAAAGACTATTTTCCTTGGAAAATGCTTGTGGCTTTCTTCTCTGATAGCAAATAAAAGGAAATAAATAATCCGGTCAGAGAATTCCTCTCCTCCACATCTGCCTCGAAGTCACGGGGTTGCAGAAAAGTGATTTGTCTCGTTTCCGCGACAGTCCAGAAAACCCTCCATATAACCCCAGAACCAACACCAAATCACCAGCTCCTCGACAAACAAGATGGCAGATCACAGACGCTCACACCGCCACGATGAACATCGCGCACGACAATCACGGTCACGGTCACCCCACAGACACCACCGGCCCCACTCGCACCGAGCCCGCTCTCCCCACCACCATCACCATCACCACAAGAAGCACACTCCTCCAGAAGCCTTCCCCAAAGAGCTTCCCTACAACTCGCGAGCACTCACAAAAGGCGACTATGCAACCTTCAAGCCTCTATTCGCGCTATATCTGGATATCCAGAAGGGCAAGGTATTGGAAGAGCTAGATGAGGTGGAGGCCAAAGGGCGCTGGAAGAGTTTCCTGGGAAAATGGTAAGTTCGCATGACGCGAGGCGGAGGGGGGAGGGCCTCTGCAATTGAATTTATCGGGATGAACTAGGTAGAGGCTGACAGAAGTGAGGAATCGTGGAGAGCTGGCTGAGGGATGGTACGACCCTTCTACGTTCCAGAAAGCGCAGCAATCAGCGTCATCGTCGGCGCCTGACCATGACGACGGCTCCTCGAACACACGACCCAGAGCGACTTCGCCATCGAGTACATCGGCTCGCGATCCTGCTGCGAACGAAGAAGCGGGCGAGGAAGATAGCGATACTGATAGTGATGATTCGGTTGGACCTACGCTGCCGGGACAGGAACGGCGTTCAAGAGGAAGCAGGAGGATGGGACCCCGTATCCCGGGAATGCAGGATCTAGAGCTGAAAAGAGGTAAGGGGTTCTTTTGTGATAGAGGGTAGTTATTTATTCTAAGGCTAACACCGTGTGGCTAGAAATGGAAGCAGAGGATGGACTCGCGCGACGGGACGATCTGCGATTCGAGCGGAAGCTTGATCGCAAAGCGCAGAAAGAAGCGCTGGACGAACTGGTCCCCCGGGCCGAAGCAGGCACGCGGGAAAGACAACTAGAGAAGAAGAGGGAAGTGAATGAGAAGATGAAGTCGTTCAGGGAGAGGTCTCCTGGTGCGGCAGAGGTTCCGGACGCGGAGCTGATGGGAGGTGGGGATGGGATCGGGGAGTATAAGAAGATGAAACAGGAGTTTGAGAGGAAGAAGACGGAGAGAGAGTTGAGGAGGGAAGAGATCATGAGGGCTAGAGCGGCGGAGAAGGAGGAGAGGTTGAATGAGTATAGGGCGAAGGAGGAGGAGACTATGGCTATGCTGAAGGCTCTTGCGAAGCAGAGATTTGGTTAGTAGCCAGACAATGTTGGTTGTGCATTAAGTATATGGTATTGGGGAACAATTAGCGACTGGCAGACTATGTCGGTAATTGAGATAGATTCCATAACTGGACTCATATTGCCTAAATCTTCACAGTAACCGTATCTTTCTTTCTGCTATAGTGGCTTCAGTAGGTACATAAGGCTGAGTCGAGAACTTGAACCAAGGTATCAGTCAAAATCCTCACTCACAGCGTGCCCGGCAGGGCCCAACTTACCTATATGAGACGAAAAGAAATCCATAAAAAATCCCACTTCTAAAATCCCCACAGCTTTGTTTTAACTCCCTCAACTCCTCCGTAATTTCAACATCAATGCCTGATGATGAATGATCCATTTCCGTATTAGGATAACACGATTAGTACCTTAGGTACCTTAGGTACGGTAGCCTCGCTCGCTCAGCCTTGCATAAGGTACCTTACAATAACCTCCGAAATCGCCTACCTTATATTTATTTATCAACTTTCTTTACCTTACCTTATCTATCAAAACCTCCTCAAAAACCTCCACCACCGCAATTCCCTTCCTCCCAATCGCCAACGAACCTCCTCATGTCCGAATCCACGAGTCTGAAATGAAAGGATCGTCGCTTTTAGCTACCTAAGATGCCGAGATCGATATAGATTCGATTTCGCGGGATTTTGCCAACTTTTTCTTTTCTATTCGACATTATATTATTATATCGGTTTTGGAACGGCCGGTTTGTGGGTTTTAGAGGAAGAGATTATCTTATCTATATAGAGATTTGCGTTTAGAGAAGATGGAGATAATATGCAAGAGCGTATATCGCGCTGCATGGAAGAAAGCCCGCAGCTTGACAGGATGGGGAAGAAATCTCGAGCTTCTTTCCCCCAACTACGACCGAAGAAGAAGACTGAGCAACACCAGCCATCTACACGGCTCCTCGAAAAGCAACAACAACAACAAGAAGAAGACGCCGGTCAAACCGCACCAAGCAAAACTTGAATACAAGTAAAAACCATCCCCAATCAATCTTCAACCCCCAAGCCAGAATCGATTGTCTAACACCGCACTTTTCGATGTAGAACGCCGACTCGAAAACCACTTCCTACCTCCTCCTCCTCTTCCTCGTCCAAAAAACCTCCAACAACCAATCCTCTCCGGTACCGCACAATCCCCATCGTTTTCGGAAGTCTCACCCTCTTCGCCTTCTCCTGCTACACGTCCTATCTCTACATCTCGTTCTCGCGGTCCGCCGGCACGCCCAGCACGCCCAGCAGCAGTAGTCCCAGCTCGCAACCCGACGTATCAGCCCGCTACGACAGTATCGCGCGCACCTTCGACACATCGGTCGATTCGACAGAGCGCGTGCTTCGGATCGCGGCTCTGCGTCGGAAACTGGCGGCGAGGGCCCAGGGCGACGTGCTCGAAGTGTCGATTGGGACGGGCAGGAATCTGGAATATTATGAGTGGGATGACGATGATCACAACAATAACAAGAAGAAGAAGCCGGGGAAGGCGGGTGAAAAGGGGAAGGGGAAAGTAAAGAGCTTAACAGCTCTGGATAAGAGTGCAGAGATGTTAGACGTCGCTCGAGCGAAGCTAGAAACGCTGGGAGGACGCGCAGAGAAGAAGAACATCCGCTGGATAGTCACAGACGCGAGTCTTCCCCCCCTCCCAGCCGCACCCAACGCCACTCAAAAATACGACACGATAATCCAAACCATGGGACTCTGCAGCGTATCGGATCCGGTGCAACTCCTCCGAAACCTCGGCTCCAGTATCAAAGAAGAAGAAGGCCGTATCCTGCTCCTCGAGCACGGCCGCGGGAATTGGAAATGGCTTAATAATCTCCTGGATCGCTTTGCGGAAGATCATGCGAGGGAGTTTGGATGTTGGTGGAATCGGGATTTGAAGGGGATTGTGAGGGAGAGTGGGCTGGATGTCGTGGATATGTATTCCGTGTGGTGGCATGGGGGAACGACGTGGTGGGTGGAGTTGAAGAAGTCGAGAGCAGCGGAGCATGATGTGGCTTGATGTTGCGTGGCGGTTGAGGAAGAGTAGGGATAAATAACTTGGAAGGCTGGGAGGGAGGGGTTGCTTGTGAGTGAATCCAGGAATTTCTATATTCAGGCTGAAAAAACTCGACACCTGCATTTTCCGCCTTTGGATAATCTCTCGACATATTCGATCTTGGAGAGATTAAAAGCATGGCACGAAATGGTAAATGTCACCCAGGAAATCGAAAGCTGCGCTCAAGACCACTTCGAGACGGTCCTGTATAAAGGTACCTAGGTATCTATCACCAAGTCCTTGGCATTATACATGACTGGTTAATAAAGCAAAGCTGGTGATATTTCTGCCATCAGGTTTGCCAATTTTTGTTATATTCATTATCTTCTGTATAAATTATAAGGTATGTATTTGCTTCAGGACCTCCTGCATAGATACATATCAATTATATTCCACCTTTTCCTCTCTGTTAAATCCAAGCTCTCTAGATTGGGGGGCCTGCAACCTTGAAGGGATGAGCTTCGGTATTGAAAACAAACTGGTTAACTCCATTGTGATTCGTCTGCCAGACATTATCCTACGCGCAAATATCAGTACCTCTCAAACTTGGTCCCGTGCACGGGAAGGAAGAAGACTTACCGGTGCATGGATCAGATAGCTATACTTCAGGACCTCCGCGAAGAGGAAACTGTCCTGGAAGTCGTTGAATCCGCCACCGTTAGCCGCGTTTACGTTCTGCAACTCGGCGAATCCGGAGCCAACGCGGCAGGTGGTGTTGACTGCGACGAAGCCATTCCAGGCCCAGTCCCGGTATGTCTGGTTGCCCGTGGCTCGGTAGGCGTAGTAGAAACTCTCGATGACTTCCGGGCGGAGGATGTACGCCCCGTCGGTGATGTAGAAGCCTGCTTTTTTGTAGAAGGCCTCTTCATGCGAGGAAGGGCCTGGGTTGGTGGTATCATTGGCGGCAGTGGTGTTGGTCACCCATCTGAACACCTCGGGGCCGATACCCGTCAAAGTATTGGCGTAGGTATCCTCGCAGCCTGTAACGAGGGCAATACCAAAGTCGATATATTTCTGCTCTTTGAGAACGAGACCTCCGAGGATGAAGTTCCCTCCGTTGAAACACGCAACTATTTCGAGATTAATACCACAAATACAATTTGAAGCATGGTCAGGAAAGCTCACGATGCTCGGATTCAAAAATGAGCTCTTGTCCATCGTACATAGCCACGAATGTCAGATCGGGACGGGTAGATGGATGACTAGCGAGGTACTGAATCGTAGAATCGGCTGCCAGAACCCAGCGGTCCTTGTAGCTTGCGAAGCGTGTCGAGTCATACACATACATCTTCAGGAGGTACTCGTAGAAGCTGTCGTCGCCTCCAACCCAACCCCCCTCTGCATCCAGGAAAACGCCATTGGAAATGTTCACGTTCGTGCCGAGGAGCCCAGGGAAGGGTTCCGACGAGGCTGGCTGAGGGTGCAACAGGTACGATTGCCCTTTTTGGGATAGAGCAGCGTAGGTCTTGTTGCCGGTGAGATCGGAGAGATGCGTCCATTCTAAGACAAGTGATCCGATCGTAGCTAGACCGTTTGATGTAGATCCATCAGTGGATTGAGGATTGAAGTACAGGTTGTTGCTGGGGATCCCAGTAGGGGTGTCGAATGCAAATGAAAGGTTGTTTGCCAGATTCTGTGCCTGAGTAAGAATTGCGTCAACAGCAGCAGTGTTGGTTGTGAGGCCTGACAGAGGCCCTTTCAGGAGGTCATAACCTACGCGAGTCAGTATATCCACATCGATATCATGTGAAAGGGGTAAATGGGTAAATCACCTGACAACATTCCAGCCAGGTACCGGATTGTGGTCTCGAAAAGCGAGATCTGCGATCCAGGAACCGGTTGACCGAAATTGATCGTGGGAATATATGATAGGATAGTGTTCGTGACATCCGCGTTCTGCATCACAATCGCCGTGCTGAAAGCGTCCACGGCGCTCGCGCCCCATCCATTTCTACACAAAAAGGTCAGTTCCGAGTTGCCGGTCTCGAGATGAGGCGAGTAGAAACCTTGAGTCTGAGTAGGAATTTGAAAGAGGGTGCAGCTCGTCATGGGGAAAAGCATATTTGTAGTATCCGTCCCACGCAAACTGAAATGCATCTTTGACGGCATCTGCTCGTTGGCGGTTCAGGGCATGGTTATCAGCGCTGCTTTGCCGGGGAACGTGGGGCACAGCGAGCACAGTCTGCCAGCATAGGGCTGCAACTGCCGCTATGGCGAAGGATCGCGACGAATGCATTCTCTGTCGCCAAGATGAGAATGATGCTCGAGATCTCGGCGGTTTCGACGGGGTTTGCGGGGAGGCGATTCAGCCTGGAGGAGGGACGAATGGCCAGGGAAGAGAGTTCGACGGAGGTGGCAGATGCAATATATATAGGCTCTGGACCATATTCTCACACGACTTGGGGCCGTCCAGTACGTTAGTGAGTGGTACTTGGGACTGATCAGCCGCCATCCCATCCAGCCTTCAACCCCCCGCCGCCGATGTGGGCTGGAACGGTGTAGAGCCCGTACATAGGACCGAGTGTTGCCCAGGGGTTCAGTCCATGAGTTGATCGAGCAGAGTCGCACTGCAGCAGCGCACCGTGCGGCAACAGAGCTTCATCGTGGGAGACACTGAACCGTCGTCACTCGGCCCGCAGCGCAAGTACCGCGATGGTCGAGGATTTGCAGTTGCAGGGGCCGACGCGAGAGATCATCGGTCTGCGACGGACCAGGAGACTTTATCCTGAGACCTGACCTGCCGAGTCAAGATTAGTCGCATGTGCCCAGTTGGAGAGGATCAGAGGAACCCTTCCTACTACAGTACCACCGCCGTCGATCGAGTCTCTGGAGCGGGGGGCCAAGATTCCCCTGTCTGTCTCTCGGGACTGACTACTGGACTTCTGACTCTGGGGCGTTGACCGGGCGATAGAGCGATAGAGCGATAGAGCGATAGAGCGATAGAGTGATAGAGTGATAGAGTGATACCTGCTCGTCAACTCCTCCGCAGTATGTCCGTTCAGTCGTGTTCGTATGCTGTTGTCCATGATCAGAAGATGATGTTGTCCAGGGCCACCGCGAGACTTGAACATGGTGCTCAGCGGTGGAGAGAGCTTCCCCGCTTGCGCCGCCTCTGCCGACAGACCCCAGAGCGCGACTGTGATGCAGTATGCAATTGACCTCGAAATACTCGCGGGACAAGGTAACGTTGTACTGATTTGGCCCCAGCAGAGGGAATGTATAGATGAGGGGGAGGGGGAGGGGCAGAAAAATAGGATCAACCAAGGTACCTACAATATCTACATCCATGTGCATCACCATCAAGCTTGTACAGCATTATCAGCATAATAGCTTCTCTCAAATTTATGTACTCTGTAAGTGGTCATGTTGAACCCATTCTCCCGAGCACGTCAACCCCGTGTATCTGCAAGAATAATCTAGACAATAGTGGTGCTATGGTATGTATCTGCACAAGATACCTCATCCCTCCTCAAACCTCGAAGGCTCTAAGAATACACCACTCTTCGTGTTTATTCACGCCCTCACCACCACCAATGGGCTCCCCTTTTCGCTTCCTCCCGAGGCTTCCTCGCTATGGTGATCAAAGCCAACGCATTCCGGACTCCCATCGCGTGCCTGGTCATCTCCAGGAGAGCTTGATTGCTCAGAGATGCAGATCGTCCTGACGGTCCTGCACCCCGCTCACACCATCCGCCACCACCAGGGGAAAAAGAAGCAGGAATATTCCACCCATAGGAGGCGCCGATTGGGCCTTGCTTGGCCTGCTCGATGTTAAGCCCGAGGAGCTGGCTGGCCGCACTGGTGCAGATGTCTCATGTCTGATGCCATCTGGGAGATCTTCAGCGATCTCACTCGCTGCACCTCGATCTCGATGTCGTGCTCAAGTGATAGCTAGTTGTGCGAGGTTAAGCTCATTGACAAGACTACGCACTCCAGGATAGTGGATATCGGCCATTGAATAGCATGGGCTCCTTCCCCGTTACTGTGACGGTCTCGGGCTTCCATGTGTTTGGTAGTTGTAGCTGCCTTTGTTCTAATTGCGCTTCACAAACTTGAGCCGCCTGGATGATCTCCTTGTGGTCAGAAAGTTCTGATCTCTTGATTCTTACTTGTATTTCGACAAAATGGCTGACATTGAAGAGGAGATCTGCGGCTGGGAGGTCCATCTTTGCATTCTCATCTGTTGAGTACCTATACTCGTCAGCAATGACACTTCCTGCAGCTACGACCATCACCACTGTTAGGGGACGCGTGTGACCCCTCGCTTATTCTGTATATAATACAGTCTGATAGCTTAACCAATCCACAGACTTACACAAAACGATCAAGGATTGAAACCTTACATGGTAGCAATACCGTCGTTTCGTCAATTCAGCCTCCGCACCCAGGACGATAAATATACGGTCGACACTCCCACTCACCCGCCATCTTCACCACATGGCTGAAGAACCACTGCCCTGAGCCATATTGTCATCGCTGGACAACAATTCTGGTGCATACAACGATGCCGAAGAAAGAGGCTTCGACAACACATCCGTCACATGATACCCTCGGTTATGGGGGTCCTACTTCTGTATATATAGCCTCTCCAGACCCCTCCCTACCTTCACTCTTTAATCGAGTCCTTTCCTCCCGTTTGACAACATCACTGCCCAAAACAGAGCAAGGGCAACTGTCGATATAATAAGCCTCTGGGCTTATGTACCAAACACCAGATACGATGCAGGGTTCACGGGATGGTACATTTGAAAGACGAACACTGCACAACCTGTTTGAAGCAGTCGGAGAAGGAATCGGAGAAGGAATCGGAGAATAAGTCGGAGAACAAGCTTGATAACAAGTCCGAGAACAAGTAAGGCATTGTGTGAGTCAACTCTCTCTTCCTATCTCTCCTACATATTCCGTAAATGCTAATACCTTGACAGTGGAAGTTGGGGGCTACATCGCTCGATTCGAACGAATATTAACACTGCTTCGGCATGTATTCTCGTGAGAAACCCTTCGAGAGCCTGCCAGTACCGTAGCGGCATCTACTGACGCAAGTATCTTGTCATCTAGATCCGTTCCATCTATCGCATGATCGACTTCTCTCTTGGCAGAACTGGATATACCAAAACTCATGAATGGTATGCCTACGTCTTCGATGACACCTCCTTAGAGGGGGATTTGAAGTTAAGTCGTTGCAAGATCTTCAAGAGTCAAGACCCAACCAGTCCAGGATTTTACGAACTATTTCGAGTCACTACTACAAAACGTCGCTTGGGCGTCTTCGGACGCGGCGGTCCTCTCCGCCTACCAGCTAAAACTTACGGAACCAATCCTCGAGCGAATCTACGAGGCGTCGAATGGAGCGCTCCCGACCACCTACGCGGAGTTAAAACGTGCGGCCCTGAATGCGGAGGCGTGGATTCGGAGCAAATCCCGCTTGTTCTCTCGCTCTTCGATGCGCTCCCGATCTTCCCAGTGGTCGCCCTGTACGCTTGATGGCACCCAGCGAAATATCTCCCTTATCTTGGGTTCCGACTCCCCAAACATGCCAGATGAATGGTGTCGGAGAGGGACGGACGAAGAGGTGATAGAAGTAGCCAGTTACCACAGGGACGAATGGAATGGACGCCGGAGGAGGACTCGGATGCTCCGACCTGACCCGCGTCTTTCGGCAGGGCATGGCCCCGGCATACCAGACGGCTATCGAGGAAACCACAAAGAAAAACATGGAAATCTTTCGAAACCACGCAATGCATTATTTGATGAAATCACTTACTGCAGACGAGACACGAAGAGCCCTAGAAGCTGGGATCAGACTCGACGGAATTCCATCGGGCACGAAGCCGCTCACGTTGAATCTCGATAGAGACTGCCCAGCCCGCCCGATCCAACGATACAGCCTGTCATCCCAGTCCAGTAACCAGTCGCCCAAGTCCAGAAGCCTGTGGACCTGGCTGTGAGGTTTCAATTCCCTTGATCGTTTGTGTAATTCTGTAGATTGATAGAAGCTATTCAGACTGTGCTATATACAGAAATAAGCGAGGGTCACATTTGTGCCCTAACAGAAGTGACCTTGGACGTTTGTTCGTTTGCTTTGCGTTCTGTTTATTCGTACAGGCAACTTCCCCCTCTTTGATCGGGAATAACATTAGAAGTTCTTGCAGACCTAGAGAATATCGAAGATTATTCTCGTACCTATTCTGTAATCGAACAGAACCTGGAACCCATTGGAGAATCCCCAGCTTGGTTAGTAGGCATGGTCCGTGCCCCGGGAGCTAGGGGAGAGGCCCGAGCTCCCCTTAGATCCACTGAACTTCAGCCTCAGGAATTCCTGCCTGAGGTTCAATGAGCCTCAGGTCCTTGGGAGCTAAAGTGTTCGTAACAGTGGTCTAACGGTATTAAATACTGAAGATATTATCACTTTGACCTCCACATGTTGTTTATTGATTTTGTAGAGTCGCCAAGTCTCATTTGGTAAGGTATAATAAGTAAGGTATTGTGGGTAGAAAAAATAGTCACATGATATATCTTCCTATTTAGGCGTAGAGCTAGCTGTAGCTAGACATTTAAGGTATTCTCGCTTAGGGCCTTACTAGAGCTTGGACCACATTATATTCATCCCCCCACCAGATATGCCAAGCTCATATGTAAATGCCCTCCCCTACTACCTAACATCTCTATACTTAAGGTACGTACAAGCAATCCTACTACGCCAACGCATAATCTCGATGTCTTCCTCTTCCTCCTGTTCAGAATCAGCTTCCTCTTCTGTTGTCTACGACCATGAGCCATTCGCTACCTTCCGTCTCCGCGTATTAGAACTTGCGCAAAGCATATGGGTCGGGGCCTCTCCAGAAGAAATCACCATAGAGCGGATGGCAGGAGGAGGATTCAATCGGATCATTGGCCTCTCTCGAACAATCGGTAGCCAAGAAGAAGAGAAAACCCAGTACGTTTTGCGGGTCCCACGATTCGACGCGGCGCAGTTGGATCGCGAAGTCGCCGTGCTACAATTTGTGCGGCGCTATTCAGAGATTCCAGTGCCAGAAGTTGTGGGATTCAATGAGACGAGCAACAACGTATTGGGGGACCCTTACATGGTGCAAAAGCGTGTTCCAGGATTTGATCTGTACTCCTCCTTCCCCAAACTCGACCATACGAGTAAATGCAGGATCGCGCAACAACTCGGGCTCTTCTTTCGCCAGATGCTGTCCCTGCGGAGCCAGGTCGCAGGAGTGTTGGTACTCCCACCGGACAATAAGAGCTTGGAGGCGCCCCTTCAAGTCGCGCCGTTTTGCGGAACAGATCCATCATCCTCTGCTGGTCTCACCCTACTGCGATGCACCGGCAACACAAAGCATGCGTGAAGCGCTCACAAGCATCTTCCAGGCCCGAAAGGCTACTGCCTTAGAGCGATGCTCTACAGATATCTGGCGGTACGAGCTTATAGACAAATTTATCACAATGACCTCGGAGCTAGACAGCGATGGTTGGTTGGGAAGCAATCAAAACTCTTTATGTCACCTGGATCTAGCACCACGTAACATACTGGTCAATCCAGCACCCGATGATGCTCAAGTATTCGAAATCTCCGCCATCCTCGACTGGGACAGCGCGGTTTTCGCCCCCAGCTTCATGTCCTGTGCCCCCCCACTCTGGATTTGGGCTTGGAATGACGACGAGGACGAGCGAACAGCGGATAATGATCCTCCCACTCCAGAGTTGCGCCAGCTGAAACATCTTTTTGACAATGCTGCAGGTTCCGATTATGTATATTTTGCATATGAGCCTCCGTACCGGTTGGCTAGGCGGTTGGTGTATTTTGCTATTCATGAAATAGGATACAACGAAGAGGTGAAAAAGGCTAGTGAAATGCTGAAGGAATGGGCTGATATGCGCCGATCAAAACCAACAAGGCAGAGAAGAATATAGAGCCAGCTATACAGCACAGCACATTGACGGACCTTGAGTAGGATTCGAGGACGTTCTATCTTTGTGTCCAATTCTTTCTAAATTTTATCTACGCTCCAAAATGCTCCACAACGCTCTATACCTAGTCATATATACATTTACTCCGGACATATCTCGTTAATAGATGTTGTTATCATTACCAGTCAATATTCACTTCGCCATTCCCACCACCAGCCGCTACGGCCTTCTTGGCCTCGGCGGGCTTTCTCCCTCTCATGCCCACCCCATTGGGACCAAGCCTCCTATCCAGCTTCTCGAAGGGGTGCGCGCCACTCTCGCCCTTCTTCACCATCCACTTCTTCGTGCCCAGGACGCCGTCCAGCTCGTGCACCGGCGGCAGCTTCAGATACACCATGCCGTCTTCGCGCTCCTCCACCGGGAAGGTCGCGATGCTGACCTCCTCGTCGTTCTGGCATCGCCCGGCTTGCTCGCCCGTCAGGTTGAAGTTCCGCTTGTGGTACGGACATGACACCCAGAGCTGGTCGTCCTTGTCGCCGATCAGTCCGTCCGAGAGGACGAAGGCGCGCTTGTGCGGACACATCTGCTGGCTGGCGAGGTACTTGCCCTTGACCCTGAAGATGGCCAATTGAGTGTCACCCCTCTTCACTGTCGCGCTGATACCATTGGGTGTCTCGTCAGCGCCCTTGAAATGGCTAGCCTCAATGATGGGCTGCCACGTCAAAGAAGTCCACTTCGTGTTCTTGAAGTCTTCCTTGACACTCTCCTTGGCCCAATATACAGGCCGTGTCTGTCCTCTATCTTCTTCCAGTTCCATGTTTTGCAATGTTTCTGTAGTGTTGTCGAATTGTTGAAATTTCTTCCGGATTTCTGGGTCTTTGACTGCTTCAGCCCATTCGTCGAAGAAAGTGCCTACCAGTTCTTCCATTTGTGCTTCCAATGAAGCGCAGATGCCGAGCTTGTCCTCGAGGATGACTTCGCGGAGGTACTTGACGCCGCCAGGGAGATTCTCAATCCAGCGTGCTGTTCTTTGCAGCTTGTCGGCGGTGCGGATGTAGAACATGAGGTAGCGATCCAGGATTGTGACAACATCATCGGGAGGTACGTCTTTTGCGAGGAGGTCGCAGTGCCGAGGCGTCGCACCACCGTTACCGCCCACGAAGATGTTGAAGCCCTTGTCGGTGGCAATCAGGCCAAAGCTGTGATAGGTTTTAGCACGGGTCCTGAAGAGTGGAAGAGGGGCTCAGCTTACTCTTTGTTCTGTGCTTCAGCACACTCGCGGACACAGCCACTAACACCTCCCTTCAATTTGTGCGGGGCGCGGATACTCTTATATCGCTCTTCTAATCGGACAGCCATACCAACACTGTCACCAATCCCATACCGACACCATGTTGTGCCCACACAGCTCTTGACGGTTCTGAGAGATTTGGCATATCCGTGCCCACTCTCCAAGCCACCAGCGTTAAGTTCCTCCCAGATGGGAATCAAATCTTGTTTCTTTGCCCCAAACATGTCAATTCTCTGCCCACCGGTAATCTTGGTATATAAGTTGTATTTCTTCGCGACGTTTCCCATCACGATCAGTTTCTCTGGGGTAATTTCTCCAGCGCTGACACGAGGAATAACAGAGTAGGTACCATTCCGCTGGATGTTTCCCAGGTACCGATCATTCGTCTCTTGTAGACCCTGGTAAGGTTTCTTCATAACGTGCTGGTTGTAGAGCGAGGCGAAAATCGAACCGATGGTAGGCTTGCATGCTTCACAGCCTTGGCTGGTTGGATCGGTCCCGGCCTCCTTCATAACTTCCGCCAATGTCTTCAATCCCTTGACGGAAATGATGTGGTAGAGATCCGCTCGAGAGAAATTGAAATGTGGGCAGAGGTGGTTCTTGATCTCCTGGCCCATAGCTTTCATCTGCGTGTTGAAAATGCTGGTAACGAGAGGCATGCAACCGCCGCAACCAGTTCCCGCCTTGGTGCAGGATTTGACATCTCCTATGCTCTTGCAGGTTCCATCTTTTATCGAATTGACGACGTCTCCTTTGGTGACATTGTGACAAGAGCAAATTTGTGTGTCGTCGTCCAAATCATCGGCGCCATCGTCTCCCTCTTTGCTTGCACCCAGGATGAATTGACTTGGTGGAACCTCCAGAGCCTTTTGGTTCTTGACCATTGCCACAAGCTTGATGTAGTCCTTGGTATCACCAATCATCATTCCTCCAAGTAGATACTTCCCGTCCAATGTAAACAAGTACTTCTTGTAGACATTCTGGAATGGATCTTTGTACGTCAAGGCCTTGACGGGAGACGGGGGTGTGCAATCCGTGGGTTTGGTCGGGTCATCTTGGGTTTGTTCCTTCTTTCTGCTCGCGCGCACTGGGAGAAACTTGGGTCCATCTCTATCGGCGAAAAAGTCTCCGAAACTTGCAACCTCGACACCTAACAGCTTCAACTTGGTACTCAAATCCGGTCGCTTGAACTTCCGATATGAGTGCACCTTCGCCTGTGTGAGGTTGAAGGATAGGACATCGGCCATCTCAACACCAGGAGCAATGAGGCCAAATGTCTGGTTCTCCCAGCTCGCACACTCGCCAATTGCGTAGATATCCTTGACGCTTGTGGACAGGTCCTCGCCAACCACGATTCCGCCCCCTCCTCCATCCGCACATTTGATGCCAGCTTTCCGGGCCAGCTCGTCGCGGGCTCTAATACCGATTGCGAAACAGATAGTGGAGCAATCCATTCTCTCCCCGTCCTCAAAAACAACACCCTTCACATAATTGTCCTCGGTGACTTCGATCTTGCCCACCCGCTTGCTGAGCATAACGTCCAAACCTAAATCCCGGACTTGTCCAACTACCAGGCCACCAGCGTCGGCATCGAGTTGCCTGCTCAGAACCCAGCGATTCCGCTCGATCAGCTTGACTTTCTCAAAAGCTTCCAGATCCATCATGGCTTTCGCAGCTTCGAGCCCCAAGAGACCACCACCCACAACAGCGCCATATGTTCCCTTGCGCTGAGCGGAGAATTCTATTAAGTTTTGTAAGTCTTCGATCGTGCGGTAAACGAATACGCCTTTGGCATCGTGGCCGGGAGTGTGTCTGGGAAGGAGGGCATCGGAGCCGGTAGCTAGGACGAGGATATCATATGGAACAGTTTCGCCGGAGGAACAGGAGACAACTTTGTGCTCTGGGTGGATTTCTGTAACTTTCGTGTTGAGGTGATAATGAAGAGCCCCATCTGGGACATTGGAATACTGTCCAGAGATTATTAGTCCTAAGTCCCAATCTAAAAGGGGAGGGAGTGTACATACCCATTCTTGTGGATTCAGGTACAGATTCTCGACTTTTCGGTGTTGGAAAAAGCTCGTCAATCCTACTCGATTGTATGCCACATGCGCTTCTTCGCCGATGACAATGATATCGTATTCTCGTCTCTTTGCGTCGAGTTTCATTAGCTTCTCTCTGTCGATCAGTCAGTACAACTGCCCAGTCTACTCTCGTTGTCCACTGCCGGGACAAGGCAAGGTTTTATTTGGAGGACAGGAAACAAGATGCTCACATGAAACTAATGCCAACCATTCCCAGCCCTACAACCACGACTTTCTTTCTGGCTCCTGCATGGCTCTCATTCTCAGCTCCCTTTCCTCCATTCTCAATAGGGCCAGTCTTGCTCTCTTCGATGGGTACCTGCGGCTGCAAGTTACTCGACATCGCGGGCACTCTTTCGCATCAGCTCACGTTCCTCACAAGAATGTCTGTCGAAGGTCCTTTCGAAAAGGGCAGAACACCTATGTAATTATTCCATAGGGCAAATCAATACAATACAATACTTGGAAAATAATACTTAGCCGTAGCATACTTATTATTATATAGCCCTACCTATGTTCTATTTGCATCTCCTTCGAATCCTCGGAAACGCTTCGTCTTGAGTCTGCCCAGCGGCCCCAGCCCCATAATGTACCAATGATAAGCTGCGTAGGGTAACTGCCCCTCCGGAGAAGCTTCGGATGGTGTTCTGATGACGGGCCCGACTGCATTTCCTCGGCAGCTTTCTGCCTTGTTTGCTAATAAGATCTGGGACAGGGACCCAAGAACACACAAGGAGTGGCCAGAGGATGGAGACGACGGAGATGGCGGAGATATCACGATAAGAAGAAGTTGGGGCATAACGGGATGTTTGCAGTTTTCCATTGGTTGGATGGCGCTTGATTGGGGCTCATGGTGAAGGGTCGGCTAGGGTTAGCGAGGAGGCTAGAATTTCATGACGGAGATGCGGAGATACCCGATATCATCACAGGCATTCTTGACACGGACAGTCGACGAGGGAGCAATCAGATTGTGTGCATTAGATATCATTCCTAATTCTCCGGATGAGAGGCGTTTCTATGGAGTATTATTTAAAGAACCACGAGACTGTTTCTCGCGTCCGGATCATTAGCTCAACTGTCCCAGCCTTAAAGAGAGTGTTAAAATATCCCCCCCCCTCCTTTTTTGGGCAAAGCGGCAAGACGGCGAGAAAGTCACCGGCGCCTGCTCCATACCGTGCCCAAACGCCTCCTAGTCTTGATAACCCTACAGAAGCATTGCATTTTTCATCCCTGAAAACAATATTGTAGATGGGGTCTCTCAGATAAAACGCCACTCAACATACGCTTGCCTCTTGGTGATAGAAGCAAGAAAGACATCGACGTGGAACCAGATCAACAACCCTCACCCATATCTTCTTCGCTCATACTCTCATATCCGGCGTCCTTCATCCCAACAACTTGCTTTGTGATGTCCAAGCATCTCTCCACTATCTCTCTCTTAGTCTCTCTGTCTAAGCCACTCTTCTCGCCATCCTTGCTACCAATCCAAACTCTAAGATTGCCAGCCAATCTTTCCAGTGCTTTGGTGCAAGTAGCAGCTACGAGCTCATGCCCATTGATCTCTTCGATCAATTTGAATAAAGCGGTAAATGAAAGGAGTGTCAGATCAACCGGCACAATGCTGTTGATAAGTCCATGAGCTGCTTCTGGATTTGACGGTGAGGGGAAGCGCTGAAGATACGCAATGGCCACGGCACAATTGAGAGATATTGTGATGTCCGGGAGGGCTGCGATGGAGGTTGCGGTGTTGATGAGAGTTGGGACCGCCTCGTTCTTGTCCTTCCGCAACCCGGACGGCCCGAGTACCTGGAGGGCAGCCCCAATACTAGCTCCTCGTTTCTCCTTGACTAAGACAGCCCGAGCAATAAGAGCACGGGTTTGAGCGCCTGATCCAAGAGGTGCTGTCTTCACTGCGAGCGCGATATCGTCGACAATAGACTTTTGCGCTGCCGCATCACCCCCTTTCATCTCCAAACTTTTGGAAAGAGCCCTCTGCAAAACGAGGCTTGAGTACCATGCCGCGACTGCGTCAAGTGGGCTTCGAATTGCGAAGTCTTCAACTACGCCATCCATCGCATCACTAGAACCTTCTGAATTGTGCGTGGTCGGTAGGTTCCAGGCGAGATTATAGGCTCGTTGACCAATGGTGTCAACCAGAACCTCATCGCATTCTTGATCCAAAAGAGCTGCAAGGTGTTCTGGAAGTTCGTCCCCATGTTGGCCTCTAGTACGGGCAAGTGACCGTTGCAACTGCTTCGCCTCATTCCACTTCCATCTAGCTAGCCTTGTAGCAAATACCTGGAACATGGAGAATCCATTGAAGCCTGCGTTCCCAATCTCCCATAACAGGACTCGAATGTGGACGGCCTTGAGCATCAATCTAGCAGGTGTATCTGGTAATGTACCAGAAGCCAACAACGTTAGGGTCAGTCTGCTCTTGCTCACTTCAACATCTCCACCAGCCAATTGGGCATCGAGAGCGATTTCCCAGGCCTTGACTCTAGCTTCTTCTTGTTGTTGAGTGACCCCAGTGAGGTACGCATAGCCGTGCGATCCAATCAAGTTCAACATGCTGAGCTTTACTATCTTCAAGAGTAAGGCAGCCGCTTCGAGGAATAAATTGTGTCGCGGGACCCAAACTGTTTGGATAGCCGTAAGCCATGCCTGTCTGCGAACTTGAATAGATGAAGCAAGTGAAGGGGCTGCAGCTAGCGTCTTTTGCGTCTCGCCAGCTTTTGATTTTGGTGTTCTTGCGAAGAGGGAGGGTATGAATGCGTAGAGTAATGCGCCGAGGATAAGCCAGATCTTCATGTAATCAAGTGTCCGGTAGCCTACGACGTTGAAGTTGAAAAACGAATGAAGCATCTGACTAGCGCTTCTGAGCAGCTGCGTTGGGAGTGCAAATAGGCCACGTGCGCCAGGAGTGTCGCCTTCTTGCTCTGCCTCGCTGAAGCCCTCCATAATCATCAGGCCCGCTAGTGATCCAACCATCAACCTGCCGAAGTAGCCACCACCGGTTTGCCATCCGCTCGTGCTGTTTTGGCGTCGATTTGGTTGGGAATTTTCTTGTGAGGCAAGGAAGCTTTGTTGCTGAATTGACTGACTATGAAGTCTGCGTATATCTTCCGGTATGGGGATCATTCCTTGCGGCTCTCCAGTTGGTGATGGACCTGGGGCGTCGTACTCTGGACTATATGGGAAGGGCTGTGTGTAGTGAGGTGTGGAATTCAAACCCATCGAGCCGGACATGAAAAGTTTCTCGAAGGCATCAATACGGCCTTTCATGAACATATTCTCGTCCTCTAAACGTTTATTCCGTTTCTCTAGGTGGTTGATGTATTCTGTGGCTTTGCTTAAAACCTGCGTATTTCAATTAGCATGGGCTAATGGGGCATTGCAAAATAGACAACAAAGGAGGCGAAGGGTGTTAAATGCGATTGAACAGAACGAGAATTGATCGTGCTCTATTACACCATGTGTTTACTCTTCAGTGGCAGGGAAATTGACAAAAATCAAGTGTGCATGCGCAACTTACAGTTGCTTTATTCAGCTTATGGGCAGGGGTCAAGCCCTGTAAATCTTCCCTATCATCGGTAGTGTCTTCGCCCCGCGCGCTCTTTGTCATTATTCGTAGACTCGGAACGCTATCCCGTAAAGCAGCGATCTTGTCATTCAGGTTTGTTCGGTACCGCTTCTCGATCATGTTGTGTGCCGTCTTCTTCACGGGAGGATGTTGGCCTGAGGATTCTTCGTCATCTTCATCGTCGACGCCGTCTGAGGATTTGCGTTTTCGATTCTGGCCATTGCTTTCTGGAGATGACACCGAAGTGCTTTTGCGCGTACTCGCATCTGAGCTGGGACTGTCTTGACTTCGATATTGGAGGTGTTGGGGCATTGCGATTTTGCGCAGCCTCTCCTGCTGAGCAGGAGTAAGCGTACTCATGCTGTTATATGCGGGGGATGGAAGCTCTTCGGACTTCAGTTGAGGGTCCCAGCTCAGGGAAGTCGAGCTGAGGCCGCTCTCGTCTGGAGAAGACTCCTGCTGGGCCCAGTCCGCTGGGAACAGAGGCTCATCATCCAGCGCGAATGCATCGGTGAAAGTCAGGGTGTCGTCGAAGCCGGTCAGAGAGCCGAGGCCGGAAAGGGAGGGGGAATCGAAAGGATTGCTGGAATCCATAATGAGGCGCTCGTGGAATGAGGAGATATGTGGGAAGCAGTGGAGACGGGCGGAGAGGGGGTTCTGGATTCTGGATTCCGGGAAGAGGGAGGGAGAGAAATGACGGATAATGGACGGACAATGGACGGAAGATGTACACGCTAAACGAGACAGGCTCAAGCTGTGGTTTGCAGAAGATTCTGCATTTTGCCTGGTGTTGTAGAAGTCAGGATTGAGGGTGGTGGGCGGTGAATGGAGGACGGAGGATGGAGGAGGAAAGTTGACTGAGACCCTGAGGTCCAGACGAGGCTGGTGGTACGATCAGTCTGGAAAATCGCCTGATTATGCGGGGCGGCTCGGCGCAGACCCCAATTGGTGCCTGAGGGCCTGAGGATCTGAAGAAAGTTGGACGAGTTCCGGGATATCGTGACTCGTGGCGTACGGATATAAGGTACCTAGGTATATCTCTCTTTCTCAATAACAAAGGACTGTATCGGGATATACATATATAGCTAAGTAAAGGTATATATATGCCTTCACTACTTGGCCCTCGCGCTCCATCTTGAGCAGTGTTTCACGTGACAATGCACGTGATCTCAAATTACTTTCATCTCACCACCACCACCACCACCACTGGCATCCAAGAAGGATCTCATGCATTTATACCAAGGATCTCGTGTTTCCTAGCGTATGATGTCGGTCCATATGCTTCTACATGTTCTACAGTCTACAGATGTTTCTACGAGCCCAGATTCCAGCTCTCGCCGCGCGAAACCCAGGCGGTTTCATTGTTTCCACTGAAACGCCTTCTGATTCCTGAAGAAGACGATCAGGCACAACCCCTCCGCGAATACCCTCATCGACCAATCGAGTTCCTTGCCTGATTTCACTGTCGGGGCTCTTGTTCCAAATCCCCAGAGCAATTCCCATGACTAACCTTCCGGGGAGAGAGCGAGCCCAATCGCGAACTTCACCATGCCCTGATTGCTGTTTGACGATGCCTCATCCGTGGCTGCTGCCAGCAAAACTAAGGGATTCAACCATAGGTCTCCCTCCGCCTTGCTCTAGCACACGCAGCCGTGTGAATCCTAGTAGATTTCCTCGGTTCTCTCATTGATCAACTATTCATTCTTCTTCTGCCTTGCTGTCATGGTTGATTGCTGTCGCTGATGCTCACCATGAGTTCGTGTTAACCATCACTGGCCATGATGCCCTCCCATATCGTCTAATTCATTTCGTCCTTCCCATAGATTGGGTTCATTTTGTTTTATTTATTTATTTATTTTTTCCTTCTACTTTTTCTTCAGTAATTCAACGCCGTGATGGCCATTTCCGGTGCCGTCCAGACCTTGTCGGCGGCCTTCTCATTGTCAGTCCCGCCGGCAGCTACCTATCTACACCTCTCTGCTAACGGCGCGATAGTGGGATCCTTCTACAAGCAGCCTCGGGTGTTCTTCTCATATATTGGAAAGGCCATGGATCGACTATATTCCAGGACGGCCGGAGGCTGGTCCTCATGCTGTTTCTGTTCTTTGCCGCCCTGTGGGCGCAGACTGATTTCATAAACCTGATGATTCCGTCTTCCCCGACTGCTTGCCAAGTCACTCTCGTTTTTTCGACGTTGTCTGATCAGCTTGCGAGAGTGGGCATGGGCCAATTCCTATTATGGTCCGTAGGGCATGGGACGAAGATAACAGCAGAACGGCTGATACTTCAAGCAATATTGGCAATCAGATTTGTTGTAGGGCTTTTGCTCGTGGGGTTCACGCGCCCAGATTTTGCACCAGTTTGTGTGGCTCGCACATCCGTTCTACCAATAGCCATTGTGATTCTTGCTCTGGATATCATAATTATTGGCCTCTTGGTCATTCGAGCATTGTTGTTAGGCATGTTCAAAGGGGGGCAGTCAAACCCGCGAAAGGAGCAGAGTAAGGTCTTAATCTTGAGCATTGCCGGGTTTACTCTGTGGACTGGTGTAGGTCTTGGTTACCCTGAAGTTTTAGCCAGCTGCTGATATATTGCTTTAGACCAGTGCCGCAATGCTACTAGGGCTTCCTAAGATGTTGCTGATAGTTAGAACTACATTACCATCGACAGGTCTTCTCATTCTGGTTGGTCAGTGCCGCATTTATACATCTCGATCAGAATCTCGTTTTCTAATCATAATATAGGCATTGTTGCAATCTCTCCTGAAGCTTTGCTATTACCAGGAGACGGAGAAGCGATTACTCCTGAAGCAAGGTCACCGTTTATGGCCCCTTCATCACCGTCTCGCGGAATCTCCCCTAGAAATATTGGGAATGGCGGCTCCCCTATATCTGGCCTCGATTACATGAAGAGCGGTCGTCTCCGTGCCTTTAATCCTTCCGCAACACCCCATAATGTGTTGACGACACCATACCCAAGAAATTATGAAGGAGATGCCCGGGGGTTTACAAAACTTGGAGGAGGGGATGCAATAACAAGACCAACATTACCTTCTATTTCCCAACAAAAGAGATCCATATTCAACTGGTCAAAACAACCTGCACCAACAATCCGAAGCCTAGGAATATCCCAACCAGTCGTCAGTGATAACGATAGCTCATCGTTGCAACACTTTGCGAGAGTACAAACCATTGATCTTGCGACTGCGGCCATCAAGGAGCGGGAGCGTCGCGAAGGGGCAGCTGCTAGATCCCGGCTCGTGGCCAAAAGGCCGGCGCCTCCACCCCCTCTTCTTCCAGCTCAAGAAGGGCTGCGAAAAAGCATCAGTGTCAAGAGGAAGGTAATGTCGGATCACACTCATCAATTAATGCCAACAATATCCAGTTCCACTACATCTGGGCTTTCGGTCAATGCGGCGAATGGAAACACAACGTCGGCATCACTATCTCCGGGTCGTGAAGATGTTCGTCGGCGATCACCGCGGAATATAAACAGTTTTGGCAACATGGTCGATGGAAAGGCCTCGCAACAGCCTACTCTACAAATGAAACAAACCATTGGATTGCCGTCAGGTCCTAAATCGCAAAGAATTACCTTGGCACGGGAGGCTGGCATGGGGGGAGAACCAACAGTTATGTTCATGAACGATATTGTTTATGACAATCCCGGGATGGTGGACACCATTATCAGGATGCCACCTAGGATCTACACATCGACGAAGAAACCAAAAATCGCAGAGAATTCGACGGATATTTCGACTGAGAATTCGTATGCCATGGAGCTCAAGTCCTCAGGGTCCATTCTACACAGGCCACGACCGTATCAAAGAGATGCAACAAAGGATCGTGCCCTTTTTCCAAGTGATCCATCTTCGTATCATAGACGCAGTCAATCTGGGTCCTCAATTGTGATGCGGAAATCAATTTTTGCGTCTCACTCTGGAAGTCCAACCCAGTTACCTCCTCTACCAGCTCCGCCGACAAGGGCATCCAAATTACAACGCCCAATGCCAAATAGCTCGAGAAGCATGACGTTTGATGAAAAAATACAGTTGCTTTTTCCAGCGCCTCCAGGATCTACATTGTTGAAAAGCCGCAGATCTTCTGTGCCATCCCTCCTTCACATTCCGTCATTATATATGCCTGAGACCCCTCCCACCCAGAACCCGACTGAAGTTTGGCAACAGGGCCGTAGGGTTTCAAAAGGGTTAAATATTGCCTCGTTTGGACCACAAGGTACCCAGAGTCAGGAACATGTAGAAACGTCAGAGCCTCGCACCTATCGCTTCAGTCCAAATACATATCGAGCTCTTGCCGATAAAGCAAACGACAGCTGGATTCCAGGAACTCCCTCCAATAAAGACAATACTGGAAACTCAATGCAGCCGCAACATATTCGATCTTCTCCCGCCTATGATATAAGAATGTCTGTTGGCGAAGTAACTTCCGGTCATGCAGGATCTTGTGGTGATCCTACTACATCTATTAATAAATCGAATGAAATGAGGGATGTTCAGCCAACGATCATGCAACAGGGTCGTGCTTCCGACCCAGAAATAGAGATCTCTAGGTTTTCCGATAGCACAAGACAATCATTCTTTCACGACGCCAACCAGGTGGTACCAAGATCTAAAACCCCAACATCTGCAAGCAGACCTGCATGCAGACCTGCATGGCATTGGCGTGTAGGGGACGAGCCCCCAACATTTTCCGCACGAAAATCAAGTAAGAGGCCTCGCAAGATGCCGCCTCCGACTCCACTCCTTTTAACTTCAAGGTCGAGAAAAATAGGTATCGTGGTTCATTCCCCCGCCCCGTCGCCGATCGATTCTCCTGAGAGGGCGATCAAAGATATCCAAGCCCAACTGAAGCGTTTCGAAGAGTCAATCCGAGGATCTGTGGGGTCCCTCTTGAGGCATATGCCAGGTGCAAATTCAACTGTCACGGATAGTGTTGACGATGAGCGTGGCGGTCGCTTTAGACTTTTAGAAAGTCTTGAAAAGGAGATGGGTCAGCAAGAAAACCAATGGCAACAGATGCAATTCAACCTTCGCGACCGTAATTCGATGTCTGATACTATGACACCTCAACAACTGGTCTCCCCAGACGGAAGCTTGTCGCAGAGATCATCCCTATCATCGTCTAGAATTGTAGCCCGGCGTGCACATATTACAAGTAGCATGGCAAAAGGCGAATGTTCTAGCCCCACTATATCAACTCAAAGCTCTGATTGCTCTAGAGCAAGCATATGGCAGCAACGACTTGCCGAAGCCCAGATGCAATACTCGGAAAATGCCCCAGCTCTCCTTCGCGGACGAAGCTTGAATTACCTATTACTTGCCAAGTCTCAAGGCGGGAGTCCGACACCACCTGAGAGCATTCAATCAGAGTCCGATGTCGAGACTGGCTCTGACTCGGGATTAGAATTATCGTACGGTCAGGAGGCATCGAACAGGGCTCATACTTGTCCACCATCGTTGTGGCAGCCAGAGCCAATTCTACCCAGAACTGCCTCTGTTGGTATGTGGAATCCTCCTTGTGTTCCATCCATCCGCGCCGTGTCTCCCGAAGCACCAGCAAGGGATATTAGGCCTGCACGGCGTCTTGTTCAAGAGGTACTGCCTATTTTCAGCTCCGCCCTTTGGTCAAAGCCTTCTTCATCGGTTGAAGTTCATCATATTGGCCTGTGGCGCCCCAGAGAAGCCCAACCTAGTAGTGTTACTCCTCGACGGGCCACGCAGAAGCCTCAGCGAAAGTCGAGACGTGCGACGCTCCTTCCTGACATTGGTATGATTTCCTGTAGAGATTGAAGTCCTTACTAACTAGAATAAATAGTGGAGAGCCCCTTGCCTTTACCACATAAAAGAGATACACTGGGAATCTTCCAATTCCCATGGGGAGAAACCTCTGATTCGGCAGTGTACCAGCCGCCTTTCAATCCGGGTTTACATACGAACCCAGTTATCAGCACCAACTTAGATGCTAGATCTCGACATCTGGAACCTGAGCCTACGGAATACTCGTCTTCATTCTTTGATGACTATGACGAGCAAGATGATGACGAGTACCCAGAGATTGACGAGGACCTAGACAGCGACGACGACTTCGATGAGACCACGCTTTGGGAAATTGCAAGCCTATTAGTTTCAACAGATGTTCCCTCAAGGAATAGCCTACTTCCGCCAGCACGACAGGCAGGAGAGATATTTGGGGACTATAATGGCAAGACTGATCTCGAAACCGAGGAAGAGGATGAGGATCAGGTCACTGGTATGTCGGGCGAAGACACTCAAAGCTCAAAATTACAGTTACCTATCCAATCACTTGCGCTCCCATCTAGAGAAGGCTCAAAACTTTGGGCAGGCAGCTCGACCTCTGCTCTAGGTGCGCCCAGCAAAGGCTTGCCTCAACCTGATTGGGAGGTCTGGAAGTCCTACCTTTCGGAATGCCAAGTTGTTACGAGATTTAAACCAAAACCATCAGGAAGCCTCCCAGTTCTCGCCACGTGCAATCTGTGGACCTCCTCGTCACCAGAGATACCTAGTGCGGGTGTTTCTGCCCTGTGGAGCAAAGCTACAGCTGCCATCGAGACATCACCCATCAATCCAACTCTCAGGGCATCTTCTACCTTACTGTGGACCGCAGAGCCAAAGAAAAGTGAACCCTATATACATGGCCTATTCTCTGTTAATGTTAAGCGTTCCACTTTCCGCACCACACAAGCAAACCCAGCAGCGGCGTCTATGATCAGACGCCCACGGTCATCGACAGCCCAAGTATCCAGTCTAACATCCCAAGGTTTATGGGCGCACAAGCAAAGTTCAAATCATCCAGTTGAGTGGATTTTGAGATCTACAGCAGCCGAAGCCACACCACAACACAACCATGATACATCCTCTGGAGGTCAAGCGCCTAAAATGTGGACCCCAGTAGTAAGAGTTGAAGTTCAAACTGTTGTTTCGCTTTTTACAAAATCAGTAACTAGATCAGACTATCGAACAACCAATTCATTGCCAGCAGCAATCACTATGGTCCGCAAACCTCGGGCGATCCAGACGTCTCTCGATCGATTGACATCCACTCAACTTTGGAACGGAAGCCAATCCATACAAGGTGAACATGACTGGATATCCGAATCTAGTGTCAGACCAGAAAGCCCTTCTGTTTATTCGGAAGCATCCTCCGGCGGGTCGTCGCCTATTTCCGATTCTTCGTCTGTTAAATCTAACAGCACGAAGGCCTCATCTCTTTGGGGGCCTTGGTGGGGATCCAAATCTTCAAAGAAGTTAATACCTCGTACACCTCCTCACAGCAAAGATTCTTCAAGTCTTTCTGCCCGACAACCGATCTCTCTACCCCTAGCCACTTTGAGAGAATCAAGAGTTTTGACATCTCAAGATCACTTAGAGGCAGAAACTCCGGTATTGAAGGACACTATAGTCGCGATCACACCGAAGACGACACTTGCTCGTCCAGTAGCTACCAAGGCCGATTGGGATTCTGCGCTTGCCGAGGCCATTTTACAAAGTAGACCACGCATGCAACGCCCACGTTACTCGCCTGAAATGTGGGCTGCAGCTCTCAGAGAAGCCATTACCTTGAGTGCTGTTCCGAGCGTTTCGTCCACCCCCAAGCCTTACGATGTCGCCACACGCCATCCTGTATTTTTCTCGGAGTTACTTGTATCATCTGCAGACGATATTCACCCCGCTGCTATGGGACATGTTGTAAGACCAACAATACCATCAGTACGTATCAAGGATGCTCACATGTGGAGCGGCTTGTCTGCGAGGACAAAGTCTCCAACCAAGTACGAATTCATGTGGTCAAAGGATGGAATGAAACGGGAGTCGAAGTTTGAACACCTCAACCAGGAGACCATACGGAGGCGCAACGTGTCAAAACCTCTTGATTTACCAAGCGTAGAATCATCTGAACTCTGGAAGCCTATTGTGCCAGTTAGCTTGGAGCGTAACTGGTTGTCCGCCACAAAGGGATCACCTCCCGGAACATGGGTCGCTCCTAAAGCGCGAGAACAAGATGAGAACTCCAACTTAAGGACAGTTGCCAAGCAATTCTCCCCTGATATGTTCTCTCACATCAAGAGCGAGCCTATCAAGAGAGCTGTTGCTCTACGCCCATCGTCTCTTCCAATCCTCAAATCAAGAGAGCTTTTCAAGCCAATGGTCCCACGTTTAGAATCTGACATCCACTGGCTCCACTCCACTTCCAAGGTACCAAGGACCTTTTCACGCGCACAGACATGGACTGCTCCCTTGTCTACAGGGCCGACAGAACAGAATAGTAATAGAATGTGGGAGTCTCGCTCATCACCCGCCATCTCATCACCATCAATCTTCTCCGACGTTCATATCGAACCCTGGCACAGAAAGAAGAGGGAGCCGACACCCTTGAAGGAGATCGAAAGCTGCCAGATGTGGAGGCTCTCGACGGTAATGCCTGAAACCCCGAAACATTGGCTTGTTAATAGGAGGGTCTCGCGAGTAGAATTCAGATACTGATGATAAAATCATCAAGCCTAGATGAAGTTTGGGATGTATGTATGCCTAGGCGTCTTTTCTCGGTGAAACGGCGAATCAATCATTGTCTGCATGTGCTGATTGATACCTATCTATCCATTTACTTGGATCCCATGTTGGTTTTTAGCAAGCCTTTCATGTTGAACTAGTATAGAGAAACACTTTGGAAAATTGAGTTTTATATATATATACTTTGGCTAGATGTGATATGGCATGATATGGCTTTAATCGAGCATCCCCTTTTGGGATCACCTATCTCCACCTCCAACCATCCAAATAACCCCCCCCCCCCCCCCCTCTGCCCCCCTTCCCCCAACCTACCCCGCCCCGCAACTGCCAAACTTAAACACAGACAGACAAAGGTTACCTACCTATCTATGTAATATCAAATCAAATCAAATCAACAAAGCCAACCAAATTTCTATTTTCTTCTCCCCCGGTGGTTCAAAATCTCAGAACATACTGCACTTATATCTTATAAATATTTCATCCTCTCGTGCATCTACCTATCTATCTTAAGTTGAATTTCTTCGTCCGCTACCTACCTTACCTTACCTAGCTAGCTATATAGTTCACACTAGGAGATTTTATATATTTCTTTCTTTCTATCTATCTATCTATCTACAATCTACATTTCACCTTTTGTATGCTAAAAGAAGAAGAAGAAGAGTGATTTGATGGATTTATGGATTTTATAAGATAGAGGGAGGAGGGGGGGGTGTGAATGAAGTACGGACTCTTGTGTGTGTTAAGCAATAACCCGCTTTTTGGAGGGTTGGGAGGTGTGTATGGCATGGATATCTAATGAAGTATGATTGATGGATTTGTAAATTATGTTTTTTGAGGGTGGGGAGGGAAGAAAGGAGAAATGGAAGGCTTCTGGATGCGGCACCTTGATTTAATACGAGTATAAATCTTGGGGTATGATGAATTGACACTATTCGAATGATACTAATCGAATATGTATGTATGTATGTATGTTACTTTGTCAAGATCGTGAGGCGTGGTAAGCACTGCCATTAGTAAAGAACAATAATTACCGTTCGTTAGGATCTTCACTCTCTCTCAATCTCTCCTGTTCCTCCGCTAATCTCTCCTCCTCCGCTCTCTCCTCATGCGTCTTATGACCCGCGAACACCGCCAACATGCCCAAATCGTACGTAGCCTTCAACGAACCAGCCGCTACGAACGCTACCCAGAAGAGGTTGTGAGCGGCTAGGATACCCGTGATGAGCGGGCCCAGGCTCTGGGCCGATGTCTTGACGACGTTGATTAGGCCCATGATGGCGGTGCGCTCGTTGGGGAGCACGACGGCGGCGAGGAAGGCGGAACGAGGCGCGACGTCCATAGATTGGGTACAGGAGCGGAGGATGAGGAACATCATGGCGAGCGGGAGGGAGTTGGGAATGGGGATGAGAGCGAGGAAGATGGCGGATGGGAGATGGGTGAAGACCATGGTCTGGGGGTTTTGGTTAGTACTCGCTTGCTTCGTTATTTTGCGGGGTGGTGGGGACTTGCCTTGATATTTCCAAACCTCTTGGCGATTGATGAGGCTAAGAGCATGGAAACTGCAGCAATGATGCTGGTTGTGAAGAAGAGCGATCCCAGTTTCCCTTCCTCGAGCTTGAACTTGTCGTGGAAGAAATATGTTACCCAGGAGCTAGATAGTCCATTAGCCAATGATATCCGGGAGCAAAGGAAGGGGAAATATCAACGACGTACAGAGGAGCAAGGCCAGATGCAAACGCATCAAGAGCAAAGAGCAGACAAAGATTGAAGACAATTATCCTGCTATCCGCGCTAATCTCCGGCAGCAGTGATCGGAAAGTTGGCTTCTTCTTTGGCTCCTGAGCACCATCTCGCAGAAGTGGCGCGGTCTCTGGATCTGAAGCTGGAGCTGCTGGCTGTTTCTTCTCTGCTTCGCATGCTTTGCTGAGCGCCAACGTCAGGATGAGCTTGATAATCCCAAAGACCGCATATCCCCAGAACACCGCCCTGTATACATCGATCTTCGGCCACCCCAGGTCTTCCAGCATGTAAGTAATCACCCATCCGGTCGCCGCCATCCCGCAAGCTGTCCCGGCGGTGCCGATTAGGGAGTACCAGGCGTATATATCACCACGGTTTATGGCCGGCGTGAGTTGTGCCAGAGTCGACTCTTCGATTGCGCGGAAAGGTCCGATCTCATTGCCACTGCCATCCAGTATTAGCTTCCTCTCTCCACGACATATATATATCCAGTGGGCACGACGTACCTGGGACTGATAACCCCTACAATTGCGGCAAGAAGTAAGACCCAGTAATTGCTGAACAAGGCAAACACAATGCCACTCAGAGCCACAGGATGGCTCCGAGAGCGAGTATGGCTTTCCTACCCAGCCCATCTGCAAACAAGGTCAAGAGGAAGCTGATCAGCGTGTCGCCGACGAGGGTCAGCGTCATGAACAGGCCGCTCTTCGTCTTTGAGATGTTCAGCTCGGCGAAATAGGCCACGAGAATGAGGGTCGAGCCGCCATAGGCAAAGAGCCGGACGAAACGCTGGATGCATAGCAGTTTGGTGTCAACGGTCGAGGACCACAGGGAGACGAGACCCAGCTCGTCGAGGACCTTGACCAGGTATCTGGTAGCCATTGTCGGGGGTTTGTGTTTGAGGAAAGACGCAGAAAGAAAGCATTGAAGCTCCTTTGTATGCGGACGCGTCCCTGCCAGCCATCCAATATCACTCCATCACGTTAAATCATCATGAAGCACGAATCCTCTGTGCTTATTTGACTGCAACAGTCATTCATGGATGGTGATTGGTTATCGATAAAAGAGGTCATCCTTGAATGATGATTGGGCGGATGAACAGTTCCGCGAGTGTAAAGAAGATCACGTGAAAATTAGCACGTGTGGTATGTCACGGGTCACGCCTCCCTACCTTATATCTGCCGTCACTCGTCCATGCTTGCCTGCAGAGGCAGAGAATATGCAGAATGCTAAAGAGAAGCCATCACCAAGGAAATTATCCACAGGACTAGTTGGGGTTCCAGCCTGTCTCTCTCGCCCATATACTTGCACCTTAGTCACGGTGCTCAAGGCGTGAGATTATCACCTATCCAGCAGTAAGGTGTAGGACAAGACCAAAGCGCCATATTCTGATACTCGTATTATTGAATCGAGCTGGGCCGCAATATATGGTTGTCGGTTGGTTTAGGCAATTGCTGGCGATCGCCCTGATAGTCATTCTGTGTTGTTCAATGGGTTTTGATTTTGAAGCTGGGTGAGAAAGGAGCCAGAGTTCCTTGGGTTATCCTATTCTTGTTTAGCCATTGCATATTGATGGGTTTCCAAAGAGGCTGTTCGCTGGTTTGACGCCCTGGTGGGTGTTGGGAATTGTTCAAGTGCAGCCCAGCTCGTTTGTTAGAACATATATGTGCTTTGCTAGCAGGTTATATCGAAAAACTCTCCCGGTTATGATGTCTGATGATAGGATTTGCCCTGCTACACCTTCGTAATACTAACTTTCTTCCTCTCCATCCTTGTTCTTCCAAGAATGGTGACAGAAGGGTAGAAGAACATCAAGGTATTTCGAGCCTTTGAATGTAGATATTTCCGTGAAAGAAGCCACGAGGAAAATACTCTCCTTGCTTGAGCACACAACCTCAAGATAATGTCTCTTTCGTATAGGTATTAGGGATTTGAAATCTATGCCCCTGAAGTTTGAGAGATTCATCCGTATTGCAAGCTCCTCCCTTCAGTCCGGTATATTCCGCATCAGAGTCTGAGCTGAGAGCAGCGATGCAAACCCCTTTGCGTGAATTTCAACCCGTGCCGGTTTTCCGCAGTGATTCTCGTATAAAGGCAAAGTACTGTATCTGCAGGTAGAAGCCTTCACCAACCAGAGCTCACAGCAACCTCGAAGTTCTGAGTGCACCCAGGCTTGCCCTCAATAAAGTATGTGCGTCCGGGTAGAAACAACCCCCACGCGATCCGCAGTGCTAGGTGGAAGTGGTGCTAAGGCATCCCCACAACTCAGCCACGCGCCTGTTCCGAGAAATGCAAGTCTAGGGAGGCCCACGATCGGATGAATCGGTCCTATAGCGATACAGGATTATGAGTTGCAGAAATGGGGGTTTGAGTGGCTTTGCGGCACTGGCCACGGCCAAGAGGAGTGACTATGAGGGGAAAGGCGCTCATGCGAATCAAAATAATATCGTATCCTTGATGCTTCTGCATGGCGGTGATAGGTAGGAAATAAGTAGTCAATTGAGCATGACGATGGGACGAAATCACCCGACGATTTCCCAATATCGGGGTGTCCGCGATAGATCTCCGTAAATTGGGGCAATGAATCCCCGAGACTTGTATGAAAGAAGACCTACCAACCCTCTCAACTACTAGGTCGGGGAGGACAGGATGCAGGATGACTATTTTGTCACTCTGCACATGATTCATATTATGAAATATTTTGAACGGAGACGAGCATTTTTCTCCAGAAGATCCTAGTTCTGATCAGAATTGGCCAATATGAGATGCAAGATATATTACTGTTGGGTAAGGAGGGTGGTAAGGAGGGTTTGAAGGTGCTGGCGCTGACACGGTTGGTGAGGGGTAACTCCATGAAAGTCATGTCTAGACCTAGAACAAGGGATGAAGATCTACTCCCCCCGAGTCATAGACAGCGGAGAGAGTGGGCCTAGAGCAAGGACAAGTTCTTGGCTTCATTCTTCTGAGGAGAAACTTCTTAGAAAACGACCAGTGGCATGTGTCAAAACTGCAATTCGACAGCTGAAGATTGGCTTTCCTCCTACTATGTCGAGTTGCAGCACGAAATGCACCTAGAACGTAAATCTCCGCAACACGTAAGGAAAAACTGTTTCCCTCTTGTGGTAACAGACCGCTCATCGTAGGGTCTCTCATGGTGACGGTTGCGTACCGGCATTTGAGAGAGGAGTGGACAAGGCCCGCTTGAAACTCCGGACGTGGGATGAGTGTCGGTAAGGACAATGGCGTGGGGGTCAGGTTCTCAATCAAGAAAAGCCTCAGGAACACACGAGATCTTGCATGAGTGGGCAACCAGCGTAAACTGAAGAGAGGCAAGCGCCGAGTCTTCAACAGGATTCTCGATGAGAACAACCCTCGCACTTCATACGTGCTGCTGTATGAACTTCGAAGGACTTGGTCGACTCGTACCGCAATACATCGGTCTCGGCCAAGTGTCTGCGGGGAACCGGGTACTAGAACATATGGAAGTGGGGAGAAGAGTACAACAAGCACACAGGTGGGCATGCGTTGAACGCCCTGCATGCTTTTTGCAGCTGGGGTTAGGTAAAGGGAAAGTTGGATCGGTCACTCTCTCTTCTCTTCTTCCGCGGCTCTCCGGCCAGCTTTGCCAACTGGTAACTCGTGACTTCACAATGTACAGAGGCATATACGTAGCTGAGCACTGTCAGCGCTGGAAGAGCGGTTACTGTACTCGGTCCTCACCGGCTGATGGTTAGGAGGTGCAGAGTAGTCCAGAGAGAGTTCAGCATCGCCTTTCCTTCTGCCAAAGCCATGCTGATTGGGTGTTGTCTCTCGTCACCGTTGCCCAAGACTTCTGGCTCTCGTGCTCACCCCCACGTCGACGTCGTCCGTACTGTGTACTTCTCCACTACTTTGTGCTCCGCTCTGCTCCGCTCTGTGGGTAGCCCGCTCTAAACCACCCCCGTCCCCCTTGCCCACAGCTAGTTTCTCATCCCAAAGCCACGATCCTGGATTGGCTAAACTGCAAAGAGCATGATCACCTGCTTAGCGACGACTGGCTGACCCCGCGAATTCGACCTGGCAAACAATTTGAACACCTTGAGCCTTGAGGTCATCCGACTTCCAGGACCACCGAGTTCAGCTGTGCGGATTTGGCGCGGACACTTGCCTTGCCTGTCTGTCTTTCGCCACACGCGCACCGCGACACGGGAATAATGGCATTGCATTGCCCCCGCCAGCCAGTGCAGTGCCGCTGCGATTGACGGCGGGGTAAAACGTGTTGGTGCGTGGGATGCGGTGAGATGGAAGAGGAGAGGAGAGGAGACGAGAACGAGTCTCGAGCCGTTGAGCCTTTGAGCCGTTGAGCCTTGAGCCTTGAGACGTTGACGTTGACCTTGTCCTTGTCCTTGAGCATTGAAGTCTTGAGCCTCTCGTTGCTTTTCCTGCCATGGGCGTCCTTCGACCACGCTTTGCTTCCCCTTTCCTCCCCGGGCTTTGGAAATACACACAAATACGGGGTACTCGATTCCGGGGTATGTCCGTCGATATGTGCAGTACTCTGTAAGGTATGGCTTATGGTGGCCGTCGAGGATGGGAGAGGGGAAAGAAGCGCTCGTGAGGGGAGCACGCCTCATCTGGCCCATTTGAGCGTTTGAGCGGTTGACTATCGACAAGCTGGCTCCCCTCTCCACAAACCCAAAGCAACCACGAGAGCAAGTCTTACTCTTGATTGACGGCTATTGCAACGTTGCTGATGGTCATTGACGACTCCTCGTGTCGCACTGCTTGCGCGCGCTGTCATAGCCATGGCTGTCAGCCCAAGAGCAACGAATCTCACGATCCTGGCTACAACCGCACAGGACTCACGGGTTCATCAATCTCCACAACCCGCTGCCCGAGGGCCCTTGTTATGGCCTGACGAGCAGAATCCGGAGAATTTTTCCGCATGGGTTCAAGCAGGTCTAGCCACGAGGTCAAGGTTCAGAGGTTCTCAACCCCCACACTAAGAGCTGGGCTACGAGAGACCGGCGGAGTCCTTGGTACTTTGGTCCTCTAGTACTTCGATGTACACGGTACATACAAATACCCTTGTCCAGGTGGGCTCCCTTTCCCATGCCACCCAGGAACAGCAAAATACATTTAAATCTGGCAGTTCTGCCGTCATACTATCAGTCTCCCGGTCCAGCAATCCAGCAGTTGTCTGACGTCTCACCGCGGAGGGAAAAGCGTCATATATACATATCATATCATATATATACATCACTCGGCCTCTTCAGATAGTGATATCTCTACCCATTAGTCGGCTTCAAGTCTTGGATTATCAGGGTTGATATTCTTCTCCCTTTACGCTGCTTCTACCTGCAAGAGGGCTTTGTCTCTTCCTCACTCGGCCCCTCTCCCCTGGGCCTCCTTGCTCCAAGCATACTATGTCTCCGCACAACGACGCGCCATCTCCCTCAGGTAGTTTTACTCAAGATTCCAACAACATGTCCTTCCGTCCCGCTACAAGCTCCAACCTCCGAAACTCGAGCAGTGCCAACAGCGTATACTCAGAGGCCCCATTGAATGAGTACAGCTCCTCCTATAGCAATGGCTCCCTTGATATCGAGGACCGCGTCACCCGCCCCTTGATCCCAGGAGTCTACGTCCCTACTGTCTGCTTCTTCGATCCTGTTACTGAAGACCTGGATACGGCAACCATTGCCAGCCATGCAGTCCGCCTTGCCAAAGCCGGCGTAACAGGAATTGCTACACAAGGTTCCAATGGCGAAGCCGTCCACCTCACACACTCCGAACGCCAAACCGTGACCGCCACAACCCGGTCCGCCCTCAACGCCGCTGGCTTCTCCCGCCTCCCTATCATTGTTGGCTGTGGAGCTCAATCTGCCCGGGAAACCATCCAATACTGCCGCGAAGCCCATGCCGCCGGCGGCGACTACGCCCTCGTGCTTCCCCCCTCCTACTACGCACCTCTTTTCTCTCCCTCCTCCGCCAGCGTCATCACCTTCTTTACCACCGTCGCCGACCAATCACCCATCCCTCTCCTGATCTACAACTACCCCGGCGCTGTCTCCGGCCTGGATCTCTCCTCGGATGTCATCATCCAGCTCGCCGCGCACCCGAACATCGTCGGCGTGAAGCTCACGTGCGGAAACACAGGGAAGCTGAACCGCATCGTGGCCGCGACCAAGCCGACCAAGCCGCAACCGCTCGACGCACAGCCGCCGTTCCTGGTCTTGGGCGGGAGCGCCGATTTCACGCTCCAGAGCCTAATGGGCGGCGGCCATGGCATCCTGGCCGGCTTGGCCAATATCGCTCCGAAGGCATGTGTCGAGACGGTCCGGCTATACCGCGAGGGCAACATTGCCGAGGCGCAGAAGATGCAGGAGACGGTCGCGCAGGGCGATTGGGCCGCGATCCAGGGCGGCATTGTCAGCACCAAGGCGGGATTGCAGAGTTGGTTCGGATACGGAGGATATGCTCGGTGCCCACTGCCCCGACCAACCAGTGCCGAGAATGCTAAGTGGAAGGATGGATTCCGGGACTTGGTCATACTGGAGAAGAGCCTTTAGATATCTTGGGGTCTTTTCTAATACCTCACTTTTCCTTGCCATATCTATTTATCTATTTATTTATTTATTCATCTATCATCATCCTCCTTCCTTTTTGGATCATAATGGCTTGGAGACGGCCAAAACGGGACGAGACGAGTGTCACGACGGAGACAAAATTCATATACGGACAGTGGGCCCGAGCATGGCATGAGCGAGAGGCTCTTCATCATTCAGCAGCAAGAACACGAGCAAGCATATCAATTGCCCCCGGTGGGTAAAATTAAAACCAATTCTACCTAATTCTACTTCCCGTATCGCCATCCCAACCCATCCCTTTCCTTCCCTCACCTCATCTCGCAATTCTCCATACAAAAATGAAGGCATCTATCTATCTATTCTACAAACAGAAGCATACAGCAAAGAGAAGAGTCCTGGAGCTACGCAAGGCTGTGCAAGAAATGTGATCATCAGCTGAGGTATTTTTGTTACATAGATGAAGCTTACCTAGATAGAAGAATCGATGAGAGGCTCCACAACAACGGCTGCGTATGAGCTTTGATGAGCCTTGATTAAGCATTGAAGAAAGAGTCTCTTATGATGATGCTTGTGGTGTTGTGAATGAAGATGGGAGACCGAGTTGAATGGGGGGTTAGGTGGGTAAAAGAGGTAAAAGAGGTAGAAGGGGGAGCACGTGGCCTCACCCCCCTATCCCTGGTTCTGGTGAAGTATTACCTTATTATATCTTGCCATCACAGCTATACTGGTTCAGCCAGGGACAGGACACGTTATGTTCATGCATGATTCTATATTCTATTTACCTACCCAACGCCAGCCATGGCAAGAGACCATCCGCACAATATGCATCGCTATCAGTAATCATAAATCGTAAACCCCCATGCTCTTACACACATAATGTCTCGTGCGCTCATCTCATCGATAGCCGTCATCAGCACCGGGCGCACTGTATCCATTCGACGGGACCATGTAGTTCTCATAGCCGGCCGCACTCCCGCCACTGCTGCTCACGCTCGTGCTGGGACTGGCCAGGCCGCTTCTGATAGCCAAGCCTGTATCTTCAGTATCACCGACGCTGCTCTCGCGCCCTCTTGGACCACCAATCCCGAAACCACCACTGCTGCTTCCTCCATAGCTGCCGTAGCCATATCCCTCAGCCGGATTTCCCTGCCGTCGATTGCCATTACTGAGGTTCTCCGCCTCGCTCCCGACCCGGCTTAGGGCAGGTTTTTCCGGCAGTGCTTTAAGTAGACCGGTAGACGTATCCAGCATGCCCATTGCAAATTCTGTCAACCGTCCATTTCCACCCTCTCCGTTGCCACCTTTGCACGACACCCCTAATGTCCATCTGTATTCCGCTAAACGTCTCCTATACCATTCGGCCTCCTCCCGACCAGGCGCTGTAGCCCACAATAAACTACCGAATGTTCCTATTAACGCAAAATTCGTCTTGGAGGCAAAATACCAGAACGCGCGAAGGTGAGACGATGTGAGACGGTTCACGAAATCCATTGCAGATATTAGACGTGTTTTCGCTGCCGACCGGCAGATATGAAGGACATATGGATCGAGAGATGGTTTTACGTCGCCCTGGCCGGAAGGAGCCAGGGAGCGGATAATTCGGCGATGGAGGGTTATTTCTGTAGCAAAGTAGGCAAGGTGAAGGTAGCCTGTTGAGGAGAGCTTGTTCGACCTTTGGGAACTGGACGAGGATGAATCCATCCGTAAGCAAGAAGGCAACGCAGCAAACCAATCTTTTAGCTGCAGCTGCACGGGCTTCGCCAGTTGGAGCACCAACTGTGTGCCTTGTGATCCGGCTGCTGTGACAGTAGCCATGGCTTGAAGTGTGTAGAAGGTATCCAGAACCTCGGCGAGGATTTTTGAGAGGCTGATCATCTGCGTGAATAGGAGGCGACCCTTTTCATATTCGGCACTCTCCTCACTGTCTGATTCGTCAAATTCGACATCTGGGAAGTCGCTGGGGGTGAGGGGTTGCACGGCCCAATTTGAGGCGAATATGTGGGAGGGCCGACCATGTACCAGAGACCCCCACTTGTCCTGCATATACAAAGCCCATGCGAGACGTTTTCGCAGTCCACGTTCCCAGAGCGGAATTTTCCAGTTTGTACAGTCGAGGTGGAGACCTAGTTCTTGGCCAATCGCCACCAGTTGGGCTGTTGGTGCCCATTGATCTCCTTCCGGTCGCTGGGAGAGCAAGAGACCTGCTTGAACGGTAGACAACTTCGGCCTATACATGGCATCCGCCAAGGTCACGCGCGCAAGTCGTTCCAGCTCCCTCAGATCCGGTCTGGGAAGGCCTGCCAACTCTTCGCTGTGATCCCACCAGTTGATAGCCAAGATGTATACCGCAGCTAGGATAGGGGGTGAGAATTCCCGGTATGAGCGGTTGTACTTCTCGAAGAAAACTGTCTTCTGAAGTATCGGAAAATTTGGATGAATTATTCGAAAGTATAATTCAAGAAGAGCCGGCCCATGAGGAGCAACAATATTCTCAATTGCATCCGCATCCTCAATTACGTGCTCGTGACCGGGCGTACTGTAATCCGGGAGCATTAAGAAAGTGTGCCCATCACTCACCTTCCTTAAAGTACCCCTCGACAACAGACTCTCGTCTTGAGGATCGAAGGGAGACAGGTCTATAAGTGAGGGTTCAAAATCGGTCGTTGGCCCAATATATTGGCTATATCTGTCCTCTTGTAACCCCAGTGTTCGTTTCAGCATTGTTGGTCCACCAAAATTTGCCATCTCCTCAATCAACGAACTCGTAGCTCCCGTGCTAGAAACGCTCGACTCAGGAGGCCTTCTTTGTGGATCATCCGTTCTGTCTGGGGATCTGAAAAGTGCACAAGTGGTCAGCTGTGGTGCTCCTGAGTTACATGACATGAATAAGGCAAAGATAACATAAGATCTAGCAAGCTGCGCCCAGAATCGCCCAACCCGAGACAATCATTTAAGCCTTCAGCAAATACTCAAGCGCTTTAATTCAGAGCGACTATGTCTGAGGCTGGTGAGGGCGGGCTCAATTACTGAAGGAGTTTGATGACTGAAAAGAGAACCAGAAGTTGTAGATATCTCGCGAGCCGCATCCGGACCCATGCTTGCACAGAGAAAAGGTGTTCCTTGCATACCTTCTCTTGGCTACAGATTCTTCATTGCCCTCCCGATTCAGTTTCCTTTTTCTCGGTTGCGGGCTCTGCACGAACGTACACTCCTGGGAATGGAACTGACAGAGCACGCAACTCGTCTGGCCTTCATTTATCACACATCGACTCTTCCTCCTCCGGCAGGCATCGCATGGGCGATCCTTCCGGCCTCGGAGGTGCGATCCTGACTCTGCGGACGCCGTGCTGCTCATGCTTGCGGAGAGAAGGGTCCTGTTGCCACTCTCTCTGCCGTCGGTACTGTTCGTCTCGACGGATGGATGCAGATGGGGATTTCGAGAGGCTATAGCAATGGGGGCGGTACGGGCAATGCTAGTAGGGTTTGACATGGCGGCGGACGAGATAATGAGGCTCGGCCAAAACCCAGGCACCGGAAGTCTGTGTCAAGCCGGTGATCAACTCTCTGTCCAGCGGTTGGCTCGGGGAAGGATGGGGGGTTGCGGACAGGCCTGCTGAAACTTGAAGGTAGTAATTACTAGGGGGTGGATGATTTGTTTTGCTGCGACCTGCGAATTTCCTGAAAAGAGCGAATCCCCGCGGGATCGATCGATACTCCGTCGAGTCGAGGACAGTCTGGGGAGGTGATAAGGCCTGTGCCGCCTATCTCTCTGCGTATCAACGGCTCCCCACTCTCCCACTGTACTGTACGTGACCGCGTCTGAGCGCACGCTGCTTATCAGCGCGTGGAGGGATGATAAGTACTGAAGAGGGGTCCGCTGCCCCTACCCGGTATTCGAAGGAGGACAAGAGAGATGATGATATTGGATGCTGTTGGCCGTCATCGAAACTAGCATCGACATTCTGCGAGCGCGAGGAGAGAGGAGAGCAGCGAGGATTGGGGGGACAAGGTCAAGAGCGACGGATCATCAGAGATAAGGATTCCAGGAAGATATAGATGTTTTGATATTATTATAAATATTATGGATGTTATAAAAGACGGGGTGTATTTTATGTGCATTTAAGCATATTTCGGGGTTGGATTAGGCGTGAGGCAGGTAAACCGGGTTGAATCGCAACGTTAGCGGCAATTGGGTACGTAATGCGTATATAATAATGCCAATTCGCTCCGTCATGAGTGGTCCCCGGATTCCTGGAGGTCCGACCGTCATCCCAAGTCTGTCAAAGTAAGGCGTCCCAATGCCTACATCAGTAAGACCATATCTGACCTGTTACAGGTTACCATCTTACTAAATCTTGCCAAAAGATAGGCCCCCTCCAGTCCCGAATGCGCCGACATCAGCACGAGGAATGTCTGTCTTAAGACAGCCCCTCTGTTCTCCGGCGCACACGCTGCTCAAACCTCGAGATTCCAGTGACATACTTGATACATCCCGTTGAGAGGACATCCGCGGCGAGGGAAGGCCGGGTCGGTAGATCTGCAGTATCTGATGGAGACGCTGATTATTCGGATCTGGACCCGCCCAGCTACCGCGCATTCCTGGGCAGATCGGCAACCCCACAACTCCATCGCAACGGGGAGCCTTTGTGGCATTACTAAGAGAATCTCCTGGTCGCGCTTCTGATTAGGTCCGCGTCGACTCTTACCTAAGAGCAGAGATTGGCAGGTTTCCCGTTGCCGAATGTTTTGTGTAATCGACTGTCATTGAGCAATGAGACCGAGCAGCGTAATCGCGGTGCTTGAAGCTTGGCCTTCAGGACGCAGTAGTGCCCGCATTATTACAGAGGAAAACGGTGCTATAATAATACGGAGTAATCCTGTATTATCGCCATCCACACGATTACTACCGAGTCCCGAGTCCCGAGTCCCGAGTACCGCCATCGTGGATATGGTCATGATTGGCAAAGGCACACGTGTGGCTCCATATCGCTCCCCTTTATTCATACTTCGTTAAATGGGTATTTTACTCATCTTGACCCAACTCACCCAGCATCTCCTCCAGCCGTTTTGCCAACCTCAATAGTCCCTCGTCCAGCCCGCAAGCAGCCAAGATGGTCACGCCAAATGGTAATCTCTGTTCCCGCTGCTTCTCCTGGCCTTCCGCTGCAACTTTGTAAGTCCCACATGGCAGTGCTACGCCCACCAAGTCCAATATATTGGCAAAATGAGAGAAGGCACCCAGCTTGCCATTGACTCCAATTGGTTCATGCTCCACATCTTCAATCGTGGGATGAAAAGGGGCTGTCGGCACCACCATCACGGTCAATTCATCTTCTCCGTCCTCTTCATACCCGCCGGGCCTCAGGATATTTTCGACCGCCCTCTTGTATTCCGCCTGTTTGTGCAGATCTCGAAATACTTCCACCGCCGTGCTATTCCTCGCCACTGCAGCTTCAAATACCTGTCTGGTGACTGGATGCAGCAACTCCTTGTTCTGTTCGAACCAGCCTTCAGGGAAGATCGTTAGTCGCTCAACCACGAATGAGCTGTTGTATAAGAGCTCGTTTGCCGCCGCAAATGGCTCCCAGTCCAAATTTACCAGTTTCCCACCCGCGTTTTGCAGAGCTTTCGTAACCTGGGCAAATTGTTGACGATAGGCAACGCTGCAGACCTCAAGGGCGCTCTGAGGCGGGATGCCGAACCGAAAGGAAGAAGATCCCGTAGATGCCAGAGCTCCTTTCGTAGGATAATAGCAAGGTAATTTCGCAAAGGAATCCCCTCTGTCGAACCCTTTGCAGACTCGCCAGACTTGGTCAGCGTCCTCTGCACTAAACGCAAGAAACGAGACGCAGTCTTGGTGGAGGCATGCTGGGAATACTCCCCGCGCCGAAACTGTACCTTTCGTTGGCTTGAACCCCACAACGCCGTTGAAGAGTGCTGGCAGTCGGATCGAGCCCGCGGTATCGCTGCCAAGAGAGAATGAGACCAGATCCTCACTAACAGAAACAGCACTGCCACTACTCGAGCCGCCAACTATGTGAGATTTGCTGAAAGTTGAATGAAGGTCCCCGTAAGGACTTCGACACCCAGTCATTCCAGTTGCAAGCTGCTCCATATTTGTCTTGCCTATGAAGAGAGCACCAGCATCTATGCAACGTTTGTAAACAGGCGCTGAAGACGCCGGCACAGATGCTAAAGCTGGGCAGCCCGCTGTCGTAGGGATCCCTTCGATATCGATGTTGTCTTTCACACTGAAAGGGATTCCCCATAGAGGCGGCCGCTCTGCTGGGTCTGGCCAGCGGATGAGAAGTTCATTCGCGGCCTTCATGACATCGCCCATAGGCTGAAGGTGGATCCATACCGATGGTTGCACCTCTTTGTAGGCCTCGATGCGGTCGTAGATAGCTTGAACGACATGTTGAGGTTTGATCCCCGCCTCATAATCCATCTTCAGACTCGAGATATTGAGGCTCGAATCCCAACGATCCATGTCGGGAGCCTCATCGTCCCAGGTCCTAAGCATACTCAATTCTTCGTAGATGAGTGGCTCACCACTGTCTTCCGTCCCAGGAAGTGTCATCGAGATGCCATCCAGCGCAACGAATCCCAATCTACGGTACAGGGATGAAGCCGAGAGTGTACTATCGAGATATATCGGGATCCTATCCGCTCTGGCTCGTTCAAGCCCCCACTCGGTCAGCATTGTCCCGACCCCACGCCCTCGATAATCAGGAAGTGTGCCGACGTAAGTTAGGCCTATCCAGAATCGTAAGCACAATGTTCTTGCACGCTGCTCTAGACGTCTGAACAAAGGATGCATTTGAAAACACAGCTAAGTAGCCCCGATGAGCATATACTGTAGAGTGGGTAAGCGCCAGGGTAATAAAAATGAAACACCAACTCCATCTGCCATATAGTCGAAGATAACTTGGTCATCTTACAATAGCAATGCCTGCCCCCCATCACCCTATCCCTCGCTGCCATTACCTTTTCATAATACCCCTTTAGATACTCCTCACGACAGCCCTCTGGCCACGTGATATCACTGTGACTCGCATCATGGCCCGGGAGATCCCATTTCGCAAAGCCCACGATCAGGTTACTGGCCTTTGTATCTCGCACAACCAAGACAGCTTTCCCGGGATCCCGCAGATCTCGAAGAGTGTCCTGACGCAGAAACTCGCGCAGCGCCAGGAGACTAGCTGGGGTTGGGAACTGGGCATGCAGAAGGATATTGGATGAGAAGGCTGCAAGGTGCACGGAGGCTATATCTTCAGCTTACGACTCGGTCGCGGGTGAGAGATGGAGAACCATGTTCCTGGCTGGCTTGGGCTTGTGTTGGGTTTCTGGGAAGAGGCTTCGATACTATTTTTCGAAGGATGTGAGGATTTGGGTAAGAATAGAGAGCACTGAGCATGATGCGGGAAAGGGAGAGTGAGTGGGCAAGGAGATTCTCATGTCTCTTTGCATGCAGATAACCATGCAGCTGTTGTCGCTATCAGAACATGCAACTAGCCCTGCTGCCATTATGGATAAGGTATCCGTACACGATGTGGGGTTGATGCAGTGGGCTGCTCAGCAATTGTTCGATAATGATACCGTGGGGAGTAGTCAGGGACTCGATATGATAATAGCCGATTTTAATAGCGAGCAAAGGGCTTGGAACCTCGATTCTCGAGACATCCCAGATACAAAGGCCTTCACAGCCCATCACGCGGTTCCGGAAACCAGAATCGGTTATCATCATAATCTCCTCCATCGACTCGAAATTTCGCATCCGCACTCAACGCGTAATGATTGATTGATTCAATCGGGTTACATGCTGGTGATACAAATATCTACGAACTATGTGTGTGCGTCGGTGCCAAGATGAGGAGGGTAGTCATTGATAGCTGCGGCCTTGTCTCAGATAAAGTCGCATTTTGCTTCTCTACCTACCTACTTACCTGCAGTGATCAATCTCCGACCAAAAACCTGATAAACAACCACAGAGCTGGTCATGTTGAATAATGTACCCTAGGTAAGAGATCTTAACGGACGTCCTTTATGGACTAGAATGCTGACTGTTCTTTTATTAGAGATCGCCATGCGTGATGCTTGATGGGTTTATGATTCTCGAAAGAACGTACACCAAGGGTCCGAACAATATCGTGTATACCTACCTATATAACCCAGTCTCCCATATCGGCATGAGGTCTCGAAAGGGAAATAGCACGGAGGAAGAAGCAGAGGAGGCAGACGGCGTATCTCTGCATTCGAGTTACCTCTCTCCTCCTTGGCCCTGATACTGACAGCCGGCGATCGAGTTTGTGGAGGCTCAGAAGAACTTGAACCACCCTTCAAATGGGTAGGTAGGTACCCGGCCTTTCTTGCTCTGGACTCGGTTGGCTGCGAGCATTAAGTTGTCAGGTAGGCTTTTGCGGGAAATTTCGCATTGCGTTGTGTGCAATCTTGTTCAACCTACATTTTTTTGTATGTTTTTTTGGTACTTTTGATCAAATCTTTTCACTGTTAGGGATCGTTTGGAGCACGTGCTCTTCTACAGTAGTGACATATGCCGTGCGAAAGTTCTTGGCATGTCTAGTCACTCTATGGTCTCGAGGGGGGCGGGCTATAAAATATGATAGTCCAGCGGGCGTGCCGATAGGAAACATAAAGCTTTGGAGATATCATTCCCTTCTTGGCATCTTCTGTTCCCTTCCGACCGTTTTATCCTGCACGACATGATACCTCTTCGCATAGCCTCTCTATATCCCGTGCCTCTCCGCAGGCATTGCTGCGACACGATCACGAACTGATGTATTGAATGTCACGGGAAACTGCATACTCCTCCAGCTCCCACCCGCAAGTACAATGAACGTCACCGGCGTGTCACCGCATCATGTGAATGCGGGAAGCGTTCCCATTGTATCAGCGGCATTTGCATGTTGACCAAGCACTCCGTACCTGTGTGTTTCTGTGTTGGCGATTCCTCCAATAGCGGTCTGTCTAGCATCCAATCTGTTCCTCGTGTGCTAGGTACGCTGCCTTGGACTAGGAGGCCTTTAACAGGTCATCGTGTATGCGCGTGACCATATGGCTTCGCCTCCCTTTCAATCATCTGTTGGTTTGATATGGGAACAATGTTCAAGTAACCCTCCTTTTGTCTTCCCTCTCTCTCCCTCTCTCCCGTGTCGACGACGTGTGTCTATCCGAGGCCATGTTCGCATGGATATGCTATATGGCCGGCAGCACATGGCTAATTCCAGGAGCGGTCAACCTAAGTATTCGCTATCTATGGCCACGCCGTCTGGTCTGAATTTGGACTTATGTCGTGGCTCCGAGAGAGTCTATATTTGCTGCGTGGCGTTCTCGTCACAAGTACAAGGACTGTCCCCAATTCGAGTCTTATGAACCCGGCCCCGTTGCGACACAAGGCACTGCATCGTGGAGGATTCCTACATGGACATGTCCGTAGGTGGCTGATAAGCAAGATTTTACAAAATACATGGCCAATATATGTACGAAGACTGTTCCTGCATTTTTGCTTTTCCCCTTTCAACCTCCTGACAGGCTCGGTTATCAAGGCTGCAGGTCCGCTGCACCTACCCAGTCTCGACGTCAGGATATCGACATCACAATATTAATATCATCAATATCGGCTCTCCGAACTTTTCACTTTTCACCGTGTCACTCGTTTGCGGTGTCTACTCTCGTTCATTTCTCGCCCAGTTCCAAGATGCTATTCTTCTCGTGGGCTGCCCTCTTGGTATCTGGCTGGTGTATTGCTGCTACTGCCGCCGCAGAACTGGAGGCCAGATATCAGCACTATGTTGTCACTGGGACCCATACTGGAGTCGACCAGGCCACTGGTGCAAGACCTGCTAGACGCAATATTCTAGATCTCCAAGAGGACGCCCCATCATGGTAAGAGCCTGCCAGAACAGTTACTTGTCAGCCTACTTGCGGATACTGAGGTTTTCACTAGGTCTCTGTACATCCAGGCACTTGCTGCTATGCAAAGCCTTCCAGAGAGCGATTTGCTTTCATATTACCAGATTGCTGGTAAGTGTCGATAACCACGTTGGAAGAAGTGGTCATCTGAGAACCAAATAGGTATCCATGGCCGACCTTATACCTCGTGGGATAATGTTGCTCAAGGGAACAATTCCCCGATTACTGGCTATTGTACTCATGGTGAGTTAGTTGTCAGGGCGGGAGAGACCAAGAAACTGACAACACCCAGATTCGGTGTTGTTCCTGACATGGCATCGCCCCTATCTCGCTCTCTACGAAGTAAATTATCTCCAACGCCGCTGTTGTTCGATAGTCTAACACTATGCCCTAGCAAGTCCTTGTTGGTCACGTACAGGCAATTGCTAGCACATATGCAACAGCCGGCTCCCAAATATGGCAAACTGCAGCAGACAATTTTCGCGTTCCATACTGGGATTGGGCATCTACCCCTGAAATGCCAGACGTCGTCAATGCCCCGACATTAGCAATCTTGACTCCTTCTGGATATCGGAATGTGAGCAATCCATTGTTGCAGTACAAGTTCCAGAACTTCCCCCTGAGTGAGACCTATTTTCCATCCTCATCGCAGCAAGCCAATGACTGGTACCTGGCCGCCTACCCTCAGACAGTGAGGACCCCTGATACATATGGCGATGGTTCGGATTTTGTTAAAGCAAATAGCGTCCTGGCAAATGGAAATCTCAGGTATCAAGCAGTAAGTAGCCTCTGCTTCTGGTCATGAGAGTGAATCAGGGTTGAACTAACGTTTAGTTGTGAAGTATTATGCACTGACAAAGTCAACGGACTTTGACAACTTTGCCACTCAGATAGCCTGGGGACCCTCTATTGAAAATGTCCACAACTTGGTTCACGTTTCCATCGGGGGAAGCTGGGGGCATATGTCACAGCTTAGCTATTCGTCCTTTGACCCAATCTTGTATTTTCCACTTCCATTCGTTCCTTACACCAGAATACGTCGAACTAACAAATACCTTTAAAGCTGGCTCCACCATGTCAATGTCGACCGCTTCTTCGCTATCTATCAGGCAATGTATCCGAATTCATATCTTACACCTTTCCCTGAAACCTACGGCACTTACACCCTCCAAGGAGGGGGCAAAATCAACGATACCCTCTCCACACCCCTCAAACCATTCTCTACCGATACACGAGGGAGTTTCTATACTTCAAGAGGTTCGCGGTCTCTAAGCACATTCGGCTACTCTTACCCCGGAATCGAAGACTGGAATCACACACCCGAACAACTGCAAGCAAATGTGACTGCACATGTAAACGCTCTTTACGGATCTTCAAACTCGCTCAGTAAAAGGGATGTCCTTGCACCGCGAGCTGAAGTCACAGAATGGAGCGTCACTATCGGCGTTTCTAAATTTGACCTCGGCGGTCTGCGGTTTATCATCCGCATATTCCTTGGCGATATCCCCGAAAATCCATCAGACTGGGCAACGAGCGATGCTTGTGTGGGTTCTTTTGTCATGTTGCCGCCGCCGTCTATAACTGGACCGCTACCTCAGGTTCTGTCGTACAATGAGATTGGTTTAACCGAGGCCTTGAAGGCCAGAGGGTATGATGGACAGGATTTGGCTGCGACAATAAAGTACTTAGAGGAGGGTCTTCAGTGGAGAGTACAGCTGGTAGGGTCTCAATTTCCTTTTGTTTCGTTGTTGGTATTGAGAGGCTTGTTATAACGAGGAACAGATCAATGGCACGGTTGTATCAACAGATCAGCTCAAGACTTTGAGCATCGCGGTTCAGCGGGAAATCGTATCTTTGGCAAGCAGTATCTACGAGCTGCCGACCTATGGAGAAAAGACTATACACCCCGGGATCACCAAAGGGAAAGTTGGTGGGTATTCGCACGAGGTTTGGAGCCGGTAAGGTGAAGTTATTGCAATGTCTGATGTGAGTTTCTACCCCGAATTTTACTTGGTTATAAGGGACTAATTTCTGGATTACTTTGGAAGTGTGAATCCCAGGATATTGACATTGGAGCCACAGTGGAGGAATAGACCATGAATGCCAGGAGCAACACCCAGTAGCCCACTGAAGATAGCCAAGCCAAGAAATAGACTGGTGACGAATTATACATTCATTGATTCTTGTTATTTATATATGCTTCTTTGTATACTACCGCAATAAGGTCTTGGGTAATGGGGGTATGTTTGTCCCAGGCTTCAGTGATTGAGCAGATCAGACGGGCTTCTCGACGTATCACTTTTCCCCGAGTACGTCCTAGTGCCCACGACATGCCCACGTCCCAATGAGGCCGGAAATTAAATCTGTAGGCTAGGTACATCCCTCAAAGATAGTCCCCTCTTTCTTTCTTCAAGACCAATTTTTTTGGTATTTGGTGACTCCTGCATGTTTCAAACATCAACCCATCCATCGCCAACGCCAACGAACATGGGCGATCCAGCACGTGTCTAGTGCCAGGGTTGAATCTTCTTGAGTTAGGTTCAATTGAATTGAATTGGATTAATTCGCATCCTACCTATCTCAACCTTTTTGTAAAATTTATTTTATTTAAGTTTGTTTTGTTTTTTTGGGAGGTGGTTGGAAGGCAGCCAACAATTATACGATAAATAGAGGAAGTGAGGAAGTGAGGATCTTCCATACCAGCCAGCCGTCTTGTGTTGTTCCATGGACTGCGCCACAGCCTCACTCCTACAACTCCCAACTCCCAACTCCAAATCCAACTCCAAATCCAACTCCAACTCTAATCCGCAGCATCAATGCACCAATAGGTTATCGTCAGCAATAGACATCAGGACCATAAATTTGGCAACAGATACATAAGATAGCTTGGACCCTTGACTTGTAGATAGATTAGAATTGGAATTCTCCTTCCCTCCCTCCTTTCCTCCTCTTCTCTCTAGATGGCGAGGAGGGGTGTGGTGAAGAGAAGGAGGAGGGGAAGGAGGGGGAGGGGGTGGGTGGGGATGTGCATTTGGGTGGGTTGGTGATGTGATGTGGTGGGTGGGGGGGGGGGATAATAAGTATTGTGGTTTGATTTGAATTTGAATTTGAGTTCTGGATTGCTGATCTTGAGAGATAAAAAGTCGGGAGAGAGGGAAGGAGAGCGCCAATCTGCATCCCATCCACCAACGGCTATGATATCAGTCTCGCCACGACACGAGCGAATGATTTCTGTACCCGGCTCGCGCAGCGGAATTTCAGTAGTAGTGATTGGAGGACTTATGGGTTGCCTTTTTTGAGTTTTGGGTTTGTTATGGAGCAGCAGGGTGGGGGGAGGAATGGGACGATGGGGAGGTGTGATTTGGTGGGGTGTAGGGCGGCTTTGGGGGGGTTGTTGGATGGTTGTGAGTTCTGCCTACTTTACCCTTTACCTGGCTGGTGTCGATTTCTGAATGAGTGAAAGAGGGATGTGGGAAAGAGGGGGGGGGAACATGTGAAGAGATATGGGGAAATGGACTCATTGACTAACGAGGAGAGAAATAGGTAAATACAATAATTATACAATCTGGGGCACGGCACAAGCTGATGTGCTGGGGTGCGGAACATACAACTACACGATTGGGAACGCGACATCTCCTCTACCTCCGCCTAACAACAACGGGACGCAGACAACACCAGGCGTTCCGATGATTCCCAGCCCGACGGGGAATCCTAATGGGTTGCCTAAGACGGCGAGCAGCAAGAGTGGCGCGGATCTGATGATCGCGAAGGTTAGCGGCTCGTTGATGCTGGGTGTGGCGGGCATCTTCATTTGTTTTCTTTGATGGAAGGGCGTTTGTTTCTGGGAATGATGTTGCGGTCTCAGCGGTCTGTGGTTCGGAGTGAGGGAGGCTGCTTGGATTATTTATTCTTGGATAGGGGGCGTTTTTGATGCGTCGTTGGTATATACCCCCCTGGAGTATTGATTATCATGGAATAGAGAGGAGCAGCAGCCTCCAGAAAACGATGACCTTCTTTGATTATGAATGACCGGGTCTTCGAAGTCAGTGGTTGATGCTCGTATGCTTTTTGGCGCCGTAACTCCAGGTCAAAAGACTGCCCCTTTCCACAAGCGCCCAAGCGCCATGTTACGCTTCCGAGAATAGAAACATCTATATATCAGTCGTCGTCTTCATCCGAGCCGTAGTCCACCAAACCCAGTCCAGCTTTCGGGGCAGCTGGGGATGCTTTAGAGACAGGCGCAGGACTCGAAGTTTTAGACTTCAGATCCGGCTGGTCATCTTGCGGCACGCTCGCAGGCTTCGTCTCCTCGGCCTGCTGCTCCTTCGCGGGAGATGGTGAAGCCGCAACTGCTGCTGGCTCGAGGGTGGACGATGATGATTTCCGGATCTTCACCCCCTTGAGCCCTTCCTTCTCCTTCGCACGTTTCCGTTTCCTGCCCGCTGCAATCCACTGCTCCTCCTCCTTCACTGCCGCTGCCGCCGTCACCTCGTCGGGACTCTGCTCTCCCCCCGCCGCCCGCGCTTTCCTATCCGCCTCCTCCTGCTGCCGCCGGAAGAGCTGCAATCCCTCGGCCGTCTCCCTCCTCACCCGCTCCTCCTCCGCCCTCGTCTTCTCCAGCACCGAGTCCAGAAACTCCACCTCGTCCTCGTCCAGCGCCCGGAACTGGTTCTTTAGCCGGTTGGCCTCCTCAAATGCTTCTTGCTTGGCCGCTATTCCCGTTCAACGCACCCCTACGTGATCAGCCCCGGTGCCCGGCATAGTTGTAGACCTGAAGGGAAGAGAGGGGATTTCGAAATTCGGGGTAAAAAAAGGGGGGAGAAGTGCCGGGGGAATACCTTTGTTGGCTTCGAGAACCTCGTACAGACTCCGCCCAGAGGATTGCTGCTGGGCTTCGGCGGCTTTGCGCGCCCGGTTGGCGTCAATCTCGGCTTGCGCTGCGAGCCATTCATCACTGCGCTCGATGGGCGCATCGGTGGTTCCGCCTGATACAAAGCCGGAAGACATGGCTGCTAGTTTGCAGTTGGAATTGGTCGTGCGGTCATGGCCGTTCTTTTCGTGATGTTCGGACGAGGCTCCAATGGTGGTGTGCGTTTATGTAGTTATAGATGCACATCGTACAGGGGAGACGTCTATTGATCAATTTGATAAATAGACGCAACCTCTCCCCATCCATATCATCCTCCTGATCATCGCAGGTACAGAATATAGCAAAGTCTTATGTTGTAGAAATCTATCTACAAAAGATCTTCAAGTACCCTCGCCGTTCCAGGAACACAAGAGCATAACGTTTTCATAAGTTTTCAACTCCCATATACAGCCTCCATTACTATTGACTTGACGACTCAGTAGGTATCTCAGGAGTCCACCACATCCATGTATTCCATACTTACCTAGCCGACATCAGGAATCTCATCCTTCCACTACAGTATCAGCGAGCAAGAATAAATGGATGTGCACCTAGATAACAGGGCATTTATCCAGACCACTCTCTTCTCCTCGGGTCTCTACTACAACACGGAGCACTCCCATACCAATCGATACTGAACCACATCTCCAAACCCCTAGCTTTGTTTTCCCTACTTAACGCACCAGCTTGAACTCTTCCTTCTGTATTCCTATAGTAGGTAAGGTAGTCATCAATCATACCTTGGACGGCTGAGCCCTAGAGGAATATACCTGGGTACCTTAAGCGAATACTACCCAAGATCAGATCGTACGAAACAGACCCCTGTCTATCAGCCCCGGGATCAGCCCAACAGTTTAATCCCTAATCCCTAATCCTTGTCTTTGTGGCTGGCTGGCTGGCTGGTGGCATGTCACTACTAATTGCGCGGGGATGTTGGATCTCCCGTTTCAAAACCAGATAAGCACTAAGCAATGGAAATCAATCATGTCGTTCCGCTCCCCGCTTCCTCTTTCACGTGTTGATTCCATTACTCGGTCCACTTCGGGCGCGCCTCCCCCGGGGAAAATTTGGGGCTGCGGTATGTGGAGAGAAAGAAGCGCAGTTATGTCAATCAGGAATCAGGAATACAATTAGTTCTATGCCCTTCTCTCTAATATCGCGGATGGAACACCGCCCCCGCCCTCGCGGCTTCTGCCATTATTTAGAGACCATTATTGGCACATGTGAAAACGCCCCCGACAGTTCCTGCGTCGTAGCTATCAATGATGCTCTGCACGCTGGCATACGTGCCGGCCCCCAGGAAGAATAGCCCGATGAAGATAATGACGATGTTCAAGGCCAGCATTGAATAACCGTACAAGGACTGTTCCCGGAGCCAGTTGACCCCGCCATCGACTCTCCTCATGCGGATGTACGCCACGCCCCAGAAGATGAACCCGAAGAAGGAATCAAAGAGGGAAGACATCAAGGACAGCAGATCAGAGAAGAACGGGATGACTTCAGCCTAGGATGGTTATCAGCAACTGCGCTATCAGGAGAGGGGATGAGCCGTGGGGACACGTACAATAATGAAAGCGCCAACCCAGGTTGCCGCAAGGATCGCAGCCCAGGCGGACCAGCCGACGACCGTATGGCTCGTTTTATGCCGGGTGCCCTCGAAAACGCGGAAGAAGATGAACCGCGCCGAGACCGAGGCGTAAAGGACGCCAAGGAAGATCAAGGTTGGGATCATGAACGAGAACGACACTTTCTTGTAGACTTCATTACCAAGAGATCCGAATGCAGGGGCCGTGTTGTACTGATTTCCAGTGTAGGCGTAGACGACAGCACCGATAACGCTGAAAACGATGATTTCGCATATCGTCACGGCCCAGAGCGCCTTGGGGAAATCATGGGGATTCTTCATTTCGGCAATGAAACTGGGGAGGGTGATCTGCCCGATGAAAGTATACGCGATGTTCAGGAAAGCATTCATTCCTGCAACAAAGGTTGTGCCACTGACGGGAACTGCGGTCACAATCGGCTCACCACCATGGATTCCAGTCACAGGGTCGACATAATTAGGGTCGGGATTGTAGCCGGCGGGGTGGGCTTCGATCCCGGCAAAGATGGCAGCCAACAGGACGGAGATGAATGTGAAGAACGCGGATCCAGTTCCAAGTTTGGAGAGAGCACTAAACGTCCTTGGAAGTGAGAAAACCCAGCAAATAATCGCAGCAATGACGGCAAAGACGATAGTGCATTGACTGTGATTACTGATTGTGTTGAGGTACTTGGCGCTTACTAGAACGTGTAGACCCTGCGACTTGTGAATACACAGGAGTAGAAAAGTATTGGGAGGGTGAACAAACCTGGATGAAGGTGTTGTTCAAGACAAACATGATAGCAGTGAGATACCACGCCCACGTTTTCCCCCAGAAAAGCATCTGCCCAATATCACACACATCTCTGACTTCAGGGTGTCGAAGACAGAATTCCCTGAGGGGGTGTTAGTGCTACGTCCGGTTTCTGGCAAGAGAGAATCTGCTCACCAGACGACCAAAGACGTATATAGAACCAGTGCAGCAATGACAACCGTCATGATGATACCTGGGACGAGACCAAGGACCGAATAGGAGTAGGGGAAAGACATGATAGCCAAGCAAATGTACTCCGAGAAGAGTAGAGCGGCTGTCTAAATTCGGGGTTAGAAATGGATCCAAGAGTCGCATAATTGATCAATCAATCGCTAATGGCGCATTTGAGACACCAGAATGTCTCGCATGATCGGATGGATTAAGACTTGCCTTTGGCCAACTGCAGGTTCTGTATTGAATGGCATTTCCGGCCTCCAATTCAATCTGCTTCCCCAAGATATCCGAGCCGGAATCATCGCTCCCGAAGTCGTATCCTCTCAGATGGGGCAATACGGGGGCGATTCTAGCACCGGCGGCCCTGTTGCTCGTCCCAAATCTACCCCTCGTGGCTCTCTCGGTGTCGAGATTAGGGTCGCTCCCCAGGCCGGCAGGTTCTTTAGAGTCAAGGTCATTGTTGTTTGCGAAATCCAGCGACGCATGGTCCTTTTCTAACGCCATTTTCGGGAGGGGAAATGGATGATTGGGGAGGAGTAGACAGGTTGAGAGCTGAGAGGCTGGCGGAAATGCATTAATGAGCGGATGCGAGATTCTGAAGCTGAAGCTGAGGCTGGTAGGGGTCCAAAGGACACTGCGCGCGGATCGAGGAAGATGCTAAGATCTCGCTGGCAGTATAGACGGGGCCGCGAGAGAGAGCTGTCGACACGGGCACTGCGTTATCAGGATCAAGAGGTATGTATATACCTGATACCTGACGTATACAAGGTAGGTAGAGATAGGTAGGTAGGTATCCAGATATGTAAGGTATATATGTATATGTATATATATAAAGATATATATGTGTGAGTCGAATTGGACGGCCAATGGAAGGATGCTGTTGGAACTGGGGGTGGAATGGAGGAGGGAGACGATGGATGATGAATGAAGGATGGTGTGAATGGCGAGTGATAGATGATGGATGATGAACTGCTGGAGAGAAGTACCTGTGCAGCTACAATGCCGAACCGTAGTTATCGGGCAGGGAATCAAGGACTGCATCGGCGCGCCCGATTATTGCTCCGGCCGTGATAGGCGGGGCGCCTCTCCACACTGAGGGAAGCCGAGGCCGCCTTAGGCTAGACCGGCACAGGGTCTGGCCGCGCCGCGTGCACAAGCATTTCCTAATGGGGCAGTAAACATGACGATGACGGACGGCGGGAATCTGGAATATTCCAACAGCGGAATAGCGGGGCGGAGCGGTGCATATCCTGCATATCCTGCGGCGACCTAGGCCGTGTTCAGCATGCCTCAGGCCCCAAGGCCGCCCATAGCAGCGTCCAGCACTTGGCATTCTGACATACTGCCCACAATTAGTAAGGACTGCTAACCATAGGCCCGCCGGGTGGTGTGGAAATCTCTGCATGGGTCTCCATACATAACGGTCATCGTTTCACCACGCCGGCGAAACGGATCAGAAGGAAGTCAAAGGACTGATTTTGCACTGCGGCGCGAAGACTGAATCCGCAATGACGTGCTCTCAGCCCGGGAGCACGACATCCTCCATCATGCCATGGCCTCTGCGCGCCTAATGCAAGGGACGTGGTGCGGGGTGGCACGTGACCACCGGCCTCTCCGAGCAGAAAGGGAAAGTGCGGTGCTGTGCTACCTCTTTTCATTGGTTCCGACTCTACTACATACCTTACCTTACCTACAACCTCTTCTTCTACCTGTTGGCGAGTTCAATCGCCTTCGCCGCCGCCTCCTCGAAGTCATCAAAGGCGTGCAACGGGAGGCCACTCTCCGCAATCTACGTCGTCCAATGGTCAGCATACGCATACGAGGATTCCATGCTAACAATCCCTCCCCAGGCTACGGGAGAGAGCGGGATGCAAGAGGAAAGAGGGGGGGCGGGGGAAGGGGAAGGGGAAGGGGAAGGGGAAGGGAAAACCCACAATCTTCTGTCCTTCCTTCTCGTTCGTCCCACGGATCCTCACCACCACCGGCAGCCTCATCTCCAGCTCCTTGAACGCGAGCAGGACCCCGTTCGCGATCATGTCTCCTAGGGTCAGCCCCCCGAAGATGTTAACAAAGATGACCTTCACTCGCGGATCTTGCAAGATCACTTGGAAGCTCTTCTTGACAGTTTCGCTCGTCGCCTTCCCACCCGTGTCGAGGAAATTGGCCGCTTTCCCTCCCGCGTCAGCTAACGCGTCCACCGTATTCATAGCTAGTCCAGCCCCATTGACCAGGGTGCCAATGTTTCCATCCCCTGCCAGCTTGATATACACAATCCCATCCTTTTCAGCCTCCAATTCTTGGGCATCTTCGTCTTCAGTACGGCGTAGAGCATGGACATCTGCTTGGCGTTTAGTGCTTCGAAAGGCTGCGTCGTCGAACCCAAAATGGGCCCCGACAACCTTGACGTCACCCGCCTGCTCGACGATCGTGGTCTCGAGCAGGAAAGCTTCCTTCTGCATGAAGAGATCAACCAGACCATTTATCACCTTTAGTAAGGACTCTTTCGCGGATTGGTCAAGCTGCAGATACTCAGCTATTTCCTGCGTGCTGCTTGGATCGAAACCCTTTCTGTAGTCGAAAGGGAATTTCTTGGCTCCGACATGAGGCTGCTCTGGGTCACTTGCCGGGGAAGCAATGATACAGGGTGAGAGGTTTTTCCGGTCAATGCCAACAGCAAGAAGTCGCTTGTTGCCCTGTCCTGAGTACTCTGATACGTTAATGTTGCTTTCTCGAAGCAGATTAAGCGCGAGATTCTCTCTTATGTATAAGTTCCGCTTGTGTACCATAGTTGAAGGCCTTAGAGCCTGGGATCTTGTTGTTGGCCGAATTCTTCGACTGATCGTGTGCATGCTTCGCCGTTGCGAAGCTCCAGGAGTAGCCGATCGAGTACTGCCTGGTCTGTAGTTACTTAACAGGCCTTTCATCGCTTCCCCAAATTTTCCAGGGTGGTTAACAATAGTGACACCTGCATCTTCCAGGTGCTTAACCTTCGTCAATGCATCGGGCTCTCCCGGCAGGACGAAAGCGCCCGCATGACCCATGATTCGACCTGGAGCTGCACGAACACCGCCAATGAGTGCAGCGATGGGTCTGGACCAATGTTGTCAGATTTGTGACATCGAATTTTGAAGAAAGGGCATACTTAGGATTGGGTGTGCGCTTCCTGTAATCCTTGATCCATTCTGCAGCGTCCAACTCCGCTGTCCCTCCAATCTCACCTATCAAGAGGATTCCTTCGGTATCATCATCGTGCTCAAAGACCTTCAGGCCGTCCACAAAGTTAGTACCAGGCAAGACGTCACCCCCCACACTGATGCATAAACTTTGGCCTAGCCCGGCTCTTGTTGTCGATGCCACAGCTAGGTATGTAACTTTAGCAAGCTGCATTATATCAGTTCCAATGCGGCTTACTTACATTCATAGCTGAGCGTTCCTGATTTAGCAACAATGCCTACACGGCCGGGCATAAAACATGGGAGTGGTTGAAACCCAATTCTACACTTGCCAATAGCAGAGATGATTCCGGGCGCATTGGCACCGACTAGTCGACACTTCGACTGGGTTTTTAACATTGAGTGTATCTAATGCTTTTAGTTACCAATCAATTGAGCTAATCTTGAGCCATACCCTCAACATATCATGAACAGGGATATGTTCAGCAACCGCCACGATGAGAGGAATTTCTGCCTCGATTGCTTCCTCGATGGCGCCAGGAGCTTGGTGAGCCGCCACATAGATCCCTGTTGCATCTGGTTTGAGTTTCTCCATTGCCTTGGAAGAAGGGGTCTGCGTCAGCGTGCAGCCTAGGCGCAGGATAGAGCCCACTTACTTCCCGAACGGTGGGTAATAGGGGAAGGCCAAGATGCTCTCCATTTTTACCAGGTGTCACTCCGCCAACTATGTTGGTTCCCCACGCGAGCGATTCTTTTGCATTTGCTGTAGCCTTTGAAGAGGGTTGGGTCAATATACAATGCTAGGAACCGGGCTTCCCATAGCAGGACTCACTTGTCTCCCTAAGCCTTGTGTTAGTCGGTTGTGCTAAGAAGTGGAGGCCTTAGCCATATACATATCCCTACCGGTGAACCCTTGGAAAATAACACGGGTATGAGCGCCAATTTTCAGGTTTGCAATTGTATCCTCATATGAACAATGACGAGCCGAAGTACTGAAAGATGATACATGGATATGCTTCAGAGGTGCAGAGCGACCCCGCACGCGCAGCTGCCGAATCATGGCTGGCAAACTCAAGAAACCAAGCAAGAAGTCCCAGCTCACTGCCTAGAAATCAAGAGGGACGTGCAATAGCAAATAGAAATGTGCCTTCTCTGAACCTTGGCCGGCCAGAGGGATTGTATATAGAGAATCAAGTTACGAGCAGAGCTGGAGGAGGAAGAAATAAGGTTATATGTACCAAAGTCCGCAACCGGCAATACGGATAGGGAATAACACGAAAGGCTCTACCTCCCCTTACCTAAGCCGCATATTAACAGGAAGAGCATTGGCTCCACCCACCGGCAAGTCAGAGACAGCTCGGACTTGAGCGCGCGTCAAGAGGACGAGGACGATACAACATCATGCGGAATTATAACAGACTGTCCGCCCGTGATCTCGCATGCGGTTCATCTCTGCCGGGCGGGTGATGTAAGGAAAAGCAGCGTACCGCCAGTACCTGCTACCTGCCCAGGCACTCCGCCCGTTTGTGCCTATGGGCCCAATCGCCGTCTATTTAGCCTACGTGGTCAACCCCACAGTGGCTGCGTGGAAGCTCCGCACAGTTCGAGAACTCCTGCGAGTCTTCGATTGCGTCCAAGTATAAGAACTTGCTATACGACTCGTCCAGGACCACCGGCCTCGCGGTTTGAGTACCAAGGGACATCGCTTGATCATTCGAATAATACCCATTCGACTATATACAATACCCCTTTGTTCTCGGGCGACCGAGAGCAAGATTCTAACACCCGCTGCAACTCTCTTTCATCTGCTTCAGCATGTCCGCAGCGCCCCAAGGTTCGTCGTGGACTCTTCTCTCCCCAGTTACGTCCTCTCTCTGACTCCAAATCGCAGAACTCGAATCATCCCTGGCCAAGCTGTCTATAGACCCGCAGCCCTCGAAATCATCATCCGCCTTCAAGAAGAAGCAGCAAGCCGTCGCTGACTCCTGGGAAGATGAGGAATCCGACTCGGGGGAGGACACAGACCGGCCCATCTCTCCGCAGCAATCCAAAGACTACCCGGCGGCCCCGCCTCCCACGCCCATTTCTCCCTCGACCTCGACTTCCGAATACGAGAGCTTCATAAACCCTTATGGATACAGCCCCGATGCGAGTCCCAGTGCGAGGAGCGAACGACCGGGTGCGAGACCACAGAAGACAGATGCGGTGGCCAAGAGGATGATTGCAGGGGCATTGGGATTGAAGGCTCCTAAGAAAACCGAGGAGCAGAGGGCGTATGATAGGGCTGTGAAGGAGAAGGAGATGAAGAGGAGGAATTTGGAGAAAGAGGCCGCCGCTAGAGCGAAGGAGGAGGCCGAGAAGGCTAAGGCCGCTGTGTGGAGTGATTAGGCGTCAACGTTGAGTGTGAAGTTTAGGGCACGTACGGGCTTCCCGGTTTGGTAATACCTTAATGCATACGGCGGCGTTTGGGGGTAACTGGTATGGTGGCGTACTGGGAATTGCTGGGTGAGGGGCCTTTGATGATTTGGAAATAGTGAGCACCTATTACAGATTATTGAGTAAAAGCATTATTCGTAAGGTAACTTATAGTCCATCTTCTGGGCAGCATATTCATTCACAAGGAAGCCCTCGGCATACAAGAGCGCGATAATATGGCAGAGGTAGTCTGGATTCTTGAGCAAAAAAGATGCCTCTGACTGCCTAGTCTCAAAGCCTCTCATGTCCCGTGGGAGCAAGCTACGCCGTCACGCCGAAAACGAGAACCCCTTCCGAAAGTTGCCCAGACCATAGTATATCCCAATCGTCATCACCCTTGGGTCCTCTCCTTTGTCCCATCCCCTCAAGAGTGTCTGCCACGGTTGCGCATGTCGTCGTTATTCCTGTACTTAATTCGCGCCACCACCGATCTGCTCCTGGTGGACCTCGAGAGTGTCACCATCCTGCATATCCAGCTATTGAGAATCACGTCAGCTCTGATACCTAGCAAGGTTGATACGCCCCAAAATGTGACGTATGAGAAGCAAATGCACCCACCGAATCTGGACTGTCGGTAGCCTGGACGCGACTACCATCGAACAGGAAGCGGACCGAGTTGGGAGCCTTGCCCTGTCTCTCGCAGAAAGCGTCCATCAACTTCTTCAGGGCCGTGGTGCGCTTGATTTTGAAGAACACTTCGTTGTTGTTATCGGTTACTTTGATGTTGAGATGTTCGGACACGGCTTGGCCTTCAGGCTTCTCGCCGGCGGGGCTTCCGCCATTCTCGTCACCAGACATTTTGGGGCTGCGGGGTCCTGGAGTGGCTTGTGGGTTTTAGTGACATCCGATAAGGTAGAGGGGAAGGGGAGGATATAGGCTGAACTTACGACAGTCTAGTCAACCAGGTACTGTGGGTGCGGAGGAGTTGTAGGCGATTGGGAGAGATCGGTGGTGGGAGAGGTTGTGGTTGTAGTTATAGTTGTAGTGGGGAGGGCAGCGAGGGGGACGTCTAGGTAATTCACTCGCTGCGCTACTGTAAAAAGGTAACGAAGCGAGCTTTCTGGAATTCTGAGGCTTGATAGTGGCAAGCAACACCGTCCTCCTTCCCAACATTGGACGGTCATTGTTTGCTTTGCTTTGCTTTGCTTTGCCTTGCCGCTTGAGCATTGAGGGACTCACACGCGCAAAGGCATTTTCTTTCAAAGAGAGGGAGAGGGTGGAAGATACTCTAGGCAAGAGGGGATTCAAGAAACGTCCAAACAAATGGTGTGCTCATACTCTTCTTTACATCATCTAGAAAACTCCAGATTGCTCATATTATATTCATATTCGTTTTCATACAGGCTCCAAAGGATGATTTATCAACGGATCCGCCGTGCCATTCTCGAGCAGTATGTTATTCCTTTGTCCACTCATAACCCTCTACGCAACAGGCGCTGACCCTCCCAAGTGTGCTATCCAGGGTCAGGACCACCACACCTCCCCTCATGCATGCGGATAGATGTGGTTGGGAAACAGCTGACAACTTTCTAGACTGCCTAGCCAAGAACTCTTACAATGAAGCCAAGTGCAGATCACAGGTTGATGCCTTGTACGAATGTTGCAACCGGTTCTACGAAAGATTTGGCGATGATGCACAGAGTGCAAGTTGCCCGAAGCCGAATCTGCTGAGGCTGAAGATGAAGCAAAGGGCGGAAGAGGTTGGCTCTAAGTGAGCTGGCAACAGATCACCTGGAAATCCACAATGTTGCCAGATCCATGTACATAGCCTTTTCTTCCTCGTCACTGGGCGCAAATTTCCCAGTCAGACTCCTCTTACTCTACTTAATGTATCCCAGATTTCCTCAGCTAGGTAGAGATCATCTATGTAAGCTAGGTAGAGATCATCTATGTATACCTATATGTGGTACCTATCTTGTAACCCTTCAAGTTTACTGCCCACCCTCAAGCCGGTTAAGGTCAGGGGACATGAACAGGAAGAGTGTTTTCTCTTGGCGATCATGAGCGCGCAGAGAGATCCGATGGACCTGAACAAGCAATGATGGTTACTCCATAGAGGAGGCTTATTCCGAGACTCTAATTAGATGGCCGATGACATTATGTGAAAAAAGAAGAGACTTTCAAAGAGAGAGGCGAGGTCTTTATATATGGGTTTGACGCGCTACCGCCTTCGCTTAGCGAGGTAGCGTTGGCACCTGAGGCAGCAAAGGCATCCCCGTACCTGTTGTCGCGTAGTCGTGCATTCTTTTGGGTCCTGTACAAAGTATATCCAGATCCAGATGCTGCCCGAAAGCTCAATGTTGAGGGTTCAACGACCGCGAAGCTCACTCCAATCCTGATTACAACAAGCTCTAGGATATCATTTGCAGCTTCTCTACTGCGATGGCGCCCATGACGCGAAACAATGCGCTCGTGCCTCGCACCAATGGTCCACCCCTAGTAAGACGATTCTTCTCAGTTCCCCTGTGGACGAGCTGACGTTTTGGTCTCCCTAGATTTCCCACGAGGCGAGCTGGCAATTTGTTGGGGTATGCGTCGCAGATACTTGTCCTCTTACCTGATTGCTGATTCTGATGGTAGCAGTCACAGTCCGAGACGGCTTTGGAGCGAGAGGCTTCAGAAGAGCCAGTCTCATCGTACGATGAGGCAGAAATGACCTCAGATATCGATGATGAAGCAGCCGGTTAGTCAAGGTTTCCGCAGTGCTCTTCTTCTACGGGCTCGTTTGAAACGTCAGCTAATGCCAATAATCCAGACGACGAGAGCCGGGCCCAACTCGAGGGTTCGGAAGATCACGAGGATATTCTACATCCCCTTCGCGAAGCTGCAAACCGTGTCGGGCGCGAGGTCGAAAGATTTGCGGAAGTCCTGGATGGGTACAACCCTTTGAGGGCCACGGCGAAAGAAGAGAAGCACGAAATGACCATCGATCTCATTGATTTATACCACGGCATTGCTTTGGACACTCTTGAACGCTTACGGGAGCAGCATGCCGCAGAGCGACGTAAGAGGGATGGTCTAAGATGGAGGAAGAAAATGCGAGGGTTCAAAATCGCACAGGACGATGATGAGATCGAGATAGAGGATTCAGATGAAAGGCCCTATGGAGAACCAAAGACAACTTTGGAAGATCTTGAGCGATGGGAACAAGAAGCCCAGACCTGGGACCTTTTGCGGCGACTTGTTCATCTTCGATTTCCACCACCTGGATCAGCTGAAAATGCTAATAAATCGTTATCGCGACATAAAGCACTCCATCAATATTCCACCGAGCGGGAGGTGTGGGAGAATTTCCTCGAGGAAGATGGAGTTGCGCTTGAGCGCAAAACTGTCTTGCAATGGCTGAAGGACACGGCTGAAGAATCAGGAGAAGATATCGATGTCTTAGTTCAGGATCTGCAACAAAATGCGGAGAGGGGGGATATCATCGCTCATGGATGGCTCCATACGAAGGCGGCGATTAAGAACCAAAAAAGAATCCACGTCTGGCCCCAAGCACTTGATCCTGCGTCACCAGAAGTGCAAAAGGTACATATGAATTCTTCCAAGACAGAGCCCTTGATCACCCAATTGGATCCAGATGCCATGACCAGACAGAACCGAAAATTGGAGGCTCAAGATGAGTATTTCGAACGGTCAATCTGGTTAGGGTGCTACGAGATGCTGCGCCGGGGACGAAGCGCTGCTGATATCAGGGAATGGTGCATGGAGCGCACCGAGGTTTGGAGAGCAGTCAGCATGTCTGGTCTTCCAGATGAGAAGCCCGTCGACGATGACGAAACCGGGAACCCAGCATCCAGTGTTCTTTGGAGACGAATGTGCTTTGCTTTGGCTCGTAAGGGCGGAGGGGATGAATACGAGCGAGCAGTCTTCGGGATCCTCAGCGGTGACATCTCAAGCGTCGAAGCTGTATGCAGGTCATGGGACGACTTTGTATTCGTGCACTACAACGCTTTACTGAGGTCACAGTTCGACAACTATCTTCAAAAACTGTACCCCGAACGCGCAGTGGCCGGCCAATTTGGGATCTTTGATGCTGTTCAATTTCATGGCGACCCAAAGACTGCCGGGGAGAGGCTTATCGAATCTTTAAAGACAGATCGTCGAACATCCGCGGAGACCTTCCAGCCGATGAAGATGCTACAAGGAGTCTTGATCGCCAACCAATTTGACAAATTCATCTACCAGCAGGGGCTCGCTCTCTCGAAGTTTGCTAATGCGAATGGGCCGTCGAATCTGATCCCAGCAACTAAGGAGCAACCTGAAAATGAGGATATCAATAGATACATTGCTCTAGATGACCACGATAGCCTGAGAGTCCTCACTCATATTCTGCTCGTTTTTATGAGCCTTGGAGTTGACCTGGGAGGGGCGTACCGTCAGACTATCATCGAAAACGTCATCGTTTCTTACATTAGCTTTCTTCGACTTGCTGGTAAGGAGGAGTTGATACCTTTATACTGTTCGCAACTTTCTGGAAACAGAAGATACGCCACTCTCAGCAGAAACCTTATCGATGTAACCGATCCTGAACAGCGAATCACACAGATCAGACTCATGAGAGAGTTGGGTCTAGATGTACAAGAATTCGTTAAATTCCAGTCTCGATATCTCTTTGCTGATCATCCGGATAATAACGATGGATATCCCGCCACTGGCAATTTCAAGCTTTTGGAAGACGTACCGGGACCTAGTGGGCCGGGACGGAAGCTCAGGAGGGATTTCTTCGGTGACGACGCGGACAAGGTCGAGAGAGTTGATATGCTCTTCATTAGAAGCTTGGAGTGGTATTTGCTTGTTGATGGACTCTGGAGCGAGACTTTTGTTTTTGGCACTATGCTCTACTTACGATTCTTCAGTGAGTAGACACCGCCGTCTCTGCGCCCACGACATTGCTAACGTTAGTCAGAGCACATGCATCTTACAGCAGCTCGCTTGCTAGCCTCAAGGGTATCTAGCTCGGATATCGCAAAGAGCAAAACACCAGCAATACTGGGAGTGAGTGTTGACTTCGCCAATCTAGAGTCGGAGGGCGTGGATGAGGACTTGACCGAGGTTCTGGATGGATCAGCCGAACAAAAGAGGCTCCTGAGAAAGCATCTGCTTGCAGAGGCGAAGACTTTCAGAGAGCTTGAGACGCTTATTGAGTCCTTGGACAATATGGAGACAGTCACTAGCATGGGCGATTTGCTGCACGAGTATGTTCAAAAACCCCCCAAACAATCACTTACTAACCTTTCGACACAGACAATCTTCGCCGAAATGGCAGAAGGGTTGGAAGCAACAACTGGCCAGAACCATTCAACCGACTAGAGTTTCAGTACAACCACTGCTAAAGGGTTGGTTGCTTACAAGCCAGCAAGGTAAATAACCAGTTCCCATGCTATCAGAACCTTGCTCACACGATGTAGAAGAAGAACAGTTCCGACTTCTGAGAGAAGCATACCTGCCTGAGACCATACTAGCTTACGTCCACACCTTACGATTTGCAGGGTCCATCTTATCCCGCGACCTTCTCATGGAGTGTATGGACCTGTCTGCTCTTATTGCCGAGGAAGGTTCCGATTTGTTGGATATCTTCATCAAAACAGGACGAGCGCAAGAACTGGTCGAAGCTTTTGCACATGCAGGAAAAACCCTCCTGGTTACTACCTCGATCAAAGGAAGCACTGGGGCGAGAAGCAAGAAGCTGAGAGCAAAGGGATGGACGCCGGATATCTGGAGCGTGAGATCATAGACTGAGAACGCTCTATCTAGACTCTGTATATTGGTGACGGGGAAGGAATCGGACAAGACAGGGCTCGTTGGACAGGAGTACTCAACGGGGAACATGGGGGCTATCAAAAGTTGACCTTGTTCAGGGATCACAGCGGTGGCCAATGTATGATACCAGTGCGTTAGGAGGGACCTGATTCTGCTAACGTAGTCGACCAGCTAAAATGGCTGATCTTGTCACTCTTACGAAGTTCCATGACTGTGCAACCTCCCTTGCTCGTTAGATGTTTGTGTGTACCGTATACTCATGAAGATAAGCAGCATAGGTAGATACAAACCAGCCAATACGCCCTTGCACATTTGCGGCTGCGCCTAGGTATATACGAGCGGCCCAAGTCTGCATATATGAATGTAAATATAAATAAATCGTCGAGTGTTTGATCCAGGCAGAGCAGATGCAAGTTGTTCGTGCGTAGCCCGAGCGTTGATTTCCCTGTGGTTGGTTGGTTGCCCAGATTAAATAAGCGGGAGAGCTGACCGTCGCAAGAGTTGTACACTCAAATAACAACGAGGTTCACCTAGGATGGCGATAGCTCCGACTCTCAGCCCAAGATTATGGCAACAGCCTCTGGGGGTCGCGCATCTATCGTGACGGCCAGCAGTTCATCGTTTGGGCAGTTTCGGCTCACCCAATTCGTGGATAACGCGCCGCCTCCAAACGCGGCCACCGATGCCCAGCACACGCCGCTGGGGATATTGAACGAAAACGAAAACGCAAACCTCGATCCAAACCCGATGGCACAAGCTTCCCGCCCCTCGTCGGGCCAAACCATAGACCGCCCGCCATCTGCTGCTCCCTCGAGACCACCGCCACAGAACAATAGCCAGGCCAGTGCGTCGCCGGCCGGGTTTGGCACAGTCGAGCTCGCAGAGCTGACGGCCAACCCGTTAGTTGAGGGCATATTGGGCCCAAATAAAGACGGGAGAGTGAGGAATCCTGTCCCCAGCAAATTAAAGGGCAAGACGGACAACAAGCAAGGCAATTTTGGCGTCATGCATATGGGCATGAGTCCAGGGAAGAAGAACGACGTCCCAGGCAGAGATGCTGCCGCTGAGCGCGATGCAGCTGCGAGGAGGACGAGTGAGAATACTGCATTACGAGCCAAGGCTGCGCAGCAGGAGAAGTACGTCCCCCCAAAGCGGAGGGGACTCGGAGCGGGTGTGAATGAGGGACACCCCGCCGCCAGTCGCGCATCCCCTTTTGCTGGTCCCAGGGAAGATTACAAGCAACGTGCAAGACCCTTGGCTCCAGATGAGACAAAGTTCGAACAAGCACGCCTCTTGACATTGCTAAGAAGCATCAACCCCGTTACGGTCGTTGACCAGATCTGCAAAGCAGTCGCCTACTTTGGTGGAATCCCAGGTGCCCCTCCTCCTGAGGATGGCATATTTCCAGAAAGTGCAAACACAAGAGAGACAGGTGCATTATTCATCGGCTGGCTAGCAGAAATATTTCCTGACCTTTCCAGCCCTGGCCCCCCCGGAGTGCCAGAACCCCCAGGTAAGAAGGGCAGAGGTCGACCATCTAAAGGGGATAACACGCTACCAGTGAATGAACCTCCGAATCCCAGGAATGGGTTTGGATATGGCCAGGCGATTGCTGCACCGGCTTGGGGGCTCCCACAGTCTCTCGCTGCAGTCAATCCCCATGCTCCAAGCTCCACTCCTGATGGTGGACAGACTTCAAATATTGGTCCTACACAGAATGCTCAATCCGAAAATGCACGGCCAGCGACACCAATGAAGCAGCAGCCTGAAGTAGGCCAACCTGCTACCACATCTACTAGCAAGAGAGGACGTGGCAGACCAAAAGGGTCAAGAAACAAGGGCAAGAGTGATCCTCAGAACTCCACTGAGCCTGCTGGATCTAGTAACAATGATGTCGGTTCTCAGAATCAAGTGTCAACAGGGGAACAAGCGCACCAATCTCCTGAAATGCAAGGAGCATCTGGGAAAGGTGCACAGTCAGATGCTCCTGTTTCGATGCAGACAACAGGAGACAAAACAGGAGGGGCAAAACAACCACAAGGTGGCTCATACCAAGAACAATCGTGGCAAAACAACTCGCAGAAGGTTCAGGCAGAACCGCCTTCAAACGTTACTCCTGCCCCGATGGATGAGCTTAGCCCAGAAGAACGTGCTGTTCTTGAGGCTTTCAGACAGCATGATGTGCCGGATGCCAATGCTACGACTCCCAATCTTGCCCCAGCTAAAGGTCCTTTGGGAGTCGGGATGAAGCGGAAACGGCCGCCTACAAAGCCTAAGAATGGTCCCCCACCTCCAAATCCTTCATCGGAGCAGATGCAATCAACGCCAACCATTAGCAGCGCTTTACCCCCCTCTAATGAGGAGTCGATGGATATAGCGAAGGATGCTCTACAGTGGGCTTCTGTTGGTAACTCAACCTCAGCTGGGCCTGCAGCCAAACGTCAGCGCCAGCGAAAGCCAAAGACACCCGGTGTAAATGAACCCCCGTCTCGAAACCAGACCGGCCCTGTAGGGAGCAGCGCCACTCCGCCTGTAGCACCTAGCACACTTCCCGATTCCACAACCAATTCCTCCCAGCAAAGCGTCCCAGTGTCTCGGCCACCTGCAGAGGGCCTTCAAGCACATTATGAGAGATTTGCAGGTCTCCCACAGCAACTTCCACAACAAAATGGTCGTAATCACATGCCTTCAATTACACAACAACAGCAGCAGCAGCTCCTCCAGCAACAGATACCAACAACGTCTGTACCAGCACAATCACAGCAGATGCCGGCACAGCAGATGCAGCAGCAAAAGTCCCAGCAAGGCAGTCAGCGTGAAGATCAAAAAGTATCCCAAGGGACGTCGGCGAGGTCTTCATCAACAGGATTTTATAACCAACGTAGTCATGGATCAACCTATAATCAGCAATATCCTTCTCACCAACCATCGCAGCTCTATAGCACGCATCAGGCATCTCCTCAATTGAGCAACAGCAGCAATAATAGCAATAGCTATAGAACAACCAGCACCCATACGATGGCGCAAGCTTCCCCTCAATTTTCCCAAACTGAAAGCAGCTATAGGACCTCCAGTCCACATACCATCTCCCTACCATCTCCATCCTTCAACCAATCCGATAACAATAACTTCAGATCTGCTAGTGTACATGGCATTGCACAACCATCTCCAACCTATACCCAAGCAGAGAACAACTACAGAACATCTAGCACTCATTCAATCACGCAGCCATCATCGTCATTTTCTCGCGCGCACACTCAAACCCAACCATCTCACCAAAACCACTATAATCACTTCGCCGACAACCCCTACGTGGATCTCCCCACCCTCGAGTCCCTAGGACACGGCGGCAGTTCCAGTAACGCGGGCGTAAACATGAACACCGGCGCCTACGGGCAGGGCATCGGGGTAGGCCTCGGCGCTTCCTCCTCCAGCAGATCCGGAAGCAACAGTTTGTACGGCAGCACGAGCTCGGGCTTGAATAATGCATTTGACACGGGGACGACGACCGATTTGCTCAGGGGGGTCTCGCGGCCACCAGCGGGAGGCAGTAATGTTTATGGCACGAGCTCAGGCTTGGGCAATGCCTTTGATCCAGGGACGGGCGAGCAGGAAATGAGGGAGCGGCTGCTCAGGAATATAGGAGGGCGTCGTTGAGCAATTCGAATCCGGATAAATGATACCACTTTTTTGAAAATGGGAACAATCGCTTGATATGGGCAGCAGGGTGGGCGGCGTCTACAGGAGTTTTCTTCTTAATTGATTGAGTCAAATGTAATGATCGAGGAGTTTCTAGCAGGGGATAAGCCCCCCCCGGGCAGTCAAGATGCCACCAGTATACGTTTTTTTTTCACAAGAAGGGATTTATTCATTGTTTGTCGTTGAAAGATTTTATTTTGTGCATCATGTGTGTGTGTGCGCATGAGAACGTATATCTGATATCTATAAATGCCCCCTTTCCCCTTATAACCAGACGCCTATGACCCCCGAACCGTCCCCCTTTCCTACGTATATAAAAAGCCCCGCTCAAAAAAACGCCATCCAAATGCTTAGGTGCCGACTAGTCCGATACATCCCCGGAAGCCTCCTGCGCGTCCATATGCTGTGTACGAGGGTTGCCCGAGGACCACTCGCCTATCCCGTCCGTCCCATCATCCCTGATTAATTCCAAGAGAACCTGAGTATTCCGTTTGATGTCCTGTGGCCGCTCCACAATCTTCCTCTCCAGGATCAAGGCCTCGGCCGTGTGGATCCAGATATTCGCCAGGTGTTGGAGATCTGGAAGGAGGAGTTGCAGTTGATCACGTGGTAGGGGGCTCATCGGCGGTCCAGCTGCAAGACTACTGTGGAAGACCAAGTTATCGGTCGAATGCCGTCGTCGAGCAGCTTGGCATGTCGGCTTGACGCAGAACCATTCATTGCAGCTCGTCGCATCATGGCCTGCTCCTTCTGCGCTGGTTGCCTCGGGTGCCGGTGTGGCCTTCTTCCGCCCCAGATGTGTTATCAATGACATCTTCGACTTCGGAGTTGGTTCGACGGGACTACGGGTGACAAGACTGTACCAAGTATCCACTGCTGCACGCCGGATGTTGTAACGCTTCGTCTCCCAAAACCGTTGCGCCTGGCGCAACCCTCCTATCATGAGAATAGTAGTATATACCTCATCTGGGGGTCGGTCCTTGAGATAACCCTTGATAGAACGTTCAATACGGCCTGCATAGGACGGCGGCCTCAGGCGCCGCGAGAAAGAAGATATTATGAGAGTCCAAGCCTGGTGGACTTTAAGAAGAGTTTGGTCATCATACATTGCCATGATTTGACACTCGATGGGGTTTAACACGAATGCTTGCTGGTTTAATGGAGTGCCGTTGGCAAGAAGATGTCGAACATGAAGGTCTCGATAGGTTTCGAAGAAATGAAAAAGTGTAAAGACAAGAGGCATGAGCCGTTGACGCATACGTCGGTGTTGTGGTTCGAATTCCTTTAGCTGTGCTGGTGTTGTTCGGAGGAAGATCTCTTTGACCGCTTGCCGGGCAATCATGGCCGATAATTTCGACGAGACATGAAGGCGATGCCAGATGCTGCAAAGATAATGAAGGTTGATATCCGTACGGTTCGGTACGGGATATAGCCGCAACGCATATGGTGGAAGACTATGTGCCACATGATACCGTGCAATTGGAGACTCGTTGAGGGCCACTAGGCCGTGGAATGATTTCGAGACCAATCGTAAACTCAGTATGTCATGTATTGGAAGGGGAGCGATGATGTGTTCTTGGAGCTCGTTAGGGAGGGCCAGAAAGAGGTCGGCCAGGGTTAGACTACTGTCATCGTTAGGGAACTGATCAGAGATATCAAGAGGTGGGGGGATGGAGGGAACATACGCCTGAGAGGGCCTATCCTCTTCTGCAAGGACTTGCTCATGTTGCTCCGCGATCGACGGTGTCTTATGGATTACGGAAACTTTGGAACGCAAACTACCAAAGGATCCGCTAAAGCTGGGACGTCGCTGAGTCCGTAAGGATGTAAGGTCGTGCCCAAGTGATCGCTTCTTCTGATCGCTAGTACGGAGAGGGATGGTCTCATTCTCGACTTGTCGCTGTCGCGGGTTCCCTAAGGGAAGCGTGAAAGTCGGTTGCTGTGATGAGGGCGGCAGAGGGGCATTCGGGGCCACCGCTGGGCCGGTAGAACTGCTGGCATTGGCAGCATTCTCAGCATTCTCATTCAATTGTCTTAATTTGCTGAAGTATCGCTCCGAGGCGAATTCGGTGATGTGGAGGGGATCCATATGGGCGGGCGTTTGGCCGTTATGCCATCCAGTCGCAGAGATGAGATCGGGGACAATTGATAAAGCATGTCAGGAGGGAAGAGGGGCGACACTCTTCACGGGAGGGTCGTCAGTGTCGCGCCCGTCGCGAAGAGAGGAGCAGTATGGAGGTCGTCGCACGTTAGACGCTCATGCATCGTGGGATTCGAGGCCAACAGGGAGAGGACGGAGGCAGGACGGAGGTGGATGCGACGCGGTGAACAGCAATGCAGGGACGCAACGAGGTCTTGGTGAGTTGATCGGCCTCAAGGAGGGAGGGAGGGCGAGGAAGAGGAAGAGAGATGTGAGCGGATCAGGGCCAGAGAGAAGGTCCGGATGCGCGGTTTGTTGCTGGGCGTGTAGTACCCGTAGGCAATGGGGGCAGTAGTAGGGAACAAGAAGGTTGGGAGGTGGTGTTTTGTCTCGGAGTGTGTATGTTGTATGTTGTAGTTGTAGTTGTATGTTGTCTGCGGTATCTTGGCTAATGGAGGAGGAGGAGAGGCGGAGAGACGAGAGGCTGAGAAGAGGCGGGGAGAGGGGAGAGGAGAGAGGGGAGGAGAGGAGGGAGAGAAGAGTTGCGGCCACAGCAAAAGGGGGAAGAAGTGGTAGGTAGAGTCAAGCTTCAAGACGAGGTGGAGTTGAGTTGAGTTGACTTAGAGTTGAGTTGAGCCAAGTCGAGTCTAATCGAGTCGAGTCGAGTTGAATTGAACAACTGAAGGATGATTGACGAGGTTGAGGATGGACCGGGAGCACTGTGATTCGTCTCGGCCTTACTCTCAGTCCTTTGGGATGATGCCCGTCGTAAATGTGGGTTGGCCCCGTTGCTTTTTGCCGGCTAAATCACAGAATAGCAGAAATCACAGAATCACAGCAATCATCCTCCTCGATACTTGCAGTCTACCTCTTGACGTACGTGCAGACAGCGGGGAGGGATGTAGATTGAGGTACAGTACGCTCGGTCTTGTCTGTTTCGTCCTGATCTGCCCTGCTTCGTCTTTGCCCTCTTTTGCTTTGCTTTGCTTTGCTTTGCTTTGCTTTGCTTTGCTTCGCTTTGCTTTGCTTGACTCTGCTCTATCTATAAGAGTCTTTGCGGCCTCTTCCTGCACTACGACGTCAAAGACCAAGAGTGTCTGTGTATACGAATTGTCTCCTATTGTATCATCCCTTCGTCCCTCCATCACACCAGACACCCACCTCGGCGTGCATCCAAGGTACATCCATACCATATGGAGCTATCAGTGCCCCCCCTTATCCGCGTATCATCGCTCATGGAAGACAAGAACCCAGAGCCCAGACAGCCAAATCGGTCCTTTTCTAGCAGAGCATCCATCGTGTTCTTGTTCCCTGTACTCGCCAGGCACATCCGCCAGCAGGAGAGGCGCATACGCAGAAACCCTCGAACAGACTGCCGCGCCTTGAAGGGGGGGGAACATGTCGGTATATGTCGGTATATGTCTTACTCCACAAAGAGACAGAGACAAGGATCGGTGTTGATCAAAGAGACGGAGACCGAGGAACAAGTAGGAAGTCGGAAATAATCAGGTTCACATATCGTCAATTAACCGTTTATCCTGAGTTATTTATACCTTACATTACGGAGTATTCCCCCACGGCAAGCAATCAGATAAGGCATTTATCGGTACCGTACTACTACTATACGGTATATCCAAGGCAATTATTACCGGACCCCGTAAATACATGTAACCCTGCTCACTCGTAACCGTACCGCCTACTACAGTATCACTGTACCTCCATCCACCATTACCTTACCACCCAAACCAAGTCTTCCATTCTCTTTACTTGACCCTCGAACACAATCCAAGGACGTATACACAGGCATACATACACAAATATCACCCACACGCTCGCGCACATCTACGGAAACAGACACCACCCAATGTCGTCCTCCCCCCCATCGGCGTATCCCGCCTATCAACCGCCAACCCCCCAATCCTTTGACCCCAATACTCCTCCAGCCCCTCCGCCAAAACCGAGCAGTCAAGAGGTCAGCCGTCGTAGCACACCTGCCGGGAATCAGTCCTTGCCCTCTCCTCCCCCACCGCCACCGCAGGAAACTCTCGGCACTTATGGTGCTGGTGGGCCCGAAGCGTCTCAGTCCTCCTCGCAACAGGCCCTACGTGAGGTAGCTTATGCACAGCAGATCCCCGATCCGGGGGAGCTCTGGCTACCAAAGGTCTTGGAAGATAAGTCGTCTGTAACCCTACCCCCCCTTTTGCCGGGGTCGCTGGGATTTCCATCCACTCACAATCGGTCGGTAGGAAACAAGATCTTGCTGATGTCCTAGCAACACCGGCACTTCTATCTGCGCTTGCGCACTCTACTTCTACGGCTCACCCCTCAATTGCTGCGTCGCAGGAACCCCTACACGCTTCTCTGAAAGAGAATATCTCTCTTGCGGCGCATTTGAACGAGCTCGAGCCACGTCTCTCCCATCTACGCTCATCGGTCCAGGCCCAGCTTCTGGCGACACATGCTCTTGAGAGACAATGGCGGCAGAAACAGTCTGATATGGACCGCGCGCTGGCTCCTTTCTCGCCGTCTTCACTTTATCAGAGGCTGGGTCAGGCTGTTCAAGAGCAAGAGATGGTTTGTCGGGCCCTGGAGGAAAGCTTTCTCGAAGGCGACGGCACGGCAACGGAGAAGGAAGCGGCTGATTGGGTGAGGAGGTATCGGGAAGCAAAGAAACTTTACTACTCAAGACGAGAGCGGAGGGAAAGATGGGATGAAGGTCGTGTAGGAGGTTGGAGGTAGGGCCCGGTCATATATGACAGACCTCACAGTGTCCAACTTCCTTCCTGCCTCTATCAGGGGCCATTGAATTCCCCTTGGGGTTCAATCACGACAGCTCCTCTCCACCACGTCTTCAGAGTCGGTCACCGCGCCCCGCACAGGATACAGATGCTAGCTATACATCACGTGCCGTTGAGTATTTGTCGGACACTACTAGAATCCTCTCTGGATTCCTAGAGAGCGCCTTCACCATATGAGAGGGTCTCTCCACCACTGCTCGTGAAATATTTCTGCCCTCAGGGTAGCAGAAACATACTTTTCTACAAGTCGATGACGGAGCAGTGTGGAACCCCACCTCGGGTCCACACCCAGAAATCTCTACTATTCGATCACCTCAAGTCCCTGCCAGGCGCTGCAATAAGCCTGGTAGCAATCTTCATCATCGTGCCTATCATAAGCCTCCCAGATGAAATACCATGGGATTGATCCATGACGGCCTGGCCGGGTTATTGATCTTGCCTGGATCTTCTGGATTGGTGTGACCAAACACAAGGTACCTTTAGCTACATGCAGTTTCTCTCTCCGCTCTCCCTCTTCGTAGAGACAAAATGGAGACAAATCTGTTAAGTATCAGTAGGTACATGAATAGAAAATACATAGTAGAGTAGTCTTGATTGTTGTCTTGGTCGCACATCGCGGCCATAGTCTGTGGCGAGGTTAAGAAATTAAACTCAATAATGAGCCCAACTTGGACTCTGCGAGTATGTTAAGTGATCCGAATCCCTTCCTGGTAGAAGAGAGGAGGAAGAGAGAGATAATCCAGTATGGAGCAGAGAATGAGGCAACAAGGCACCCAGAATCCAACCTTCCCCACGTCGATTGTCTCTTGTCGATGCCGGTCTTCTATTTTTAGAGAGCCTCTTGTCTCCCTCCCTGTCCCCTTCTTCAAACCAAGCCGGCTCCTTCATTGGACAACAATGGCAGAATCCAACCAAATCTTTATAACCCAACGGACAGGGTCCCCGCGGGTCTGTCTGTCTCTGTGTCTGCACCAGTTTCCCCCCTCCTCTGCGTGATGCATATCCAGGAAGACTCTCTCTAAGCAATCGCTCTCAGTTGCCCCAGTCGCCCCCCAGCCACCCTGCGCGGGTATATCGAATCTATTTCTATTCTGAAACCGCAACAACTCCAGCAACCCCTCCTCCCCCTCCCCCTCCCGCCCCCCGTTCCAGCCTTCAGTCTCCAGCTTCTAAGCAGCCCGAGACAGAGCCTGATCTACCCGCGTAGCGTGTGCGCGCGCATCCGTCTGAAGAACCGCATGGGCTGACGGCCCCTTCAAAAGCCTACGAAGCTGCACGCTCCCCTAGGATGGCGTTACCCTCGCCGGCACCGGCAAGACTCGATTTCGAACCAGATGGCGTCCCTGCAACAGCTGCGAGCAGCCGCGACCAAGCTCCAGTCTCAGCCTCCCTCTCTGCCCTTGCCCGCTTCGAGTTCGAGGCGGGGAGGGGTAATGAGGGGACGAAGATCCTCATGGTAGAATGGGAGGACGACACCGAGGAAGGCCCCGATAATACCGGTGACTGGGAGGTGTCTTGGGAGGGCAAAAAGACCGTGCTGTCTGCTCGAGATGGGACTGAGGGGAAGCTCCATCGCCTTTATTTCTTATTGGGCCCCGGAACTACCATCCCTCCTGTTGTGAAGCTGGTACGAGGTAGCGGGAAGGCCATACAGATAAAACCATTGCCGGCGATCTTTCCGGCCGAGTTGGGTCTCAGGGGAACATCGGCTGGAAAACGAGGGATCTTGCACACCCGCTATGCGAAGCAAAGGCTGTCCGCGCTGCAGAAAGAGATTCTGGCCGAGATGAAGACGAACGGCGAAGGCATTGGCCTTGAGATGGCCATGCAGGAGAAGCAGTGGATCGAAGAGAATTTTGGTGTTGGCCCCAAAGCCATCTCCGACGTCCAACACGCCACATCTCCCCCGACCAGCCCAAGAAGTCCGGGAGGCGGTCGATTGTCAGAAAAGCTCAAGGGACTGAAGCTCGGGACCAGCGCGTCGGAGCTGACCGCTTCATCAACTGGTATGTCTCTTTTCCCTGTGGTATCCGTTACCACCAGCGCGGGCTAAGCAAGGAGTTAGATCTTGAAGCCTCAAAATCTGATAGCCATCCCCTCTCCCCCGACTCGGGGGATGTTGCCGTCTCCTCGTTTGCGCTTTTCCAGGGGGGTTCGTCTCGTCGCACTGTCGCGCGGAATCCGCCAAACCATCTCATCACTCAACAACATGATTCACGGGGCGGCAATCGCATGGCCTCTCTAGACGAAGTTGCCATTGGAAATGTCCCCAAGAGGATTGAAGACGAGACCGAGGATGAGCTTTTCGCCGTCAAATTGAGTCCTCGTAGTCCCGAGATGGCCAAGAGTCCGTTTAGCTTCACGGCGAAAGATACGGCGCCTTGGCTGAAAGGACATGAATAGGTAGTGGATTATTTAGAGGATTTTGGGATGAGTTATGAGGAGTTCTGGGACCATGTTGAATACAGCGGTGTTTTGCATTGGGCGGTAGACTAATTCAACGCTAGATACCCCCACGAGTAAACTCGTCCAGTCCTTCACACCTCTTTCTCCTCTCCCTAGAATATGATCCCCTGCCCAGGTCATGATTTGTGGAATTGCATATGCCTCTGTTCCTTGACACCAGTCACTGCAGCTACAATACATTATGCACTCTCGTGAGAAACGAATCGGCTACTTCTTACCGGCTGGTGGAGGGAGTGATATCTGTAAATTCGTAGCAGGCAGATACATTAAAGTTGTGCCGCGGTTGGACTCAGTGCCAGCTTCAGGTTACTGTTTGAAACCTAAGTCAGAATGCATCCATCTCCAGTCTTACTTAATCGTATCCAGGATAAGGGGTGTGGTACTGACCAGTTCGTGCACCTCTGACATTATGGACCATGTTGCTTTTGTGTATACCTGCCTTGCCTGCGTACAGTCAGTCAGCCACTTTTCTGATGCTCGCGCTAGATATTTGCTTTCGTCCTGAAGAGAAAACATACCTTTGCTCTGGCCCGTTGTAGACCGAGGTGCATCAGGAGGTATGCTAGGTAATCTTGGGAGCTGCCTCCTTTTCGCGAGCAGCGGCGTCCATCATGCGAGCTAGCTCCTCCTGGCGAGCCGCCAGTGTCTTGGGAGCAGCTCGATTTGCTAGCAATACAGCCATTTTATAATTATGCATCCTGACTTGATCGGGCCTAATCGTGGGACTAATGCTCAGCGGGTTGAAGTTCTTTGTCAAGTAGTATTCTTTGCACTGGCGTGCCAATCTTGGGACAGGGTTGGGGGCGTCTTCTCGGGGTCCACTGCACAAGTTAATCCATTCCATCATGTCCCAACGGTCTTGTTCGGTATTCGCAGCAAGATGAGCCTTTAGAAGACTCGCTTTTCTGAGAAAGCGGGGTGAACGGGCGATGGTAACTTTTTGTACCTCATGTTGGTCATTTTCTGTTTTCACCGTGGCGTTCTTTGCAGCAGCATCCTTTGCAGAGATAGCAGATGCACAAGCCGCATCCAAATCTATGATATGCCTCTTAGCTCGTCGAAGCCCAGTGGGAAGTGGAGCAGCCGCTGGGGAAGACTCTTTGTGGCGTCCTAAGTGACAAGTCAATGTAATCGTGTTAGTATCTTTTGGCTTTGGGATATCGAGAGTAGTCGAAGACTGAGGATACCGTTCTGATTCTTTCTCTGCCTCTGAGGGCTGGGGTGAACTGGCAGGGCCACAAGACGTGGAACAGCTAGCGTTTGGGTGTTGCAAGAGTGGAGTTTCGGGAGAGATTCTGTATCGAAAAGTAATACCAAAGTTTGGCTCTTTCCATGGCTGAAGAAAACTTCGGTTTGCGACCCGTTCACCAGCAATGCCCTCGTCGGCAAAACCTGCTTGTGTTCCGTCAACTTCAGTATATCTATCGCTGGATTCGTGAGGACTGGGAAGACTTTGAAAGTATTTCAAGGTTCGCTTTCTCTGAATGCGAAGTAGTGCAGATCTACCAGCACAAAGTCCGAGGAGAGTGTCGTGAAAGCTGTTACATTCATCAAGGTACTGTTGATACTTCGACGACCGAGTTTTTGCGTCTGTACGAAACGGAGTTTGAGAGGACATGCTGGAGGTAGTCCGCCCCTTGACGGAGCAATCAAGGTGACTGGAACAAGCAGCAGTGCAAGTATTCGGCTTTTTCAAGTTGAAGGCATTGATGAATGTGGGTGTGAAGGCGTGTGCGTGGGGAGCCAAGTGCGTCCGCAAGGGGTTTTGGAGAGTGAATTCAACATGAGAAGTTTGAAAATAAGAAAGTGAGCGTAACTGTCGGATTAAAGACAGACACAATGGTGACAAGCCAATTCAATTCACTGCCAATACAGAGAGGATCCAAGTATCCAACCCCTTTCTACATACAGTATACAATCCAGAAGAGAATTTGCTCCTCACCTGCTGGGATAGAAGAACACAATTACCATTCTTGCAAGATAGCAATGTTCATCCACAGTTCTATCTATGTTTAGATTAAGGTGTAGCACCGGGCCTCTTGGTATGATGCCGACACAAGGCTGGGCAATTGAGGACACTGGTCCAGTCCAAACTGCCAAAGCCATGTTCACTCGCCAGCTGCTAGACACTGCCTTTTGGATCCCAAATGCTTCACTATCTGCTGTGTTGGAATTGCCAGCGCAAACATTCCAACAAGAAGCTCAAGAACATCAAGAATCAGGATGCTCACTAAAGTAGTAAAGTCAAAAGATAACATTAAAGGGGCATGACGCTGCATGGTTGAAAGAGACGAATGGGACAGAGAAGCAAAACTGAACAGTAGCTGAGGCCTGGCAGAGCACTGTGGTAGTGAAGTGATGTCTGGAGAAGATGAACGTTTCCTCAGTAAACATTCAAGACATTATATTGTATTATGTAATATACCCGTAATCGTGAGCACGTGCATTAGCTTGAGCGGCCGCTCCAAGCTCCAAGCTCGCTCCTCCGAAGTACATGTGCATACAGTTACCTACCTATGTAATAAGACAGCAACCAAGGGACCGCTGCCATTGACGTTCGGAGCTGTCGATTCCAATCCAATCCTTCACATAGGCAGTGACAGACCCGCCTTCGAAAAACATGTCGGGCCGTACGAGGTACTTGCTAGTATCTCTGCCAACCTCAATCACCCCATCCAACGATAAAGACGAGGCCCTGGCGGCACTACAATCCACAATCTCCGCAGACAATGGCACAGTTCTTCCGTTTAAGATACCCGAATTCAAGATAGGAACCCTAGATACATTGGTTCAGCAGGCAGACGACCTAGCCAAGTTAGAGAGCGCTTGTGAGGCTGTGGTGGCTAAAGTCGGGGATTCTCTGCGCAGTCTGTTGGGAGGCGACGAGGAGAAGGTCGCCCAGCAAAAGACAGTCAATGACAGTATGTGCAGAAAGGACCCCTAGGGCGCAGTATGATTTACAGTCTTCTGTGACTGATATATCTAAACAGAACCTGTTGATCAATATCTGCGGACGTTTACGTGGAACAAGGTTAAGTATCGTGCCGACAAACCGTTAGCAGAGATTGTCGATTCGTTACAGAAGGTTAGGCAGTCTCTCCAGTATTGGGATAATGACTAATGCGCACTGTCAGGAACTGGTCAGTATCGACAATGATGTTAAGAGCAAATTCAGCCAGTATAATCAGATCAAGACAAATTATACGGCATTACAGCGAAAACAGACGTGAGTGCTTGGAAAGAGGCGAGAACCGCAATGCCCCGCTGACATTTAGAAAAGAGGAAACCTCTCCACAAAATCTCTCACACCTGTTGTCGATCCCTCGCTGTTAATCCAAGATTCCGAATATCTCGAAACGCATCTCGTCGTGGTTCCAACCAATGCTAAGAAGGAATTCCTGAGGAGTTACGAGACGCTATCTCCAATGGTTGTCCCCCGATCATCTATCGAGGTTACACACGACGACGAGTTCACACTATTCGCGGTTACAACATTCAAGAAACACAGTGCGGAATTCCTGCATAAGTGCAGGGAGATGAAGTGGACACCCCGCGATTACAAGTACGTCGAAGGCGGAAAAGAGGAGGAACGAAAGGAACTAGAGCGGGTGAGTAGGGACGAGCGGAAGGTATGGGGTGAGGCATTAAGGCTAGGACGGACTGGTTGGAGCGAGAGCGTGATGATCTGGATACATGTTCTGACACTGCGGGTATTCGTGGAAACTGTCTTGCGCTATGGATTGCCTCTAGAATTTGTCTGTGGTCTAGTTAAGGTAAGAGTTGGTTCTAAAATAGCGCCATACTTGTCTAAAACACTAACACCCTGTAGACAAACCCAAAGCTAGCAAAGAAGGCCAAGGCGTCACTCGACTCGGCATACTCATATCTCGGCGGCAATGCATTTGGTCGGGATAAGAAGGGCAAAATTGCAAAAGACGATTCAGCACTGTCGTCAGAAATGGCCTCTGCTGGAGTTGGGGCGCTTGGTGGGGAAGGCGGCGAGTATACGGCTTATGTTTATTATGAGTTCGAGATCATATAGAGGACATGATTTTCGTAGTCCTCCTTTGGCGCAGAGGTTCTTGGTAATACTGTATCAGAGATTCCACCATGGATTCAGCTTCATATGGCTCGAGCTAGAATCAGAGTAGGGACAGGAATTATGTAACATCCATTCTTCCCAACCCTATACCAGATTCTTCGACTGTAGGTACGCAGTGATTTTGCCCACACATTCCTCTACCGTGAGCTGATCGGTCCTTACATGGATCTCGGGGTTCTCGGGCGCCTCGTACGGCGCAGATATTCCGGTAAAATTCGGGATCTCTCCCGCTCTGGCTTTCTTGTACAAACCCTTAGGGTCGCGCTGTTCTGCTACCTCGACAGGAATATCGACGAAGACTTCGATGAAAGGGATGGGCTCGTCTTCGCCGTGGCTGCTAGCCGCATGGAGTTCACGGGCAATCTGGCGATCCGCTCGGTATGGAGAAATGAAGGATGTGAGAGCAATCGTTGACGAGTCGGCAAAGAGTTTCGCAACCTGGTTTTTCAGCAATTAGCAGTGGTAGATATACATGGGACGACCAAAACAGACCTCTGCTATTCTTCTGATGTTTTCATTGCGGTCCTTCTCGGAGAAACCAAGGTCTTTGTTCAGACCAAACCGCACATTGTCACCATCCAGACGATAAGCAGCCAAGCCGAGATGGAGAAGGTGTTGTTCAAGGGCTGTTGCGATGGTTGACTTTCCTGATGCTGAGAGACCAGTGAACCAAATTGTGAATCCTCGTTGCTTTCGTAATTCGTTGCGCTCACGTCGCGAGAGAGACGGGTGCCAGGTAATATTGCTGTAAATCTGGTTAATCTTCTTTCTGGAGATAGATAGACATAGTAGATATATGTGTATCTATGTCTTTTCTTTTTTTTTTCAGTAGCATAGCGGGGTCGCGGGGTAATGATTACGTTGCCATTGCAAACCTCTTAGGCCTGCTGAGATATCAGTGTTGATATCAGTGATTTGACTCCGTAGTTGGGATTTGGATGCGCGAGGGACCTTTCTTAGGGCAGATTTCCAAGGCGTTGCGACAGTTGTGACTCTCTTATAGAGGATGAAGGGAGTTGGATGGATGAATTTTCGGGAGACGGGACGAGTTCGGGATGGTCGCGCTATCGGCAGACTTGGCTCCGTCCGTCGTACAGTACCTGACAGTTCCTGTCCCAAAGGCGAAGAGTTTGTTAGACCATCACGTTCAATCTTTCGTAGGTTTCCATTCTTATTTTCCATTATGATTTCTTGTCTTCTATTGTCTTTTTCTTCTCCTTCTTCTTCTATCTCTTTCTTCTGCGTACATATGACTTTCTTGGTCCCTATTAGGGCTACAACTATGCCCGAACGAAGGCGGCTAAATCCTCTTATTAAAACTCCAGATATTGCACAAGTAAATTCCAACCCGACAGCTACCAGTACCTTAACAAGGGTGCGGCCGTCTAGTACGTATCAATTAGGAAGCGAATAGCCACATCCGATTTGGACCTTCGGTGGGGCCCGCAGACCTCACTGGACGGGGTATACTCTTGCCATTGTCTATCCAGAAGTCAGCGCATTGTATCTTCTTGCTTCCGCTTTGGTTGAACCTACAGCTGCTTGCCTTGGTTCTATGAAGAGGGCGGATGCCTCAACTAGAACGGTGGGTTTTTCTCCCTCCGCCACGAGGGTCTCAATGTGCCCTTCGACCCACGCCTTGCGACCTTCAACCTTGGTGGTCTTCGCTCGAAGCACGACGAAAGCACCCGCAGGAGCAGGAGCCCGGTAGTTAATGTTTAGATTCGCTGTCATTCCAATTTTATTTGGCAAAGCAGCGAAGCAACACCTCGCAAGGCCCTCGTCTAATATGGTGGCGAGAAGGCCCCCATGGATGACTCCAGGATGGCCGCACAGATCCGTCCCCAGGTATGTGATAGAAACAAGCGACTTTCCTCCCTTCTCACTCCACACGAAAGGGGGGACGACAAACTTTCCTGGTCCCATAAGAGTACCACCAGTAAGATTGTGGGCCCTCTGCGCCTCGGGAATCTTCAAATGCGGCCTTGATTCGGAATATTCTGGCTTGGATCGTAACTCCACTGCTAAGGGGTGATTCTTGATGTATTCGTCCACTTCTCGGGATATATCGTCCTCTGGGGTAAACATCTCGAGTGTTTCTTCGTCGGATGGAGGGTGCAAGACGCTATTTGCCGCTTCGAGAGCCGGTATTGTCGCCATCACGAAACCGGCGCTCGTGAAGAAGACAGCAATGGCAAAGACACCGAGTGCGCGTCGAAGGAAGGAGGGCTTTGAAGTACCCGACGATGGAGGGGTTGAGTCTGGGTAAAACGGTTAGCCAATTTACGAGCTGGGGGCCGGTGCGATCAAACGAACCTTGAGCGATCCGTAGCAGCGGACTTGTGCTAAGACGTTGAGAGTGGGAAGGGGAGTAAAGGAGGAGGCGAGCGAGGCGGAGGCGGGGGCGTTGTTGATGCTGCTTATGTTGATGAAATTGATGAAGTCGATCAGCCTGCGAGATGGATTGATGAGTAGATTGACCTCGGCGAAGGGCAGCAAGGCTCGAGCAGCCGGCACTAGGCCGAGGCCGCAAGAGTCTACTGCATACGAAGAGCATTGGATGAGCCTCTTGCTTGGCTTTGATTGCTTTGTTCAAGCAAGGTAGGGTTTTCCGTAACCCAAGGCGATCTGATACTGATATTGAGACAAGGCAAGGTAAGGTAGCTACCTTAGGGCAAGAAAGGTACTACTGTAGGTACCGTACCTAGGTATGTGAGGTAGGTAAGGTACGCATCGAAGAGACCTCAGGCAATAAACAAACAAGTCTATACGGTTAATGTAGTCAGAGCGCGAGGTACTGCACAACAAGATAAGAAAGTAGGATCCTTTTGCCTCTATTTCTATCTTTTTCTGCTTTTTTCCGTTCTATTGAGGGTCGGACCGAGGCTTCCCTTGTCGCTCGACGGCGCTCTTGCTCGATCACGTGGAGTAGCCATATCATGTCATCCGGGCATGTCATATCAACACCTGGTTCAGGTACTGTACCGGTAGCTAGCATAGGCAGGTGGTTACATAGGTAGGTTATATAGATCTATGCATACAGGCACTTACTTCTCACTTCTCTGTTGGAGATGAAGGACGGTGTGACAGGACTTCTAGCGGCCAATGGAGAACCTTCATTGATCTCGTATCTGCAATGCCATCGGTGTTCTCTCTTCTCATCTACAAATCTTCATCCTCCTCATTATCCAGCATCTCTGCGTAGTCTTCGGCAGAGGCAAACGTAGGAAGATTCTTCAGCTTCCTCCTCTTTTGCCGACTGCTTTCCTCTGCCTTCTCACTGGAACCGTGTCCCACCTGCAATTCTTTCTCGAAGAGTTCATCGATATCCGACGCCGCATCACCTTGACCATCCAAGGAAACGTTCTCCTCGTCGAACAGATCCAGGTTCCCGGCTTCAGAGTCTTCGGAGCCCGCAAGTTCCAGGTCTTCCGCATCAGACTCTACGTCGCTAATAGAAGATGGAGCGTCGGAATCCTCAAGATCCAGCATATCAAGATCAGAGCCATCATCACTTTCACCTTCGACTTCTGGTCTCGAATCCACGAGTGCCTGCCAAATTTCATCCTCGTTCTCTTCGTCCCCATTATCGGAACCCGCGGCAGATTTTGATGAAGCCTTCTTTTCATTTGAAACTTGTTTCCCTTTACCAATATGGCTGAAGTATTTGTGGAAGAAAACTTCATCAACGGAGATGTCCTCTGCCTTCTTGCGCCAGAATGCTTCTGAGTTTACAGGTTCTTGTTTTTGCTGCGTCGCCCGACTAGATAGGAGGACCCCACGACTATCCCCACCAGAAAGCGGCTGCATGATAGAACCACCCCGCGGTCCTGCCGTTGCTGTCTTTGCATTACGGTATACAAATCTGTCAAGGAAATGTGTAAGGGTGTGGGAAGCTAAGTCGGGCTTCGGTGGCATAGTCTCATCATTAAGGAGGCGGGAGGCAAACACAGATACCGAGGGATGGAAATGAACCAGAAAAGGAATCTGTTGGCGGCTTTAGCAAAGGCTAATCTTCTCAGTTCTGTGTATAAACTTACTATCTCCCACAAGCAACTCTTATCAGCATTACTATATTCGGGATCCCTCTTTCGTCCATCATAAGACTGGGAGGCAAGCTTCGAAATGTTGTTGGGGGGGGAGATCTTGTTACTGTCTTGCACCTGGGCTTCAAGAGCTGCATCTTCGGGCACGTCACGAAAGAACTCAACATCCTCTTGACCATCATCTTCCGGGTCATTGAGAAGGGACTTCAATCCTGGGAATGTCCCCTCGAGTTCCCTTAGCAGATAGAGAGCACCACAGATGAAGGGAGGTTGATGGAGTGTGATGACTTGTAGAATCCTCTTGGCGAAAGCTTTCACGCGTTTAGCGTTGAGGTCAGATCTCAGTGCCCGGAACAGAAGATTGAGATATAACGTGTGTTTCGAAGACGTGATCAGACGTGGGTCAAGTAGTGATTCGTACAGGGTCCTATAAAACCGGTCGACTGCGAGATGCTTCGTCGTAGCTAGTTGCTCTATCAACATCAATGCTTGGACGCTGGTGTTGAAATTCGACGAATGGGTGATTCTGAACAAAGTATCCATATGCTTCTCGAGACTTTCAAACATCAGTCTTGTGCTTCTGATCAGGCTAGAGCAAACTTACGTAGGATCATCACTCTGTGAGAAGGGAAATGCACGGTTAACACCAGTCAAAACAGCTGAAATCATCTTCTCCGTCGTCTCCTCGCTGGCTTGCTTCGCCTCTTCCTCTTTGCTTGCTTTGGCTTTAGCCTTCTTTCCCATTGCGCCACCCCCTCCTTGGATCTGTCCTTTCCGATTGACGGCCGGCCCAGTCACTTCCTTCTGGAGATTTGGCTTCTTCAGGAGTGACACAAATAGATCAAAATATATGTCTAGGAGCTTTCTCGCAATGTCTTCTTCTTTGCCACTCAAAATGGTTTGATTCAATGTATTAATAGCATAATACTTCGCATGTGAGCTTTGGCCGGGACGTAAAAGAAGCTCTGTCTCTATTGAACGAATAATTATCGGCTTCATTAGAGGGTGTGACGTCTGTAACTGTAGTAAGAGGTATGATGTCCGCGAGGCTATCTTTTTATCGGGGTCTCCAAGTTTGTTGACTAAGAGCCGAAGCAAATTGGACTCCTGTTCTGGCTTTTCTCTTAAGAGCTCATAGACATAGGTGACGGCTCTGGACCGAGCATACTCGACTTCGTCGTTACACCACCCTTCAAGGACTTTCAGCATCTCAAAATATGACTCCTTCAGCCAGTCTTCGTACGCCCATGAGATTAGATGGGCGTTGGTGATTTGGCCAGGCAATTTCTGTCCGGACCTCCAATTCGAAATTGAATTTTCCTGCAATGTGCCTAGCAGCCCAGGTTGCGTCGCGAAAGACCGTAGCCGTCTATCGGCCGGCAAGACTACTCCAACGCCCAGTAGATCTTTTAGAGCTCCTAAGGCAGTCACTGCTTGGCCTCTGCTTCTCTTCTTTGCCAATGCTAGCAGACTTTCGAAGGATTTTGTAGTGTGTACAGGGGATTCTTGGACGACCAATGTGAGAGCCGAGACCTTGTCTGATAGAGTACCCGAGGACATAATGGTGGAAAGGAATCGGTGGGAAGAAGATGATGAAAGGTGCTTCGAAGCGTAAAGATTACTGTCAGCTTCTAGCAGGGACATAGCGTGGTCTCTCAAGTTCGTAATAGCACCATGAAACTGGGCGACATCCTTAGATTTTGGACTGGGAAGATTGGAGAGTGGCGCGGCATGCCAGTCTGGACGAGCTTCAAACATCTAGTAAAGGATTAGTAAGGTCAATCACTCATGCAGGAGAAGTACCAACTAGGCGGCGGTTCGAGTCTTTTGAAGACGAAGGCTCTGAAGTTTTGGTATCGGGCACAGATTTTGCGACGGTCTTGCTGGTGGAAGAAGCGTCCTCCACTACAACGGCAGATTCGCTGGGAGACTCAGAGGCGGAAGCCTCCTCCCATTCATCTTCAAGCTCATGTTCCTCTGTGTCAGGTTCGCTCGCATTTCCATCGACTTTCCCGTCGATACCCAGACCAGTAACAAACTTTTCGAGGTCGTTCCGAAATGACTTATCTGGAGGAGTTGAGCTCTCCGCATCCAAATCCTCGTCGTCCGAGATGACATCTGCAACGAGATCCAGGTCTTCTTCGGTCCCTCCCAATGCCAGTATTTCCTGCAATAAAATTGCCTTCTCATCCGGGACATTTCCACTCTGCTGGTGCGTTGAACGGCTCCTTTCCGTGCTACCTCCACCGGATGTTTTTCTGTTTCCCCGGGCATCTCTTTTGCTTCCCCTACTGGGCTCTTGCACTTTCTTCGTGTCAACAAGTCCACCCTTCGTCTTCTTCTGTGTCTGCCTTCGACTGTCCGGTGTTTGCTGCGGTGCCTTGCTCGTTTCAAAGCTCTTCTCGATTTTTGCGGTCAAGGCGAGCAGTGCTTTTTCATCAAAAGTTGGGCCGTTTTCTGCGACGGACATGGTGACTTGCTTGGCAGCGTGTTTGGTAGGCTTGGCCATGGTTCAAGGCGGCAAGCAACCGATGAGTCTCTCTCCCTGGTGACTCGGGTAGAGATGACTGGCGACTTCAGCTGATGGGTGTCAAATGAAGGTTCTATACATGTACATGCCTTCCTGAAGTTTTTTTGGGAGGGTTGTGCAGACTTTGATATTGATAAGATAAAAAACAAGAAGCGACCTCTTTAGCGAGCCATTATAGTTTCCACGCTTTTGGCCTCGTCTCTCCCTCCTCTGCTTCCTACGAGCAACAACAATAATACGCCCAGATACAATTTCAAGTGCAATGGCTATGAGTTTATCCTCTGTTTCTTTTGCCATATCAAGCAGCCTGCTACCTTCTTTTGTTTGATGTGTCACGGTGAGAATGGTCACTGTTCTTCCTCCTCGCTCCTGCGTGCCGGCGCCACTCAGGGCAACACGTATAGGGACAAGAAGGACGTTCCTGAAACAGTTTCCGATTTGGATACATCTATATTCCGAACGCTGTAGTCCCGCGCTTTCGTTTTCTCGCTGTCAATCTGGCTTGAGCAAAAGGACGCATGTGGTAAGCCCATCGAATCTCCCTTTCGTATATCGTGTCACGTGAAACAGCATGTCCAGAAGGCTGATTTCGTTCCAGATTGACGGTCGAGCACGTTTATCAAATCTATGGATTCCCACTGGCGGAATAGCTGAATCTGCAGCAGAAGGTAGAAGGGTTATTGGTTGGACCATCGACTGCCACTGCTGATCTCACAATAGATTCCCACTCCAGGCTCCTACGAGCTGGCTTTTTACGCCAGGTCAGTAGATTGACGTTTGTAGTGGGCTGCCGAACTTCTACTTACTTTCGCAGGCGCACTCAGGCCTTTATCATATGTTGCCTTTAGGGCGCAGAGTACAAGACAAGTTGGAGGCACTTATAGACAAGTATATGTCAAAGCTAGGCAAGGCTCCTTCACACCGACATCTCTTCTTGAAAGTGTTGGAAACTGACTAGCCGTAGGAGCTTCAAAACTAGCTCTGTCTTCAATATCATCTGAGGAAATATGGACCAGAAGTGGCCGTCTGAAGGGTACAAATTCGGAAGTATGCTGAGTTCGTCAGACTCTGTATTCATCATCTGACCTCAGCCTAGATCTTTCAATTCAAAGATAGGAAGGGCGCCGGATATCTCCTCTCCCCGACGCACGAGGAGGAGATTACATCTTTAGTTTCGAGCACAGTAAAATCCTACCGGGAACTTCCTGTCCGTTTATACCAAATCAGTAAGTCAAAGTCTCATGGCCGGATCACTCGCTGATATTTTACCTTCAGCCAGAAAATATCGGGATGAGTTACGGCCAAGACAGGGTCTTCTGCGCTCCCGAGAATTTGTAATGAAAGATCTATATACTTTTGACTACAGTGCTGCTTTTGCTCTTGAAACTTATCACGAGGTCCGAGAGGCATATGCCAAACTGTTTGATGAGCTTAAGATACCATATTTGGTTGCTGATGCAGATTCGGGCGATATGGGCGGAAATTTAAGCCACGAGTTTCATTTTCCCACTTCGAAGGGGGAGGACAACGTCATCAGCTGCACCACTTGCAACTATGTGGCCAATGAAGAACTTGCAGAGAGTGCAGTACAACCATATGGTGGCTCGGGTCAAGAAGATTTGAACTCTCTCGAGAATGAGAATGCCAAGGCACAAGGTGAAGGAAAATCTGCAATAGAACCCCGGGTGTGGCGTGGGATATCTCGGGATAGGAATACGCTAATCAATATTTGGTACGCCTCTGGGTCCGATACTTCTCGAGGTATGCCAGGCCATCCCGAGCTCAACTTGCACGCCGTGAAGGCAATTTTACCAGAGTTCGACGCCTCGATCGAAGACCCTATGTCACTTTGGACACGTACTGCCGGTATTGCTTCAACAAAGCATGAGGTGCTCAGGCTTGTGAACCTCGTGGACTGCCGGTTACCGTATCACAGTCGCGTGGATATCGAATCGCAAAATCCTCGGCTGCCTTTCTGGCCCGAGGAATTGAATTGTCAGTTTCCACATATTAATATGGAAACCCTGTCTCGGAATCCATTGACAGGACGACCCCTCAATCTCCTTCGGATCAGAGATGGAGATCCGTGTGCTCGCTGTTCTGCTGGGGTATTGAAAGTTCAGAAAGCCATTGAACTGGGGCACACTTTCTACCTTGGCACTCGCTACAGTGACCCCTTGGATGCCACAGTTACAGTGCCAGGGCATCTTTTGAAGGATAAAGATCATAGCCTCATTTCTTCCGCGGAACGGAGCGATTCGAGTCCGGATCAGAAGGTCCCTATGCAAATGGGATGTCACGGAATAGGGGTCTCACGTATGATAGCTGCGGTGGCAGATACTCTTGCCGATGAGAAAGGTCTCAATTGGCCCCGGGTCATGGCACCTTTTGAGGTAGTCGTTGTACCTGGCAATGGTCTTGATCATGCCGCGTCTGAAATCTACGATGCCCTCTCTTCTATCCCAAGCACCTCTGGCAGGCCTCAGCTCGATGTGATACTAGACGATCGCACAGAGACCTTCCCCTGGAAGATGAGGGATGCAGACTTGGTCGGCTATCCGGTTATCGTTGTGGTAGGCCGAAGATGGAAAGCAGACAGAATCTGCGAGGTTCAATGCAGAAGATTGCAGGTTCGTCAGGATCTACCTTTGGGTGAAATTCGGCCTTTTGTAGCATCTTTACTAGATAAGCTATAGAACTATAATCCATTGTACATACTCGGCTTGTATCAGGGGTGTTCATGTAGTAGTGCCCAAAGACGTGTCCTAGGTATCATGTACAAGGTAGGGGCGCCCCTTACCTAAGTATGGGATGACTAAGCCTACTGTATCTATTAAGGCAAGACCAAGGTCTCTACCTACATCCTTCTTAAATCCCTATAATTTGGTTTGTTAATCAAAGTCAACTCTGCTACCTGTCGTTCTAACATGTCACCCCGCTACATGAGATTATTAGGACTGTTATAAGGAACCTATACTTCGCCTAGCAGTTACTTGCATCCTCATAATCAAACCTTGATCAAGTGATATTTTACTCGGTATATTCCCAGATATTTTATATCGCTCCCTTAGACCCCAAAATCTCGGACAAAGTCTGTTATTCATAATTTTCACAAAGCCTCATCCCAGGCCCGCCAGCTTTGGTCAGAATATGAGGGCATACACTTGACCAGAGCTGGGGGGCTAGTTTGCCACTCGATAAGCATTGAAGGGTCATCATCATCTCCGTCTTTGTTCACCCAATCTGATACGTAGCCCCTCAAAGCCTTGATCTTTCGCGCCGCATCATCTGAATACTCAAGATTGATGGTAGGTACCACGGCAATTTTTCCATATCCCCAATGCCACATATCCTTACAAAACAACTTCGGTTCACCCTGATAGCATTCATTCTTGGTGGGACCACGAAATCTAATCTTCTGTTCTAGTATCGGTCTAGCTGTAAACGCCGTTGCTCCATTCCAGCATGAGAAGACTTGGAACGGCTTGTGAGCATAAAGTAGTTCCTGAGCTTTGGGGTCGTTCCAAAAGAGATTCCACGCCGAATTCCAGTTTCCATCCTCGGGGATATTGAAGAATGAATCACCAGTCATGCCTCTTGCGATCCATACATCATAAAATGTCGGATCCTGCCCAACATAGACCCAGTCCATTGCACAAGTCATGTCTGCCTTCTGATAAAAACGTTGATGTACCAGCTCCAGAATATCTTGCGTACAGATAGATACGTCGTTGAGGAACACTATAGTGGTGTCAGGAGAGTACCGGTCCGGGCGTCGTATTAATGGCTCAAGTGCTTGATTGCGGAGTTCGGCCAGGGTCCAGATTCGGTCCTGATTGGGTGCCCCGGGTTCCAGGTCGCTTGAATTGAAGAAATACGTCGCGCCAATTCCCTCGATCTCTGCGCGCAGTACCTTCAGAATCTCAAATGTGCCATCATCTGAGCGACCTTCCACAATCGACAGGGCACAATTCTCAGGCCCAAGAAAGCGCATACTTTCCACAATCGAGCCTATAAGCCGAGGAAGCAGGTTGGCACATTGATGAAGGTCCAGCGCAAAGAAATATGTCGGTAGCGTTCGAGAGCCTGATGTGCTTGTATTAATCGTGCGAAGATATTCATAGCGATAGGTATCAAGAGCTGGACACTCCAGTCGTGGGAAGGAATTATCCTCGGCGTTCATGATCGCTTTGATATAGGATGGCGCAATTTCAAGTAGCGTAGAGTTCCCATCTTTCAGAGGGGGGGCCAAGTTTATGGGCGGGTCGTTTGTGTTTGCTGTCTTACCAGTGTCTCCTACTATTGTCGCGCGTTAGCACTCAAGGCAATATATAATAAGGTAGTCAGTCCCTAGGCAGATAGGTTATGGTTGTTGGCAACGACTTACCTGAAGGAAATGGGAGGAGACTGGTGAGTTCTCTCCCAAAGAATGGGTGATGTGTATACTGACTGAAGCCGACCAAGATGGAGAAAGCCACGAACAACAGACAAGCAGTCCTGAAAAGCAGGGGGAGATTTCGTCTCATTTTCCGTAGAGATGGTTTCGGATTCTGCGATATGAAGGAATCATGGTGGCTATTTAGGGCTGCAAATGCGCTTTAGCACCACAGATCATGCTGAACCTACCGCGGTTTTGTTGGTAACTTTGTACCGTATTACAGAACGAGGACGGCGGATCGTTGTGAAAAGACCCTGTCCTACTCCGTATGTCAGCGTCAAGCTTCTTATTGAATCCATCCCCACGCCTGCCCGCGGTCTTTGCCGCCGCATGAACTCGGCAAATGAACAACCGTTCTTAGGCGCCCAGTCTCTCTACCCGACCGCCCATCGTCGCTCAAGTTAGGAAGAGTAAAACGGTCAGATAGTATCAATTGTCTGAGATTGTGTCTGAAGATAACATTGCTGGGCAGCCTGTTATCTCCCCAACGTAAGGATATCGTTGGTTCAATGCCGATTGCTGATGGGCGCCTAGGAGAAGCGGACTTGGGGTATCCCGAAACTATTTTTACCATTTCTGCTGGTCGAAGGTCAAGTTGGCCTCAATCTACAGTAAAATGCACAGATAAAGTAGTATCTAAGGATAGATACTTGGGAACATCTATCATGTTGGTAATGGAGAGCGGGCCAACGCCAAGGAGAGCTCGGGATGGACTCTCTTTAAAACTACATCTCCAGCCTTTCCTACTATTTCCCTTTCTCCCTTTTTGTTTCCACTCGAGGACATTACTGCATCCCAGCCATATATATATATATGACTCTTACACTCTCATTTCCCTCTCTCGGTTTCCGACGAAATGAAATATTGCTTGATTTTCCTTCTAATTTACGGGGTCGTTGTCTTTGCTAGCCCCAGGGGTATCGCAAAAGCTCTTCCACGGGAGGCTCTAGTAGCACCGTCACCGACGCGATTCTCGTCAAATTCAGGTGCTGGATTCTTCGAAGAGCTCAAAAAGCGACAGACTGCGGCTCCAATATCGACATGTGGCTACGACAACGGTGATCTGACCAAGCCTCGCACAGCAAACTCAGGCTTCAACTGCAGAGTAGACACGAAAAACGGATTATGGGGATTTTGCCCAACGACTGTCATTTCAGCTAGCGACTGTGGGCTGGCAGAAAACTGTGTAGATGCGAACGCTTGCTCTGGTGGATGTGGTATCATTGGGGCAGTAGGTATCACAACTTTCACTTGGTCAGTCGATCCTTCCCGGACGTGAGAGCGTTCACAGACTTGACTGGAGTTGGCAGGCTGATAGAGATTCCTTACCTAGTAATTCGCCTGGGGCAGACTTCTGTTCGACTGCACTCTTGGTTGATGGACCAGATCAAACCTACTCATATATTGCTTGCGCCCCATCCTCTGGAACACAGCTTTTATTCGCTGAACCTACTATAACATCGTCGGCCGCACCATCTTCAACCCACACTCCGAACTCATCTACACCGTCCTCCACGTCAACATCCTCCTCCTCATCTTCTCCCATATCATCCTCATCCTCGTCTACAAGATGTTCTCCTCTCTTATCTCATTTAAGCTCAGCCCTCTCATACGAGTCAAACGGATCATCGTCTCAATCCGCACCTCCTAGCACGCCTAATCCTCAATCCAAGGACAATGTCGGAGCAATCGTTGGTGGGGCCATTGGCGGACTTGCAGTGATGGCCTTCCTTGTCCTCGGTATTCTGTTCTTGCGAAGGTACCAGCGAGACCATATTAGCAGCGGGGTGACCACACAGCAGAATCGAGATGACCCCAAGATCTTAGCTGATCTTGAAACGAAACGCAGAGAATCCGACTATTGGAAATATAGAGAATTTAGTCCGATCGAATTGTCTACGAGGCAAGGGCCTGTTGAGCTAGGTGGTTGATGTATTGCTATTATTAGTTATTCGTATCTAGTGGCAGGCCGTGTATAGTAAAATTTAGAGGCAAATAGATGGATGAATCATGGAGCTGGGCATCCTGTTGATTCTTGTAGTATGGCTAGGATATAAGAGATAATGGATATATGGGGACGTGCTAAGCTAGGGGATTTTTATATACAGTAGTGCTCCTTAGAGCACGGGCGTAAGCCTTAGAAAGCATTTCTTGCCGTAGCGCTTGACCGATGGGCCTGGTGACAGTGACCCTTCCCCGACAGTTAGGATGGGCACGGAATATGAAAAGAGGTTACTCCTCGCAGTTACTTAATTAAGTGTGAAGTGTAAAGGCCGAGGCCTTGAGTTCAGAAGCCGGAAGCGGCAGAGGGTTGAGGCCAGAGGCCATAAAACAGTTAGGAAAAGAAAATGAGTGTAGAAACAAATGAGACGCAATCAAATTCGTAATAGAGGATGGTATAGCTTTGGATAACTAAAATCGGAATTGGGCTGGCTCATGAACCTGGCTTGCCTTTTAGACTCATGCCCAGTCCATGTCCATGGTAAAGTCGCCCATCTCAATGGTAACAAGTGCGTCGAAAAGCCGGATTCTTCCCGTAGTTATGAGGTACTGAAGCCAGCTAATTCCACACTGAGCAAGTGGCTGAGTCTCGAATATATCCATCCATGAGTGACAAAGTTGACGGAATGGATGTCCTTCTGCGAAATTACGTGGAGGTGCCATAGGAGCCCATTGCAGCCCTGCTCCCAGCGTCACGTCCCTTAAAAGGCTTTCGCACTTGAGGCACGGATCACAGACACCGCCACGATACATGTAGGACCCGTATCTTGTTGCAGTGAAATGCAAATGAATGATACAAGCCATGGCGTATGCTCCTGACAACGGGTGCAGGCTGGCTTTCTCTAACATGGCCTCGATGTAAGTATGATGCGGATCTTTCATACCAAGTCCATAAACCGCTGACACCCCATTTTCATGATTCCTGGCGGCTATGTCGCTACGCCAGTCCATAATGTCGTGCATTGCCATCATGACCTCCGGCGCGATGAGGCCGTCCTGCAATGACTCCCCGCCCCAAAGATAGCCGCTGTATGGCATCGTACAGCCCCCAACGGCTCTCCATGCCATAGTCGCCTCCACTGTCACCTGGTCATTTGTTCCAACTGCTTGCAGGGTAGTTCCGTCGACTAGGGCATTAACTGCCTGTCCACCTGCCTCGAAGGCCGCTCCAACCGCAAGTGCAATCATCTGAATCCTTGTCCTCTTTTCTTGGGCAGTAAATGCGTGGTAATCCTCACAGACTGCCACGTGAGATATCGTGGCGAATTTTGTTGCGCGTTGCGTGGGTAGCCATGCTGAGATCAATATAGAGCAGCAGACCGTCAGCTCGTAACATGCGACAGCCAGGACGCCAGGCTTGCGATTAAAGATGTCACTTATTTTTTGTTCATGGATGTGTCGTTCTGTATTGGCCTTTTTATCGATGTGGGCGATGCTCAATGCGTTTCCTCCGTAGTGATCATCGATCAACGCTGCACAACCTTCACGTGCCACTTCGATAATTCGCGGACCGAACTTCTTGAGTAACTCAAAATATACATCAGAACACGACCGAACCCGTTCAGTGTTCGCGCGCTGCGCTGTGTCTTGGGGGTCTTCAATCACGGCGCGGCAATAATCCATTGCATCCTCCCAGTGTTGATTCTGAGGGTACGAGGCCTTTCCCAGAAGTGCAAGTAGGCCATTTCGCAGCATACTTCTCTGGGCAGATTTTGCGATATCTTTCGCAATTGAAATAGGTGATGTAGGCCTTGAATCAAGATCGTTTGACTCCTGATCCAACTCGATGAGGGCCTGATTTAACTCCGACGTAAGCTCTGAACTGATATGCGCCACGGACATTGTCGTGAGTTTTGTGGAAAATATAAACGTTTGTCTTGAAGGACTTGCAAAAGATATCGAAATAATATCCAAAATATTGACAAGGATAATTCATTTACGCACTGTTCGAGGGAGATCTTATATCTATAAATCATATTGTTCGAAGAGATACTCCTACCTATAAGGACCTTGAATCGTGATACTTCGAGATTAGCAATGATCAACGCTCTCATAAGCCGCTACGGCAGCAATTTGCAACTCGGGTAATGATGCTGTCGCCTACTTTGATTTTTGAGTCTTTTACGATCTTTGTTATACACGATTTGTATCGTAAACTAAGGTAGGTATAGTAAGACTTGTAACATGTTTATTTTTTACTCAATAAACGGTAGTTTAATTGATAGCCTAAATAGCTACATTTAAACACGTAAAATAGTACCTAGAAACAGCCTAAATAACAGCTTAAAACAGTGCTCAAAACAGTAGATATAAGGCCACACAAAGCCCCCTCTCCCCCTATAAGACTACCTACCTTAGGTAGTAAGGGCGACAGCGAGGTAGGCGAGTCGGCGACAGTGAGGTAGGCGACAGTAAGGTTGTCGGTGGCAGAAACCCTAAAAGGGTAAAGTAGGCGAGAGGGGGGGCCGGTGTAAGAGTTTGGGGGGGGGGGGGATGTATCGCTAGCCCAAATCAAGGTCGATTTCTGGAAGTCTCGAATTTAAGATTGTAATTCTGGGGTATCCTGGGACCCTCATCTATATGTGGACCAGGATCTAAAGTTCCTTGCCTCGGTCAGTAATCGATAGAAGGAATCTGAAGTGGGATATCAGATGAAAATGCCTTACCCCCTTCTATCGATTAGTTTATCCGCGCGACTCTTTTCTGCAGAAGTACGCAGTCATGCTACCAACATTGTTCCAAGCCGTTGTCATTCTTTTATCTTCCGGCTTGAGCAGTGGTGCAACTCTGTACAATGGGTCTCAACTTCTCTAATATCCGGGCGCAAGTTTGTCGTCTCTGAGTGCTTTTGATACTTATCTGGACTGTAGCGATACTCTCGTCCAGCTTCTTCCGTACTCGATCACTGGCACACTGCAACAGGTTAGCATTATATCGAAACGATCGTACGCAGAGGCTGACTAGATATAGGATGGACGACTTCCATGTTGAGCGAACTGTGTACCACAAGTTGTTCAAACTCTCTTAGTACTTTGGCTACTTCAGTCGAAGCAAACTGTGGTAATGACGCGTTTGTGTTCAACAATCAGAACACCACGTTCACTTCGCTCGTGGAACTATACGGCTACAAGTTTGGCTTGCTATGCCTAGCAGATTCATCAACAGGCGACTTCTGTATTGATGTAGAAGACTCGTAAGTCGTTTCCTCCATACTACTATAACTCCTGTTTGACCCCCTCGCAGCTGGGACATCGGAGCACTCGTGGCCGCCGGCACAGCAACTTGGCCACTTTATACTAATAAGACATATCCAAATTTCGAGAACCCGGACTGGGAACCTGACGATGACCCATGGTTCGACGACTCCTACGGGAATTCCACTTCGGATTTCTACACCGACTTGCCACTTACTCCGAATGACTATTTCATAGGCAGTAGCGTTGAAGCATTTGCTGATTGTAGCTATGGCTGGTGTGAGACTTTGGACTACGATGAGCATCCTCTCGAGATCCAGTGTTCATCATGCATGCTAGAGCGGATCAAGTACGGAATCTCTTCTTAATTTGGTGAGATATACGAGTAAGTACCATTCCTTGCACAGCAACATGATACAGCCCGCGCACATTACTAATACTCAGTGTCAGTGAGATGACGATGCAGGTCTGGGCCAACATACAAAAGAACTGCGAGATCACCGACGAACTAGTCCCCGCCGTAAATATGACTGGAGTCGGCTCCGGCTCGAACTTTACGTATGTGGCCACGGATTACACGAATTGCAGCCAAGTCATCGAACTCCCTACCTACATTGCAGGCGACAACTACATCACATGCAACAATCTCTCTGTCCAAGACTCTATCCCATCAGCTTCACTCCTAGCGCTAAACAATGCATACAATTGCGCCGCCTTATCTGGATCTTTCTGTGCCCCTCAATACTGCAATATCACAGTCAACACCGTCCGTCAGAACTTGAAGGAGTTTGCGTCTGCATATACAAATTTGACGACCACCCAACTCCTGCACTGGAACCCGTTCATGGTCAGCCTTTCCTTATACTAAATTGTCATTTCCTTCTATGAGAGCTCTGGGAGCTTCAGAGCCGAAGTTGGTTTGAGAGCCGAGACACAGCAGCAAACGGATTCGTTCTGTTTGCAAATGTCTCGGCTCTCAAATAATTCTCGGCTCTGAAGCTCCAAGAGCTACACGCCAAATTTTCGATAATTCTAGTGCTAATTTGCTTATAGATGAGTTTCTGGATCGAAGTAGGAGAGACGGTCTGTGTTGGTCCGCCTGGTGGCGCCTATGTAGCCCCCTCAGCAACAGTAGTAGTGCCAAGTGTATACACCACTACAGCCATGCCAGCTGATCCTACAGTCGCGGGAACGATAGCAAACTGCGGACTTTACTATAATGTGACAGAAGGAGACACTTGCGACGTCGTGACCCTAAGATTCTCACTCACATTTTCGGACTTCGTAGCCATGAATCCGAGTATCGACACAGGTTGCACGAACCTGCTTTATGGGGTAGATTATTCGTAGCTTTGGTAAATGGAACTACCGTCACTCCTTTGACTACTACCAGGGCTCCCACAGGATCGACAGCTATGGCGACTTCAAGTTCGACATCTAAGCAGACTTCTTCTTCCTCAACGACGATAACTGCGACTTCGACAGGAGTTACTGCTCCTGGACCTACACAGGCTGGTATCATCAGCACTTGTAACAAATTCGCAGAATCCATCTCGGGCCTTGGATGCTATGATTTCGCGGTAGCAGAAGGCATTACTCCCGCCCAGTTGTACGCGTGGAATACTATTCTAGGTGTAGATGGTGCTGATTGCGGGGCCGAACTATGGGCGGACGAGTATTATTGCGTAGGAGTCTCGGGGTCGAGCACACCAACATCGACATCGTCAACAGTTGCGTCAACGACAACGTCGGTCACTGCAGCTGGTCCTACGCAATCCGGGATTATCAGTACTTGTAACAAGTTTGCGGAGTCCATTTCTGGTCTTGGGTGTTATGACTTCGCGGTCGCGGAGGGCATCACACCGGCGCAGTTGTATACGTGGAACACGATTCTGGGAGTTGATGGCGCGGACTGTGGTGCTGAGCTTTGGGCGGATGAGTGGTATTGTGTCGGGGTATCTAGTTGATACTTTCGTGACACATCGCGTAGACTATAATGTAATGCTCACCTACTCTCTGATTTTAATCGGCCTTGCGTGCGCTCACTCGCCATACGTTCTTCGCACCCAGTCCTCCGCAGCTTCCTTGATTCTCGCATCCTCGGCTTCCATATCCGCACCCTCTGCTTCGTCTTTCATCTCTTTCCATGGGACTAATGCAGCCTTGAATTCCTCTTCGTGAAAGTTGTCTGGCCATCCGTAGTTCAAAAGCATCTGTCTTACTTCTTTGCCCTGCAAAACCAGTGTCAGCAATCTCTATGCAGCCCAATCGCTCTGGTCCCACAACCAAATCCAGAGAATTGATAATTGATGTGTCGATGCGACACTCAACTCTCAGCCAGCGAGACAGGGGTACTTCACTTCTTCTTCTCCGCCCATTTCTCCTTCATCTCCAAACCACCAATTTCCATGCCTATAATCAGGTACTATGACCAGATCTCTATAATATGCAACCCACTTCTTGAGAACATTGGGAGCGGGCCCGGACGGAAAATGGCGATAGTAACCTTTATGAGTGTCGGGAGGAGCTTCGGGGAGGTCATATCGAGCGCTGAAATAATCGACCTCAAATATCTCGTCTACCTAGGGTACGCCAACACGAGTAATCATCAATGACAGATAAATGATAGCTTACTAGTTTTGCAATCTAAGATTAGAACATATCCACCATGATTGGCGGAAGTGAGGGGTATACACCATGACTCGATGTACTTCTCCTCAGGCTTCAGGAAGAACGGATCGGTCCATGATTCGAGATGCATTCTTCGCTCGTTCTCTTCTTCGTCTTCGTCTTCCTCTTTATTTTCGCTCGTTTCCTCGTCATCGGACTCCACAGTCTGTGCGTCCCTTAAATAGAGCATGGGAGACATATCAGGACCAATTTTCTCCTTGTCGGAATTGAAAAGGGGTAGTTTCGACAGGACATTGACGGTCTCGGGATCCATACCAGCCTCAATCCAGGCATCGGTGTCAAATGATGGGAGAGTGTGGGGTCCGTAACTGATATTGAATTCTTCGGGCAGGCTTTGGAAGCGCAAAATCAGGGTGTACATTTCGCTGAGTAGAGAAACGATCTCGTCACTGTTAAAGGGTGGCGGTACCATGATTCCAGTACAGCACTCAGTGATCAAGGACTAAGTGGTATACTGACTTACCAGGTCGTAGACGTTATGGGTCGATGTAGTGTTTGTGAATCGAGGAGGAAACAAGAGTTCCAAGTTTTGTTAAAGTGTCGGCCAAGCAAGAGGGGTCATGTGATCAATCTAAGGAACCCCTTGCAAGTGGCGAAACTCGATATTGTACCTAGTCAGTGCTGTAATAGGTGTTACAGTCAGTAAGCAAAAGTTCTCGGCTAAATCACGTAAAGCGTGATTTTTCGCGTTTTACCCTTCTACCCTTCTACATATACTACCTAAATATACTACTACTACGTACTCTCCTAGCCTTAATATTAAGAAACTTACGCTATAGGCCTAATCTTAGTCCTTATTAAAGAGGACAGATCTATAGTATAAATAGCTTAGGTTTAAAGGCTCTTAATATTATAAAGTAGTTTAATATCCTTATTTTAACTATTAAATTAACTAGATAAGTAATAATAAAAAGCTTATAGTAAAGACTCTAGTAAAGAGAAGGTACCTTTTTATTAGGGTACTAGATATAGTAATAGTCTAGAGCTATAACATTATAGAGATGTTAAGCTAAGGAGCTAGCTAAGAGTCTAGTAACCTCTTTATAACGTAAGACTTATAGATCTTAGACTCTTAGTAATAAAATTAATAATAGTATACTAGAATACTATAAAAAAGAACAGCCTTACCTTAATAGTACTTTATAATTACTATAAAGCTAACGTTATAGTAATTTAAGAGCTATAGTATAATACTTAGATAAAGATAGTCTACTACCTAATATAAGTAAAGTACTAGTAGGTCTATAAAAGTAAAGGCTACTTACGTGCCTTACTATAGTATCTTAAGTAAGGTTTAAACCTAACTTAAGATTATCTTAAGTAAGTAAAACTAGGTTAAGCCTAGGTTAAGCCTAGTTTAAAACCGCTTAGAACTTAGCTTTAGGTTTTAGGTTTAAGGTTTAAGGCTTAGGTTTAAGGCTTAAGTTTAAGGCTTAAAGGTTAGGTTTAAGGCTTAAGGCTTAGGTTTAAGGTTTAAGGCTTAGGTTTAAGGTTTAGGTTTAAGGTTTATACATAGAACTTATACTACTACTAGTATATAGTATTATTCTAAAATCACGTGATTTTATATTACGTGACTAAGCTAATAGAGTTAGCTTTGTTTACATGTAAACAAACGCCTTCTGCCTTTGTAAATCCCTTCTACAGCCAGCCCTCTATAGCCCTCGACAGCCCTCTATTCTTGACAGCCCTCTGTTCTCGACAGCCCTCTGTTCTCGACAGCCCTCTGTTCTCGACAGCCCTCTGTTCTCGACAGCCCTCTATTCTTGACAGCCCTCTGTGCCTTTACAAATACTCTCGACAGCCCTCTGTGCCTTTGCGAATACCCTCAACAGCCCTCTGTTGCCCTCGACAGCCCTCTGTGCCTTTGCGAATACCCTTGACAGCCCTCTGTTGCCCTCTGTTGCCCTCTGTTGCCCTCTGTTGCCCTCTGTTGCCCTCTGTTGCCCTCGACAGCCCTCTGTTGCCCTCGACAG